TAAATTGACATGATGAACTAAATGAAACTCTTAATTCTCGGAAAGGGGCAATAGTTAATTAAGTTTTAAACGTATGTGCAATATTAAGGGTCAGATACAGATCTAATTTGTACAGGCCAGAGCTAACGTTAAGGGTATTGGACAGTGGTTCATTATGGCTGACGATCAAATTTTGTTCATCGAACCCACTGCAACAGGCGATAAATGTTGAACCACTCCAAACAATAGCTCAGTGTAAGGCTCAGTACCAGTCGTTGTGTAAGGCTCAGTACTTGTTGTGTAAGGCTCAGTACTGATCGTTGTGTAAGGCTCAGTACTGGTCGTTGTGTAAGGCTTAGTACTTGTCACTGTGTAAGGCTCAGTACTTGTCACTGTGTAAGGCTCAGTAATTGTTGTGTAAGGCTCAGTACTTGTTGTGTAAGGCTCAGTAATTGTTGTGTAAGGCTCAGTACTTGTTGTGTAAGGCTCAGTACTTGTCCCCATGCAAGACTCGGCACTAGCGACTGTAAAAGGCTCAGTACTTGTCACTGTGAAAGGCTCAGTACTTGTCACTGTGAAAGGCTCAGTACTTGTCACTGTGAAAGGCTCAGTACTTGTCCCCATGCAAGACTCGGCACTAGCGACTGTGAAAGGCTCAGTACTTGTCACTGTGTAAGGCTCAGTACTTGTCACTGTGTAAGGCTCAGTACTTGTCACTGTGAAAGGCTCAGTACTTGTCCCCATGCAACAAGACTCGGTAACTAGCGGCTGTGTGGGCTTGAGACGTACTCTGGGGCCGTTGTACCCAGAAGTATCGCCTCACCTTTTTATAGAATTCACCCCCCTCCCCCCTCCCCAAAATTAATGTATGCAGCCGCCATGACTTCTTACCAGGCAAAGTCAAGGTGACTCCATTCCGGCAACGCCACTTCATAGTTGAAAACCACATTTGGCAACTCGTCCGCCACCCTCGCCACACCCTGAAAAAAGATAACACTAATGAGGAGGACGAAAATAGCAACAGACGACGAGATCACTTTGCAAATATAGTGACTGGATGCGATGAAGGGGGGGAGGAGGGGGTTGTAGGGGGAGGGGTGGGTGCCGCTGTGAATATGATTACATTTCCTTGTTTGAGAAGAGCTGAGTACACAATGGAGGGAGCTGAAGCCTCTTGGGTGGGGACGCTGGCAGGTGTTGATGAGGCGTGTGCAAAGATGGTTCAATTTAGAAAAATATTTTGCGTGCGTGTGAAGAATTTGCAAGATGACGTGGTATTGTGGTACTGTGTCAGGTGGCGTGGTACTGTGTCAGGTGGCGTGGTATTGTGGTACTGTGTCAGATGACGTGGTATTGTGGTACTGTATCAGGTGGCGTGGTATTGTGGTACTGTATCAGGTGGCGTGGTATTGTGGTACTGTGTCAGATGACGTGGTATTGTGGTACTGTGTCAGATGGCGTGGTACTGTGTCAGATGGCGTGGTACTGTGTCAGATGGCGTGGTACTGTGTCAGATGGCGTGGTACTGTGTCAGATGGCGTGGTATTGTGGTACTGTGTCAGGTGACATGGTATTGCGTTACTGTGCAGGAGGATTGTAAAATAACTGTGAATTTACCACCGAAGAAGAATGAAGGAGAACGTATTGATTGTAAGAGTAACAGAGCAATAAAAGAGTTTACTGTGTAGTGGACAACAATATGGCAGAACAGTGATCGAAAGAGTAGGAAATTACTGAGAATATGATCAGTGATGAAGAGGTGGAAGAGGGTGGTGTAAATCAGTTAGTTGCTGCGGAGGAGACATGTGAGTGAGTAAAAGAGTAACTGGAATGTGACATTTATGGCCTAAGAAAAGCCTTGATAAAATCGTCAGAGAAGCACTTTGGAGAGTGATGAGCATGTATGGAGTTGGTCGAGTTCTGTTAAATTAAGTGAATTTTCAGTATAGGAAGAAGTGTATGGGTATGATTTGATGATGAAATGAGTAAACGGGTTTGATTTTAACGTAGGAGTACGTCGGCGAAGTTTAATATGACCCATTGTGTATATGTGTATATATATATATATATATATATATATATATATATATATATATATATATATATATTATATATATATATATATATATATATATATATATATATATATATATATATATATATATATATATATATATGTGTGTGTGTGTGTGTGTGTGTGTATCACGAAAATAAACACGTGATTAAGAATGTGACAATGTCAGACCACGGAGTTGTCTGAAGATTTATTTAATATACGAAAGTACTTAAGGAAATTCCTGTTTCATTTTCCTCCGTGGTCTGACATTGTCATATATATATATATATATATATATATATATATATATATATATATATATATATATATATATATATATATATATATATGCAAACAAGCCTGAATGGTCCCCAGGACTATATACAACTGAAAACTCACACCCCAGAAGTGACTCGAACCCATACTCCCACAACTGGTATGTACAGGGACGCCTTAATCCGCTTGACCATCACGACCGGACATAAGGAAGTGATAGCCGAGGCTATATGAACCACTTCCCCGCCGGCACTCGGATGGTAATCTTGGGCATAGCATTTTATCAAATCACCTCATTCTTTGGGGCACACGTGAGGAACACAAATGCAAACAATAAATTGTTTGCATTTGTGTTCCTCACGTGTGCCCCAAAGAATGAGGTGATTTGATAAAATGCTATGCCCAAGATTACCATCCGAGTGCCGGCGGGGAAGTGGTTCATATAGCCTCGGCTATCACTTCCTTATGTCCGTCGTGATGGTCAAGCGGATTAAGGCGTCCCTGTACATACCAGTTGTGGGAGTATGGGTTCGAGTCACTTCTGGGGTGTGAGTTTTCAGTTATATATATATATATATATATATATATATATATATATATATATATATATATATATATATATATATATGGATCCATGAGGGAAGTCAAGGTAAGGATGTGTGAGATTTTACGAGTCAAAACTGAATGTGAACGAAAGTAAAGGTTTGGTGGCAGAGAGGAAGGAAGCTATTGGAACTTGTTCAATTGAAATTCTGAGTACGGCCAATCAGGAAAGAAAAGTGGTTGATGCAATGTAGCTCTGGTTAAGACAAGATAAGAATAGATGCCATCAGAGGTCTGTGTGGAATGGTAGTGCCGACTCTTATGTACGATTGTGAAAGAATGACATGAAATAAATTGTGACAAAAATCAAGAATGGCGACAGATTAATTTATAGATAATTAAAACAGAATGTAAACCAACAAAAATTAAAATTTGCTAACCATAAAATAATAAGAAAGAAATCAGTGGGCACAATATTGAAGAGTAACGTTAAAGCAACGTTGCTGACGTTGAATTAATGTTACACCTGGATGTTGTGGCCCAGTGAGACGGTGAGAGAGAGAGAGAGAGAGAGAGAGAGAGAGAGAGAGAGAGAGAGAGAGAGAGAGAGAGAGAGAGAGAGAGAGAGAGAGAGAGCGGGAGAGAGGGAGGGAGGGGAGAGAGAGAGAGAGAGAGAGAGAGAGAGAGAGAGAGAGAGAGAGAGAGAGAGAGAGAGAGAGAGAGAGAGAGAGAGAGAGAGAGAGAGAGAGAGAGAGAGAGAGAGAGAGAGAGAGAGAGAGAGAGAGAGAGGGAGAGAGAGAGAGAGAGAGAGAGAGAGAGAGAGAGAGAGAGAGAGAGAGAGAGAGAGAGAGGGGGGGGGCAGTTTACGTACCGTAGGGACAGCCAGCCAGTCATTGTCTGACCAGAAGAGGCCTACAGGAGCGGTGATGTGGGTGAGGTCGTACAAGGGCGGTTCCTGCTGACCGTAGTGGTTCAGGTTACCAATCAAGCCGTAGTCGTATTTGGAAAAGTTGCCTGCAGATTAAGAAGAAAATGAGACGTAGGAGTGGGGGAAGGGGTGATAATTGTGGAAAATTGTTTCCTCGACATTAAAAAAAGACGTTATGCCATTTTGATTCATTGAATTTTTGTAATATAGGTAAGAAATAAGAAAACCCAGTAAATTATTTGGAGAAAACCTTGCTGGGTTCAAATAAGCATAAATACTGCTTACAAAAATCCTAGCTGGTTAACGGTATCAATGAAATCGAATGAAAATTTATTACATAAGCAGATTTCTCATTAGAAAGTAAAATAACAATTGTATGCTCAACACAATACTTTTGATATCGTGTAATTAAATACAAAGATAAAAACTACATTAACAGATAATAATATCGTCAATAAAATTCGGTAAATTGCACACAAAAATGTACAAAATTTCCTTCTGGTTGATGATAATAAAACTCTTAATGCCACTCTGATGGTGCTTAACAAATTATAATATTATTTTAACTTATTGTACATTAAGAGTAACGAAATGATTATCATATAATATCAGTATAAAATAGAGTTCAAAATAAACTCTGGTACTGACCGGAAAGGATGAGCTGAGCGTAGTGGTTGACGGTGTGGACGGAGGTGCCGGCTGGTGTGTGGGATATGAGGGACGGCAACCACTCCTGTATGGTGGTAAACACAATGCTATGTACAGTGGGGATATGACCAAGTACTACTTCTGTTGTGACCAAGAAAGATATGATCACAATGTCTAAGATACTGACAAGAATAGATAAGATGGATTGTGACCGTACGTTCCACATGGGGATTAATATAACAAAGTGGCAAATGCGGGAATTAGAAGCAAATGAATTGGAGACATGTAAGAAAATTCTCGCATGCAGTGAGGAAGGTAAACAAATGGAACAGATACAATAGAAAAAATTAGATCAATATAAATAAATGCACCAGGTACCCAGTGGTTGGGAGGTGGGGACTTAGATCTAGATTTCACTCCCTGTAGACACAAATAGATCAGCACAGCGAACTAAGCACACTCATGAAACTCGAACTAAAAAAACATAAAGCAAAACTAGTTGATTTTCAACTATATGTAATGGACTCGCCCGTGAGCTGAGGGGACTGAGCTACGAGGAAAGACTGGAAGAACTGGAACTCTCTACACTAGAGAGGGGAGTGGAGGAGAAACAGGAGAGACATAATATGTTGTTACCCCATAACAACATATTATGACAACATACGTTTATTTTATTATTTTCTGGGGTAACAACATACGTTTATTATGTCTCTCTCAACAGGAGAGACATAATAAACGTATGTTGTTACCCCGGAAACTGTAGCAACAGCATGGTATTAAAGATATAGGACAACATGTTACATTAAGAATGAAACTATACATAATTTAGCACAGCAAAGTCTCCATAACATGGCAGTAACAATAAAAAACACTTATTAAAATCAAGAATAAAAAATCAAAGAACCTTATTAAGTTCTGCTGGATCAGGGCCGCATATAAGGAACAAGAAGTTGTAGCAGACGTCGGCAGTGTCCGATTCAGTGTCGCAGTATGTATTGCCAAAATATTCCATTAAATCTGAGTGTGGCAAAAACTCTCCAACACCCAGTAGAGAAAAGATGAGCTGGAAAAAGGATACAGTTTCTGTCAAGACATCAGGTCTCTCAAGTTATAAAATGTTGGATTTTAAAAACATGGTCGTGAATGGGTTAGGCTGTGATTTAGGGGTAATGTTTTGAACCTGATTTTGGTGTTCATCCCTTTAACTATTTAACTTGTTTATATAATATGGATGTAACTTGTGATACTAAAACAATATTTGTGCGTAACTGATAACATTTATGTTTGGTACTGATACATTATGTGTGATACTGGTGCAATATTTATGTTATACGGACAAATATGTGTGATACTGATACAATAGTTATGTAATATGTGTGATTTTGATACAGTAGTTGTGTAATACGGACACGATATACAGCATATGATACTAATTAAATGTCTCTGATATTGAAATATTATGTGATACTGATACATTGTATAATATGATATTGATACATTATATAATGTGATATGGATACAAAATAAAAATGATATTGTTACAACATTAGTATAATACTGATACAATATGTGTGTTGCTGCTAAAATATGTGATACAGATACAATATATGATTCTGATATATTCTATGTGTCATACTGATAATATATTTGTGAGACACTGATATATGTGCTGATCCATTATGTTTGATACTGATACAATATGATTGATATTGATACAGTATGTTTGATACTGATACAATATGATTGATATTGATACAGTATGTTTGATACTGATACAATATGTTTGATACTAATACAGTAAGTTTAATACTAATGCAATATGTTTGATACTGATACAATATATTTGATAATATACAATATGGTTGATATAATGATACAGTATGTTTGATACAGGAACAATATGTTCATATTACATAAAATAGCTCAGGTAAATGATATGTGCAATATAATAATGTATTCGCGTTACAAATAATTTCATAATTGGACAAGCGGCTGGTACAGTGCACTGGAGATCTTGTGTCACTAATATGGAGGATATTAAAATAATTTTGAGGCAATAGTGACTTGAAATCGCGTTCTGGTGATTCCCAGACACCTGCTTTAATCAACTCGGCCACGGTGGTACAAAAGTAGACCAACCCGGAACTCTACTGAGTTTTCTGGAAGGTTCCGGACTTGTTTTAGGTTCAGCTACTGGGAACAAGGTGTTCCAAGCAGCACGGGCTATGGTGAGCCCGTAGTGGACTAAACCTGGCACGGGAGCGGGGCTGTAACTCATGGGGGTTCTGGAGCCCAACCAGGGTTATTACAGTCGACCCGGCCACACTCTGGCCATCGGTAATGGCATTCACACTTACTCAGATCGCAATGAAATCATAATGGGAATCACCAGAACGCGAGTTCAAGTTACTCCATTGCTTCAAAATGATTTCCATTGATATATCACGCCATTGTGATGGATGATATCCTCAGGAGAGTGACGGCTTCACCACTTATGTTAGAGTGTTCTTCTAAGACTCTTTATGTTGTGTTCCTTTTGTGATTGTTCATTGTGTGTTTGTTGGTTGTATGTTTCTTGTGTGCTTGTTAGTTGTTTGTTCGTTGTGATTATTAGTTGTTTTTTTCATGTGTGTTACTTAGTTGTTTGTTTCTTGTGTATTTGTGTTTGTTCCTTGTGTGTTTGTTTCTTTTGTATTTTTTCCTTGGGTGGTCGTTTCTTTTGTGTTTGTTCCTTATAAGACTGTTAGTTATTTGTTTGTTTCTTTTGTGTTTGTAGGTTATTTCTTTCCTTTGTGATAGTTTGTTGTTTATTTCTTGCATGTTTATCAGTTGTTTATTCCTTGTGTTTTTTTTTGTGTTTGTTCCTTGTGTATTTGTTAGTTTTTTGTTAGTTGTTTGTTCTATAAGTGATTGTTGGTTGTTTGTTAATTTTGTGTTTGCAAGTTATTTCTTCCTTGTGTTTCTTTTCTCTATTTATGTTCCGTGCATACATAGTGATCCTACATGGTGAACACCTGAAAATCTATGCTTAAATTACTACTAAATAGTGCCTCTGAATATATTTGTCTTCCTTTTTTTTACATTAAGTTCTTTTTTTATATTAAGTTGTATAATAATATATATTTTATATTAAGTACAAGTGTTGGTTTCTTTATTCTGAAGTGTTTCGAGAATTTGTAAATGTAACTGAAGTGGACTCCACCAAGCCAGGCCTTGAGGGAATTACTCATTATTGCAGGATTAAATAGCATTATGGCAAGAATAATAATAAGATAGCTCAATAATTATTTGTTAGCTTGGTGGACAAGTTTGTATACCGAAGAAAAAAAGACTCCGCCGATGGATAAATGCATAATGCGAAACAAGATAGGCCTCTTGAGCCCACGTACTCACATCTAAATCGTGGGAGATTGGAGCGAGCTCCGCGAGGGCGCCCTTGGCGTCTCCAAGATAGGCTATTGGAGCCATCAGCGCCGCCACCTTCACCTGACAAACATAAACACACAAACATCAGAAATGTCACTTGGTACATCTAACCGAGAAATCTCATTTTTTTTTAAACTCGCGAGTTTATTAAACACTCAAATAAAATAACACCTACCAAAAAAATAAATACAGAATAAAACACCTGCAGCTGAATACACAGCACTTTAAAAATAACAAGTTAACCATTTAACATACATTTATCATATCAACTCCAGTATATATCCCAGTGATTTTTTCACACGCTTCATCTTTTTAAATCTGGAAATGATAAAACTAACGCATGTATATATATATGTATATATATATATATATATATATATATATATATATATATATATATATATATATATATATATATATATATATATACATATTATATATATATATATATATTCATATATATATATACATATATATATATATATATATATATATATATATATATATATATATATATATATATATATATTATATATATATATTTATATATATATTATATCACGCTTGCTTTGACATACCTTGTCATTGTACTCTGGTCTCTCGCTCAGCATAACCATGAAGACGGTGGTTCCCATACTGAAGCCGACGTAGTTGAGGCTGGTGGTGCCGGTGGCCTCCAGCACATAGTCGATACTGGCGGGTATGTCATAGATCCCCATCTCGTTCCAGCTGTGGGAGGAGGAGCCAAGCTCTTCATTCCCGGTCGTCATTTAAAGCGCTTGTTATTTTTCTTAGTGTGAAAAATTAAGCACTTAAACAAGGAAACTTTCAGAACATTGTACACTACCTATGTGAGACCATTTGTTGAATATGTAACGTTCGTGTGGAGATCCCACATGAAGGAATCCAAAATGAAACTAAAGACAGTTAAGAGATTTCTTACAAGACGGGACCTTGAGCTGAGGTCCTGAGGTCCTTTGCCTGAACTACTAGGCAAAAAGCTGAGGGAATCTGACTTTACAACTTTAGAATAAACACGATATATAATTGACATGATCACGACATATAAAATTATTAGACATCAGAAAAGTAAATAAAGATGAATTGATAGATATAATGAAGAATAAAAATCGTTACACAAAACAACTAGTTACAACAATTAATTATATGTAAGGGTAATTTCTCGGGTCAAGAATTGCAATGAATGAGGGAGGAAAGAGCTGAAGGACCAAGGGGCACAGAAGAAGCGTCTACTGGAAGTACCAGGCTCTGAAGGATAAACTCTCACACAACACCCCTTACTGGGGACTTGCAAGTACCACTAGGGAACGTTCACATAACTGACCAGGATGGACTCCCCAAGGCCAATTGAAATTTGAAGGAAGCTTTCCCCACTTTCCTGAACGACTTGTGCTGCTGCGTCTTTCTTCACTCCTCAAACCCTGCTTCCCTAATTCTACTTGACTGACACCTTCCTCCACCCCAACCACCTCAATGTTCTTCATTACACCACCTCCTTTCCCCAACCTTCACTTCTTATCCTACCTCCTCTTGCTGATCTGCCTCAATGTCGCCTTCATCCCTCTCATCACAGAATAGAGGAGGACTGCAAAATGTTCCAAGTGGATGAGGACAATAAAAAATCGTCCGAGATAAGGATTATATTTGATTTTAATCCAAGCAAATGCAAGGTGATGAGTTTTTTTAATTGGGTAAGGAGGCCACTGGGAGAGTACAAGATTTTTCATCTTAATGCCTGTTAGAAAATGGGAGACGATATAACCCGAAGCCTATCATCGTATCATCGCGCATTTACAGGAAATCATCAGTGATGCATTCAAAATCAACGAACATTGCTGTAGTGAAAAAAACACACACAAAATAAAATTAGAAAAAATCCAGAGGTTTGCTACACTACTGATCTTTGAACTTAGAAGGCTGAACTACAAGGAAAGACAAAAGAAACTAAAGTTCACCACGTTGGAAAAAAGAACGGCAAGAGGTGACATGAACACAATGTACAACATTTTTAGACCCATTGACAAAGTGGACTAAAACGAAATGTTTAAGATAAAGAGCGGTGGGACTGGAAGGCAACGATAGAAATTAAACACTCAGATGGGATATAAAGATATAAGAAAGCACTTCTAGCATGCACGTAGAGTGAGTTAAATGAGGAGGTAGTTGAGGCTAACTGCACAGTTTCAAGAATAGATATGATAGCAAAGTAAGAGGATGACAAATCATTGCAGTAGGCAATAGCTGACAGAAAGGCGGGCCCCAAGAGTAGAAGCTTGCCTTGCAAAAACCCATTAATGTATATACTCAGTGGCCACAATATCCGAGAACATCACCAATTCATCGTTGATGCAACATCGCACCAACGCCACTTCTGGACACTGCCCATTGGGTATAGGCTAGCCCATATACGGGAGATAAATAGTCCTCACTTCTCCGTCGTCACTAACAGGTAAGGACACACACCCAGTTCAGTATGTGAAGGCATGCGTACCTGAAGCTCCAGAACTCGAGATCATCATCAGGGGACAGCTCCACGTGGAAGCGCGAGTATGTGTTGCCGCGGACGTTTCCGAGCCACACGTCGTACCCTGCGTCGGCTAAGATGTACCCTGACGCGACACACCAAAATATATACAATAATTTATTCTTTTTTACTGAAAATTATACGAAAATTCAACTTTGCTCCTGTTTGTTGCTTTATATTGTTACTCAACTAAATCTATATAAATGCACGTATTCCTACCTGTACGTTTGAAATAATCAAAATAAATGAGATAGTAACAGAGTTTAGTAAATCAGAGATCTGTTCTCAACGACCACATTGGACAACCATCGTTCTGAGTGTGCGTACACCTTTCACGCTTGAGAGGCCACCACTACTGCTGCTTGATGACCAACCAGGAAGGGTGCTTTAGTAGTCCCCCAAATTTTCAAGACTGTTGTTGTTGTTGTTTTACATTTAGCTACTCAGGACGAAATGTCCATGTAGCACGGGCTATGGTGAGCCCGTAAAACCTTTCAAGACTAAAAAAAGCTCGTTGTAAATACATCCAGAGGTGGGGATACAACTCTCAGTATACCCAACCACTTGGACTGGACGGTAGAGCGACGATCTCGCTTCTTGCAAATCGGCGTTCAATCCCCTCCCGACCGTGCAAGTGGTCAGGAACCATTCCTTTCCTCCGTCCAATCCCAAATCCTTGTCGTCATATACCTTTCAAGTGCTATATAGTCGTAATAGCTTTGCGCTTTCTCCCAACCTTACCTTATCGGTATATATGCTGAATATTCCTTGCTAAATTGTCCATACTTGTTTGAGGTGTTTTAGTATAGCACTGAGGAATTACAAATGCGTTTCATTCTTAGATATTAGCTAGAAAGTCCAGTCTCAACGTTAGGTCATGAGGAAATATTCAATACGAAAATAAATATAATTAGTAATGTTAGTTAATATAATTAGCAATGTTAGTTAATATAATTAGTAATTTCGGACAGTCTTACGATCCTCACTATAAGAATACACTGATGGGTCAGTGTTTGGTTTAGATACAGAGCTTCCCTTCAGCCACATTAATCCTTTACTGCACGCAGCCTTCAGTGTTGCCAGTATCATTATCTTTAACATCTATTAATTCACAGTATAGATTTTCGAACCCAGATAACCCTTACCTAAATAAGGATTGTGGGTTCGTTGGGTATAAACCACAGGGTTGCTGCACTCTATATATAAGGACCTATGAGCTGCTGCTGCAGTATTTGGACATAGATCCATGGAGTACTATGTTATTCAGACAGATCCATATAGTACTGCGCTATTTGGACAGAACCATAGAGTTCTGTCTCCATGGTTCGCTATTTAGACAGATCCATAAAATACCGGACTGCTCGGAAATAGATGGAGTGCTGCCTTCATCACTTTAATGAGAACGTAGCCTAACAATTTCGCCCTTGTTGGCTGCGTTCACATGAAGCGGGTCCTCTAGCATGAGACACGTCCAATTTTGTCAGCATTTACAATGTATCTGATATTCTTATAGGTTAAACCCAAGCATTGACACCAGGTCTTTTAGATGCGTGCATTCCCTGGTGTCATATTGAAACAATGATAGCAAAATAGAAACAAAATCTAGTGTCACTTAACATTATTCTTCATGTATATGGACTGTGTGACTACTGACAAGGAGAATTATTATTATTATTATTATTATTATTATTATTATTATTATTATTATTATTATTATTATTATTATTATTATTATATTTCTTAATGTAAAAAAATTCAATGCTCTGACAGCTGCGTCTAGTTGTTAATATTCTTAATACAGCCCGCTATACCGAGCGTTCCCAACGTCACTAAACGGGTATACTAAATTGCCCGAACCTAACCAACCAGAGGACTTACGAACAGAAAACGGGACATCGCTCCAATTTTGCGAGCCGCTACCATTTTTAGGTCACCAGTTTTTGACCTTAGGAAAATTATACGTCAAAATGCGATGTACTATTCAGTAGAAAGGGTTGGTTAATAACTCTCAAGCAGTTGATAGGCCTTATGCTCAATACCAAACCATGAAACTTACCAAACCATACTAGAGGAAAACTTACACAAATACCATACTACCGGAAACTCTATCACTCAGTTAACTTGAAATACACCTAACAAAATTACCTATTCTTGATGTAAATATATATACACAATATATAAACATGGATTCTAATTAGCCCTAACTATGCAGGATAGCCCCAAAGCACCTAGCTGGTCAACCCCCCCTCTCCCCCATTCTCCCCCATTCTCCCCCCTCACACCAAGTTGTCACACACACATAAACAATACAAACTACATCAGCAGACTCGGGAGACATCTCCCGTCACGCAGGGTGCAGTCGCACCTCCACAGATTTCCAGTATCATCTATTGATACTGGTAATGGCTCAAAAGGGCCACCACTTATGGGCTATTCATGCCCGTGCCACCTTTTGGGTGGCTTAATCCTCATCAATCAATCAATCATCAGCAGACCTACCTAGAGCCTCATCAGCAGAGTTCATGATCCAGTCAGCGGATGAGCTGACAAGACCGTGCTGGAGGTAGACGGGTGGGCGGTCTGACGAGGGCCCTGAGAGACCATAGGGAATGCGGTGCAACTCCAAGATGTACCCGTCCTCCGTCGTCACATGATGAATCTCTACTGGGTAGCCGAAGGCCTCAATCAACTCAGGCTGCGTGAAAAAATTTTACGACAAAAATTATGAACATGCCCCAAAACTAAATCCTGAAAACGAAATTGGAAAAATCATGAGACATCTCCATATTCATTTAGTAACGCATAATATTCGGTAATGTATGCAATTTATTGTTGTGGAATGTTTAATAATCAATCTGAACGAAATAGTCAAACACATGCAATGTTAAAATAACACCATTAACCATTAATATCTCTAAATCAGCTACAACTGCTAGGAAGCATTTATTTATAAAGCAACTACTCCAAATTTAGCAACTATTGTGCTAAAGTCACAATAACGTGGCTGAAGTATGTTGATCAGACCACACACTAGAAAGTGAAGGGACAATGACGTTTCGGTCCGTCCTGGACTATTCTCAAGTCAATTGTATCGACTTCGACTTGAGAATGGTCCAGGACGGACCGAAACGTCGTCGTCCCTTCACTTTCTAGTGTGTGGTCTGGTCAACAGAAGCACTAAAATTATCCTACGGTAATTATATATCAACACTGCTTCAGTCCCGCCCTCTACACTACTATAATCCAGCCCCTACACTACTACAACCTCGCCCTCTACACTATTATAATCCAGCCCCTACACTACTACAGCCCCGCCCTCTACACCACTATAATCCAGCCCCTATACTACTACAGCCCCGCCCTCTACACCACTATAATCCAGCCCCTACACTACTACAGCCCCGCCCTCTACACTACTTACAGTTAGTATCGGCTGTAGGAGTTAAAGAGAAAAAAAAGAGTGCAGAACTGACGTACCGTAGTTAGGTTTTCTCCCCAGTGTTCCGAGTTGACGACCTTGGGGAGTGTGTATAGGGGTTCATGGGGTCCAGGACCTCTGGCCAGGCAAAGACCTCTGGCCAAAACCGACACCAGCACCACCACCAACAACTTCATTGCACTTTCTGAAAGGTAAAGTTAAAGGTTCTAAGCTGCCAGGTATTGGCGTTTATGCGTTACGTTGCCAAATGCTCATATATGAAATAAACAGTAGATGCTGAATATGCATGAATGATCAAATTTCGGCGAATTATAAATTAACACATAACTTGAGAGTTAATGCATACAGGACCTCTTGCAAAAGCAACCTATTTATATTTGAAGACTGACACTGAGTTAACTTGAAAATGGTATGTAAATAACCTGGCCTGATGCTCACCCAAGAGAGACGACCTGATAGCACTGAGGGTGGCCACGACACACGCTTATATATATATATATCATACTTTGTTTCCCACGGTGGGGAAAAGGTGTGAGAACCTCTCCTGTGCGTTCCCTCTGGCACCCGGCGGGAGACTTTCGTTATCATAGTGCACAGAGTTACACTGAGTATATCTCTTTTTCTCAACTGGAATAAGTAAAAAAAATCACTTGATAGAAAAAAGGATTATTGGACAGTGTTGGCAGTGTGTTTGATGGAGAGAGTAGATAATATATTAATAACCGAATGCTGTGGGATAAACGTTGGTTGGTGTAAAAGGTTCCTTTCCTTTCCTTGAACAATAATTTGCACATTAGCTAGCTTGGTTTAATCTAAGTCTAGGAATGACTAACTGCAATTTTTATGTCGAGTATGATATAAATTACATGATCGAGTATGATATAAATTACATAAAATGAGTGCATTTTACTCATAAGCATGTGAGATGGCTAGTTCATAGAATGGATTGCGTTATTTACAAAGATTGTTTAGCTTGCATGAAAACCATCGCAAATTCGCGAGGCTGTCTCGCATTTTATACCCGCAGTCTTTGCACATTGTGACGTTTTTACAGACTTCATTGGGTTTAAGCCTACTCTAAGAATTTGCGAATTACATTTCTACACTGTTGTCTTCACTTTGTACTATATTAACCCCTCACGCGGACACAAGTCTGTCCATGGAGGTCCCTGTTTTAAAGATCGAAATCCCAGCCGGTCCAGATTTAAACAAAACAATAGGTAATGAGTATTTCATTCATGTCTTAACAAATTCTTGTTCAGCAAACTAGTATTTTGTTGTCTGAGCCAGTAAATATTGTTTGTAGCCGCCAGAGCAACGTTTGTGTTATAGAGTAGCTAAGGTAATTATCTCGAGAAAGCTCTAAACCAATATAATATATATAACACTTGGAGTGGGTATGTGGATAAGGGTCTGGGATGAGAAGAAATATTGCACAATATCAGGACCATCGGGGATCGAACGCCGACCTACAAGAAGCGAGGCCGCTGCTGTACCGACCAGTTTAAATGGATGTTATTTTATACAGGAGTCGCGGTTAGGTCGTTAGAGAACAGTGAGGGGTGAATGCCTCAGTCCTTAATGTGCCCTTACGCATTAAAATTATACAAAAAAAAAATCATAACTGGCATTAGTAAATATTTGTTTGCTCCTATGTGGCAGTCGTTATCTATGATATTAACTGAAAGTTTTCCCACAGCTGTACCCGTACCCATGAAGGTTGGAGTCTCAAGGCCGAGACCGTCGCTACAGCTTGGGGGACGGAGCGCAACACCCGTTTCCCTGTAGTTCCCTTGTTGTTGCTCCTAATCTTTGTTTATGTGTATAACTTCAAACATGATCAAAATAATCAACTGAATGTTATAGCGTTCAAATAATGGCCTTATAATAAACACAAATAGTGTACCTACTATATAGGTAACTATTACGTAATCTGATCCATTGTATATAAGGAAGATACAGACTGTATCACAGATACAGACTGTAGCACAGGTACATATTATAAATAAAATATTTGTATTATTATTATCATTAATTATTGGTAATTAAACTTGAAATTAAGATGTGGTGATTGTCCTTGTAAAAAAAATCACCAGATGCAAATCCTCATCAGCTTAAAGACCAACTTTCAAATGTAGAATACTGCTTAGAAACCCCCACAAACCCCTGCCCCAAACATCATCTTGCTTGGTGATTTCAACTTACGGCGCCTAAAATGGGAAATGTGGAAAATACAGTTATACTAGAGAGAATCCCAGGAAGTTGGAGGAAGTGATGACCCGGGAAGCACGCAAAGATCTTTTACCGATAGAATTCCCATAATAAAACATGTAAACTATTGGGACCACGTAAAATTTTAAATCTGTATTTCCTAAAGCACAGGCAGGAGAGATACATAATAATTTACACATAAAATACAAGGAGGACTGGTTTGGTTCCAAATCTGCACATAGAAATAACGCCACATAGGACCAGAAAGCGTGGGAGGATATGCAAAATATCCACATTGAAAAGTATTATTATTTATTATTAACATCTTTATTGACAAAATTAATTACAATTTTGCCTAATTTGAGAATTTCAATTAATTCTTATTAAAGTGAGGATAATGGTGGTATTCACTGTCACGCAGGACAGAGGGTCATACACAAGACAATAGGTCTAAACTGTAGGCTGGATCACATGTATATCATGGTTACAATCAATGTTTTAATGTATGAATATGTGAAAACAACTTTCGATTGTGCACTGCCACACAAGGGCAGGAATGGGTTCATAAGTGATGAAGCTTAGAAGTAATATAAATAAAATTGTTCTTCATTCTTTAAAATGGACAAGCAAATTTTAATTAAATTGTTAGGATGTCGTCCAGAACACCTGAGTCAATTTTTTTTTTTTAATACATGAGGTACATCTTCATTTGTGCAGCTACCCTAGACTATATGAAGTGGAGTACAGTGTGTCAAAAAAGCTAACTACGTGATGCTAAAAAATCCCCATCACACAGGATGGTTAGTTATATAGAGGCATGTGTTAGGCAGTCTGCACTGGTAGACTCCGGATGGATTTTGAGGATGTCATAAACACAAGAGTGAATAAGGCAGCAGTGGTAATAAAAGTCCCCATCTCGCAGGATGGTTAGTCATACAGGGCCATATGTTTAGTAGCCTGCACTGGCAAATTTTGGGTGCAATATGAGGATATCCTCAAGAATACGAGAGTGAATAAAGTAACTGCAAAGCTCCAGGTACCTCATGCCAACTGGTCTGAAAGGTCTAATAACTGGGCATTCGGTGATGTAGTGTGGGAGATTATGCCGCAGTTCCTGTTCACAGAGTTTGCACCTGGAGTGCTCAGGATTGGGAGATCTGTCACCTGTAGCCACCTGCCACAGGTAACGGTAACCCAAGGCTCACCTGAGTCAATGAAATAGTTACACAGTTGGTGGCACAAAAGGCCAGATGGTCTAAAGTATTTTACGGTTTCACATTCAACAATATAGTGTTCTAGTGAATGCATTAAAGGTTTATCACAGTGTTTACAATCTGAGTATTCTGGTAGTGGCTCAGCCTCACTAACCTGCTAGATGTGTCTATAGCCAAGGCGAATTCGTGCAATGACTACGTCACATTGCCTGGTCCGGTTACTGTGCTGACCCATACAAATACCTATTATTACAAAACTTGTCATATCTTTTAATACTGTAGCTTTCAGGTCTCTGGGCATTTCTTAGTTCTTCTAAATCTGAATTAATTTCTTTAATTTGTATGTTTCTAATAATTGCATTAGATAGTCCAAAGTCATACTCAATGTTTTCTTTCCTGCAAGCCTCATTGGTCAATCGATCTACAAAGTCAGACGTGTAATAGGTACACTGAGAGAACTTCAACATCAAAAGGCCCATGACCTTTCAACACTCCCCCTCTACACATAAGGGGCATAGCTGGCCAACCTCTCACAGCGCTAAAAAGAACTTGATAAACACCTTCAAAAGAGACCTGATCAATCAGGCTGCGATTCATACATCAGGATACGACCAACCGCGCCGAGGACTAGTCAGAACCCGGGCCGCGGGGACGTTAATCCTCGGAATCATCGAAAGGTAACTGAAAGGATGGATTTAGATCCTTCCATACAATTTGTTTTAATAGTTTTATTTGGGTTGAGCTTCACAGTCTGCGTTATTTTGAAATTGACTGTTTATTAATACTAAATTTTATTAGCTTGTATGTGATTTAATTTGGTGTGGTGTCTACACGCAATTACCTACTTGATGGGGCTTGATACCTGCTTGATGGGGTTCTGTGAGTTGTTTTACTCCCCAAGCCCGGCTCGAAGCCAGGCTTGACTTGTGAGAGCTTGGTCCAACAGGCTGTTGCTTGGAGCGGCCCGCAGGCCCACATATCCACCACACCCCGGTTGGTCCAGCACTTCTTGAAGAAAACTATCTAGTTTTATCTTGAAGATGTTCACAGTGGTTACGGAAATATTTCATATACTTGCTGGGAGGTTGTTGAATAACCGTGGTTACATTGTGTTACACATTCTTTCATAGAGAATAGGAGTTAAAATATTGTTTATTAATAACAAGTTTATAATAGTAAATAAATAAAGTAAATAATTGTAAATATATAATAAGAATATGCAGTGGCATTAAGTACGTATACTGTTAAGATAGGCAGGGGATAAATTTCATTATCAATGGAGGAGAGGCAGCTGCCACTGTCACCTGATGTTATTCCCAGTTTTTCCAATACCAGCTGTTTCACACTCCCAGCTGTCTCACACTACCAGCTGCTTCAAGCTACCAGCTATTTTACACTACCTTCTCTTTCCCGCTACCAATTGTTTCCCACTACCTATAGTTTTCCCATTACCTGCTGTTTTCACACTACCAGCTGCCTTCCCACAATAGTGGGTGAAAACAGCAGGTAATGGGATAACAGCAGATATACCTGTTCTTTCCTCACTACCTGCAGTTTTTACACCACCATCATTTTTTTATTTTTATTTTTTTTGCTACCTACAGTTCTATATCTGCTGTTTTCCCACTGTGGGATATTACTTTATCCTGACTGCAATTAAATGTAGCATCACCCATTTGCATATGGCATATGGCTTGCTAAAGCTGTCCAGTTTTATAAACTACTAAAACAATAGGTACAATACCTGGGTACGCTAGTTGAATGGGACTCCACTGCGGGTGGTTCTGTGAAGGAGCACCCTCAGTGGAGTTCCATTCAACTTATATGCGTACTGTATAAGCTCCCATTTCAAGCTTATACAGTACAAGTGTTGACACACGAGCAATTCAACATCTGTGGAGATAGTTTCACGGAAATGCAAGAGTAACAACTAACATGTTTATTTAAGAACTTACTTCCTAATACAGAGGGGCTTGATTACTTGAGACTGGTGTCGGTCAAAGCTAATTACATCAGACACACATTAAATGTTTAATAGATAATGGTTCCTCCATGGAACAAAATCTCGGTTAACACTTGGCAAGGAAACCAGTCAATTACCGTAACTCTGCTTCCTAACCACTGCCGGTATGCAAAACTGGGACACAGGATCTTAATTAACAGGATGCTTGGGTAATCACATGCACAATAATCACACAAATATCTTTCAATAGGACAATCAACAAAACATAACAGATGGATAGCTTTATGTGTAGTGTGCTGACACGTAAGCTAGTTTCTTAGTGAGCACAACTCATTTGCAGCACGATTCTACCCCACAGGTAAGTCATGTGTTCACTGATTTTAGCCTTCATCTGTTGCAGGTGTTGGATAGGCAAGACTGATTGGCAGATCACATAGTACAGTACTGCACACACACACATACAATAATATAACAAATGCTGTACCTACAATGACTGGGCCTCATACAAGTAGCTCCATAGGTAGTCTGGCAGCTGGTTCTTATGCTATCCACATGTGGAACATTGGTGGAGTTCACTCTCTAGGTGTCTCAGTCCTTCCGAATGTGGCAACATGCAAGGATTTTCCAGTAGTAGTGCTGGCATCCTTCACTTCTTCACGTAGCAGTATACAAGGTATACATGTAGCAAGATGCATAATACGCTCATGACTGCACATGGTAGCATGCAAGATGTATGGTGGTAGATAATGTCATGCCATTACATAAGGCATTTCATGTAATTGTTGCAACCCTTCCTGATTTAATGTCATTCATTGGCGACTAAGATTTCAATTGATCATTAGTCCCTCTCTCTCTCTCTCTCATGGTGTCTTTGAGCTTATGTTAACAGCTTTACTTCAGTATAAATTTGGAATGCAATTCCAGCATATATATTAAAAGAAAAGTATCTTGTGGAGTTAACTTTGTGTTGAACTTAGTGCACTGGATTAAATCTGTTGGTATATCAGACAAACATCATGCATGTCTCTACTGCAGGATTCCTCGATGTAGAATGCCAAGGATGGCTATGTGGGAAGTTCTCCCAGGCTCTTTGAGAGCCAACAGCCTAGCCAGTGAATTAACCATTGAGGGACAAGCACTCATGTCTGCTCCAAAGCTCAGGCAAAGGAAGGCAAGGTGGAACATCATTGCTACATCATGACTCACAGTCAAACCGTTAGCTGACCCGAGGTTCTTCCCTTATCTGGGTCTTAACTGGAAGTTCCTTCTTGTAGCTCAATAATATATGGCTTCCCTCTCTGGCAGACACTACTGCATAAATGTTTAAATTCATCCTAGTTAATCAATCAATTCACACACGATGTCTTCCGTTTAATAACCTTTCTTGTGGAAACCAGGGCTATCCAGCGATACCTATATCATGGTAACTGAATTCAGGAAGTTCAATTGGTGGCAAGCCAACTGTATTCACTACTGCACAATAGGTCACCTTCCAAGTATTCTGCTACTGCCAAGTTTGCTTGTTGAACTAATAGCTGCTAGGCTTCATCAGACTAGGTTGTTAAGGTTAATGACCCCTATAACCAATACCTGGCAAACATGAGAATTAAAACACTACTATATCTGTATTTACTCTCCTATATTGGGAAATTAAAAGCTTTATAAAATCAATGTTTATTATGTTTGAATCTTAAGTCTTGTTGACTAAAGATAAAATAAAATAGTATAATTCCACATTATGAATAATTTGTTTAGATATTGTGACAAAAGAGCAGCTAAACAAATTACAAATATATTAGAAGAAACTAAATTACTGTCAAATTAAAACAACCTGAGATAATCAAGAACAGTAGTAGTACAATTTTGGCACCTAAGTAATAAAACCTTTCTCAGTCATGTTCATTTTCATATTAGTAGAAATTGGCACATAAATTTTAATAAATTTCTAGCCTACTGTTCTTGTCTAAACCCTTCAGTGTAAATGACAGCATAATAACCACTTAAGATATAAAATTTTTGGTAACAATGTACACAATCATACATGGCAAAATAGAGCAAAATAAAAGTACAGTACTGTAATATAAATACAGGATGACTGGATCTCTGTAAAGGATTATAAAAGTAATATGACTTAGAAAAAAAGTAAGGGCTTTAGCATGATCCTGATACTACTGTTTTATGGTATACTGCACAATCCAATTTTTAAGCACTTTTTTTTTTTAAACAAATGCCTTACAGAAATTTAATGATCTGAAGATTCATTTTATTTTCCCTCTAAGGCAACCCACTGTAAAATCAGGATCCTACTTTACTGTACATGAAAATATACTCCCAATTTTGACCCACTGAAGATATGACAAATACAGTACATCAAGAATTCGGGCATATAACTTCCAATGAAAGGAAAACAACGGATTTAAGAGACAGTAATTAGTCTGGAGGAAAAAAAGTTCATCTATTCATGTTATATATATTGGGACAGGATGAAGTAAGTAGTGGTTTTACATTTTGAACTTTGATTTAAAATGAACCAAAGTGGGAAAATCAGTTATATGATATGAAAATTTGGGGTAATAGACAACAGCTAACAAGTGGATGTGATATTCGAATAGAAATGTTGGTAAAAGAATAAGATGAGGTTTGAAAAGCAATAAAAACCATTAAAAGTTGAGTCTTCATATTATGACTTGCTCAGTTTAAGATGGTCAAAAGTTAAGGAATTAGTAAGTAAAGCCAAGAGCAAATGAAGTACTAAAAATGGTTTACAAGGAAAATTATATAAATAAAATGGTTTAAACTGGAAAAGTTTAAGAGAGAATCGTATGAAGCACATACTTGTACTAGGTGAGAAAATATAAGATAAATATCCAAATTTGGTAGTACTGTACTGAATGGAATGTGATAAGCAAGAAAAAGAACAGTAAAGAAAATTATACAATAGGAAAATGAAATGAACTTAAAAAAAAAAAAAAATCCTGTAAGAAAACTTAAATATATTTAAGAAGCAAGTACTTATTGATGTGCATGAAAAATTACATTGTGAATGGCTTGAAAACAAACTGATGGTGCACCAAATGTGTAATGTTAAATGATAATTTACAATATTTTAATAGGATAATATTAATACAAATGATCCGGAGTAAAACAAAGAAAATTACCATACTTTTATATGGTGTATATACAATGCTGTACAGAAAGCATATAGGCTTATATGAAGGTGATGTACAAGATAAAAGATGCTAATGACTGGAAGACTATGTACTGTAGTTTTCATTTGTGTGGAAGAACCTGTTTAAACTTACTGAATGTATTGTATCTGAAGAATAGACAATAATTGAATAAGGACTTCTTTGTACTAAATCCTTTCCATTTTGTCTTTGGGAAAAAAGTTATAGGAAATAGATAAAACATAGAAGAAATATAAATAATATGTGCACTTATAAAAAAGATGATGTATTTGATTGTCCATCTTGATATAAACTGTTGTCTGGCATAGTAGTACTATAATAAACTTTTCTAAGTGGTTACCATTATTTACTAGGAATAATTCTATGAAATAGCACCTTTATGAATGGTTTAGAATGATATGGCAAAGAAATGAAGTACATATAGCTCAATGGCTTTTAGATGTTGGGAATTTCTTGAATTTTAACAAATCTGATTAAAATATAAAATCTTAAAACCTTGAGAATTTTTCACTTTTACATAAATAGGAAACAAAAACTATAACACTACTGGATAGAGTAAGCAGAGCCTATAATGACAGTTACTAAAGACAAATCTGCAAAAATTAATTGTACAGTATTGAATTAGAAAGCAAAATAAAAATACATACAAACGGATTTCAATCATAGAGGAACTATTTTACTCATTTTTCTCATCCTTAATTGTACCCTAATACCTGGCCAGCTGTATGTAAACGTCAGGCAAACCTCACTCTATCCACACGTTTTTCAGGGTGAGGAACGACAATCTCTAGTATGATGACCAATCCAACATTTGAAAGTCTTTGGCTAAATGTTTAAAATGCATCACATTCTTTATGAAATGAGGGCATCTGAAATGTCTGAAGACTGCCTTAAATCAGTTCTTCAAGGATGGGAAGATTCCCTAGAAAGCAAGGTCTCAACATGGAAGGTAGCAATATACAAGTCAGGGACTGACATTAACAATTTCCCTAATTATTCTGTATGATAAATATTATGCTGCTGTATTTTGTTTTTAAGCTTATAAAGTATAAAAGTAATGTTTGTTTTGTAATATTCCAACAGAAAGAGGAAGTTTCTATACAGCCTTTATAAGTGGAAATTGATAATAATGACACGTCATTTGTTTTAATGAAAACAAAATCTTGAACGTTTTGCATAATATTTTGTTACCGACTACTGCAAACTTTACCATGTGATTTCTCATTCATAGCTTGCTAGATAAGTTCTGCTATATAATATTGTGCAAAAATTTAACAAGAATACTTTTAAAGAAGTAAAAATAACTCCATAATTTATGTAAAATGGCGGGTGGCTCATAAAATTGACATCTAATTCCACAAAGGCATTAAACAGACACAATAAACATATATACAGTAATCTATATCTGAAAGAGCAACACAGACTTTAAATTGCTTGACTGAAGTTGTAACACTAAATTTTTAACTACTATGTAAATTTTTCTTTAATAATTTACAAGAACATTCCCACTTATTCACACACTAAGCGACTATTTAAAAAAAATTTCAAGTATATCAAACTCCAATGATCTTTCAAATTGTTTCACTTTAAAAACTTATTTCTTCTTCTTTGAGTAGAACTTGGCATTAAGCAAGTATATAAGTAGGTTGACATTGACTTCAACTTTAGAGAACATTTTCTTGACACTTACACCTTCATACTGTAACTGGAGCAATTCCTGTAAAAATAAAATAATCTTCAAATTAATGACCCTTATTACAAAATCTGGAAACAATATTGCAAGATAGGTGAGACATTCATCTGGTTTAGCAACTAGGCTAAAAACAACTCTGAAAAGGCAGCTACAGTGGAAAAGAGAGGAGAGCTGGAGCAAAGATCCAAATATTGGGTAATCTAATCACAGGAATACAGACTGGTCAACAAAGGATCCTCAGTGGGGAGTTAACTTCATTACATCCATATAGATTATCATAACATTTACATAATTTGTATAAAAACCCAGGTGATTATAACTAAAAATCCACAAACGGTGATCGCATTACAGTGGGGATCAATATACAACTTTATTTTAAATATACTTATTTTTCTTTTAATTTAGCAGTGCAGCTGGAAAATGCAGTATTTTTGAGTAGATATATAAAAATATGGAAAAAAAAAAATGGTTGCATTTCGATCCTCAAAATGATAGGGCTGAAAAAAATGGAGGCACAACCAAAGGGCTAAGCATGATTGGTGCATTTTATGCTCCAAGGCATCAACAGTTTATTAAAATCTGGGCTATATACCAAACCAATATGTAATTTGTACCATACAAAAATTGAATTCTTGCTTTACATTCACCTTAGTTATCCCTATTTTCTTACAAAAATACCTTTATACTTACAATGCTTTTCTTAAAAATCAAAATGGTATATGAAGAAAAAATATATTCTCACCTGGATGTCGATCTCAACATTTTCCATGGAGACACCCATAAACTTGGCCTGTACATAGAAAATTCCTGTTGTAGCTAAGGGAGTTATCTCAAATAAAAGGTTTTTCTGCTGGGCTTCTGGAAGATCTTCAACATGCAACAGCACACCTTTTTCCATGAGCTTTGTTGCAGTATATTTGATAGTCTGCTTAGATCGGGCTTTTTCTCCACCCTGTTTACCATACATTTGATGTACATTCCTGTAAATAAATCAGACAAGGTCTAAAATGCATGAGGAAAAAGTACAGTAATTTAAATTTTAGACTTTTTAACTAGCTTTGGAGCCATACAGTAAATATTTAAATACAGTACATTGGGTCAAAGTGAACAGTTGCCGACGTTTGCTACACACGTTTTCCAGAAGACACACACATAATTACTAAAACAAAAAACAATAAAAGGCTAAATGATTAGGCTAAGGTGGCTAAAAAAAAAAAAAAGTACAATAACAAGATTCACTCACTTGTTTCTGGCAGCAATATTTTGAAGACAGGTTTTCAGGTATGTCTGATAGGAGTCGAGCTGTTCCTTATAAAAATTTTCTTTTTCCTCAAGCTGTTTGGCAGTTGCTAACAATCTCTGAAGTTCCTGTTAAGTAATCCAGTGGCATTAGTTTTTTATATGTAAAGACAATGAAGCATAATACTTTTATAACAGACCTATATTATGTTAGTATTCTGCAGATGGTACGGTTTGTATGCTTCTCCTATCAATATGCAGCAAATGTTCTGCAACAAAACTTTTCCTACTCTAGTCAGGCCTGGAGGTTCCGTAAATTCTTTTCATGACCATTTATTTCATTTCCCATTAATAGTAAACATTTATAATTAGATTTCTTTCAATTCTATTTACAGAATATATGCATCTGTTCCTGATCCAATTGTACATAATCATCATCATTATAGCCAGTTATAAAGTACACCTTGTAAGGTTTTTAGTGATGGGTTGAAATACAGGATTATGACAACTTCTGTGGTTTAATCAACCATTAATAAATGTTGCTTTTGCTTGTGTCCAATACCATTTTTATTTGTATTTCTATATACATTATGATAGTATTTCTATCATTTTTAATGCTAACCAACATACATACATTTTCTTCTATCATATATAGATATGGTTAGAGATCTTTTCCACTACATATAGTAATGTGGATGTTGACCAGACCACACTAGAAGGTGAAGGGACGACGATGTTTCGGTCCGTCCAGGACCATTCTCAAGTCGATTGTGAATGGTCCACAATCGACTTGAGAATGGGCCAGGACGGACTGAAACGTCGTCGTCCCTTCACCTTCTAGTGTGTGGTCTGGTCAACATTCTTCAGCCACGTTATTGTGACACATCGCCTGCACATGAGTAATGTGGATTATTGAGCACTCAACCACAGAATATGATTGAAGTACTTTAATTTTGTCTTGTCATACCCCAAATCTACTTTTTGTTTTTTTCCTCTTATCATTCATCTTTCCACATTTCATTTAGGTTAATGACCCTGTATCTCGATGAATCCCGCAGTTTCCGACAATGTGTCCCACCGATCTCTAGATTCTGACTGACTAGTCACACCTGCCCTACTTGATACTTCCCTCTCCTACTATTCTTCTCAATCTCTTGTTTTGCCTTACTAACCACACACATCTTTAGGATATATATATATTTCCATGTGTCTTCCACTGGTCCTGGTATATGATTATTTAGTTTTTCTTAATTTTCAGTCTCTAACATGACTGACCAGATTACATTGTGCATTATGTCCAAAACTTATCCTCCAGCTTATGATCATGCAATACAATGTTCCTATGCAAAATAATTTTCATATATAGGGCTAAATTCCCTCACTGTATAGTATTGTTATTTTTTATTATTTAGCACTAATAAATCTTTCCCTAAATATGAAAATAAACTGCCAAAAATAATAAACGATAATCTTAATATTGTATTGTTACCATAATATAGCCAATGCATTTTATTTCTAGTTGGGACCCTATCTGTTAATACATTTCAAATCTTTAACAGACATTTGATTTATGTGATTTGATACCAATGAGGACATGCAGCTACAGTAGTACAGTTTCAGAACAAAGCTGTGATATTCACTAGCATTTAGTAGCAGTAAGGTTCAGTACATTTGTGCCCTGGCTTTTTATATAATAAACTGTCATGTGAAAGTTGAAATGCATTCACACACATTCATGTAAATGTACAAACAAACACAATGGCAGAAATGTATACACACACAGTCAAGCACAGTGAAATCACAAAAATACTATGCATTTATGAGAAAATAATGAGGCCATATGATGGAATCGAACCCACATCCCTGGACTTCCCTGGCATGCAGCCTACTGAATGAACTGTGAAGTAATAAAACCATCTCATCATGGTTCATTCGGTATTGTGTGTGCCTCAAAGGTACAGGGACACAGGTTCGATCCCATCATGTGGCATCAATATTTTCTCACATTCTTTTATCTTCACAAAAACCATACATCTAAATTCAATCTTATTTCTTACCATTTTTCTACATATTCGATGCTGTCTTTGATTAACGATATCACCTGCAATGGCGTTGAGAAGTGTCTGGTAATTGTCTGCACGTGAACTTAGACCTTGATTTTCTAGTCGACGAAGGTTGTGACACAAGCGGGTCTTGACTTCGTGAAGACTAACTCTGAGAAGTAGAAGGCATAACACTGTACATGGAAATACTGTAGTTAACAGAAAATAATAAAATTAAACTAATTTAAAGAAAAATGCAATACAGACATGAACATTGCTGAATGTGATACAATTGATTTTAATTCCAATTATTATCTTTCAAACTATTTGCAATAAACACAGAAAACATGCAAAATATTTTCTCACTATTATTTAACAATTGTTAAAATATTTATCACTACCATCACAAATTTTAGCTATACAAGAAGCTCTTACAGCACCAATACAAATTTTCTATTAAACAAATGATGATTTCTTTGTATATGAAACATTAACAAAAACATTCATTTGCATAAAAAATAATCACCTCATTAGATATTTAGGCAACCAAGCCCATTCTTACTAAATGGCTTGACATATGCTATTCTTAATGCATAATTAGGAGATTGTCTTGAATGAGGACAGCCTCTTTGAAGAATAACTGGTCACCATTAGAAGTAATAAGACAAGTCATGATAAGCTAACTATTAGTTTCTTATACACATCTTATCTAAAGAAATCAGTTACAAAACCAGAACCCTGATATGGGTACAGTACCGTTTATATAAAATTGCAAAGCATGCATGAAATAAAAAATACTTCTCACAAGTACACAATACCTTGCTTCTGAAAGGAACGAATTTGAGCGGTTGAGTTCAGTATGATTCATTTTAGCTTGATGCTCTTGTAGATTACGAGTATGGATGATGCTTCGGTACTTTTCTTCTTGAGGTGGCAGAGTTGGACCTGTAACCAGCTCTCCAACTACTCCCCCCTCAACACACTTTATGACATCTATCAAGAGTTGCCTTGTTCTGGAAAGAAATCATAAATAAATCAGTTAAAATAGTTAAAAGTCAGTTTGAAAGGTGAAGTATGTTATGCAACAAAAGAGAAACACCATTTGCAACCTCCTTATAAGTTACACAAAATACTCTTGTAGTCAGGTAGGGCAGTCACAAAATTCAAAATAAGGACTAATAACAGGTGTATAAAAAATTAATGAGAATGTAAAATGGGTATATATTAGGGATGAGATAATGAAGACTGCTGATGTTGCAAGTTTATAAGTTAATAAATAAATCTATGTAAACAAGCTTAGAGTTAATACCTATTAAAGAGTTTGTTAGAATCTTTGACATCTTTATCTTCTGTTTTTTCAGTCAAATCAAACTTGTTAGTCAGGGCAAGACACACCTCCATTCGACCAACTGTGCCTGATCCTGACTCTGGAAAATAACAAAAAATTACAAAAGAACAAATTTTATTTAAATAATTGAGTAGGAAAGAAAGATGTCTAAATCTACTGGACAAGATACCCTCAGTATATGGTCAATTAATAATTAATTTACTATATTTGTTGTGTGATAATCACAGTACTGTACACTACAACCCCCCCCCCCCTCTACACTACACAACATTGAAGGCATCACACTTATCTATCTCTATTCAACATTACTTTGCCACAAATGCCTGCACCTATGAGGCAAGACTCTGATCCCCAATGAACCACCACTACCTGCTCCATTTAGCTTTGCCAGCTTGCCTCAGTATAAAAATCATCTCTACAACATTGTGAGAAGTGGCAGTAGTACACAAATAATTTGTCTTTTGCAAATTTTGAAGGAAAATTTTTTACTCGACTGAAATCAAATAAGTTTAGAAAATGTAATAACCATATGATTTTATTTCAATAGATTTTTGTAGGCAGAACAGTAGTTTAAACATTATTAAAATATACTGGTGTAGTAATGCATACTAAATACAGTATCAGTGGTAATACAGTAATCATAATGGAAAGGCTCTGGTCCCAACTTTTATGTATAAACTAATTTTTACAGTAAAACACCATACCAAAATGCTATAAAATCTATCTCACCAATTGCTTCTCCAACCAGACTCTGCACTGATGGGCGCTCTCCTAGGTCTGATAACAAAATGTGAAGATGGTCACTGCTATCAGGAGCAAGAATTTCTTCATGGTCCAATAACAACTGGTGGGTCTCACATATTTCCTAATAAGAAGAAATGGTTGAAAGTTTATACAGTGCATATAAAAGCAAGATGTTATGCATGAAGAATTGAAATTAACACATTTGTAGTATGAAATTACAAATGATATTCCCTAAAAGTCTGGATATAATGGAATATTCAGCTAAATTAGATTAACCCCTGGCACTGTGCACCATGGCTGGGGCTGTATTAGGGTACAGCATAAGATTTAAATCTCCTATGGGTACATGTGGCTCACATCGGCTTTCTCAGGCCTCCAGTAAACACGCCATTTTGAAAAACATTCGAGGGCACCATTACTGGATATGAAGGCGTTAGGTCTAAGTGAGCAACTAAGGGTGACATATGCAGCATGAGCAAACAGAGAATGATGAATAAATATGAAAATATTCCAGCATCAATAAGGTGGATCCCTAAAGCTAGATCTCAAAACCTCTAAGCACAAAGAGGAAATTATACAATAATGTATTTGAATGAGACATAAAAGAAGCCCCCAGATTCTATTTAAAGGTGCTTACCTAGTTGCCTCTTCAGGAAATGAGATTCTGCTTTGAGTTCTGCCTCATACTGTAGCCATTTTACTTCATGAATTTATACCTCCTGACTTTCCATTTCTCTTTCATACTGCCACCACAAACTGAGAATGTTGGTTGTTCCAACACCTATGCTAATTTTCTTCATGCTTTACAAAATGTGGTTTCATGGTGGAGCAGTATACTTACAGACTGGTCTAACAGATGTGTATAAGCAAAGATGTATAATGGTAAAGTTTCACTGTAATATGGCGAGATCAACTGGGATGTAGAAGTCTAACGTATCTCATAAGTTGGTGATGAGCAACGTATTAGTACAGGTAGTGAATGAATAACATCCCAATTTCAGTTACAATGATGCAATACTGTACCTACATATTAACAATGAACAAATTAACTCCAAGAAAAACACAAAACAAGAATACCTGCACAGTAATGTAAATAGTTGGCTTAACAATTAGTGTTGCCTCAGAGTACTGTGTAACATTATACACTGCTTCTGGCTCGTCCACTTCGCAGCATTGACGAAAGAAAGTCTTGAACTTCTCGTGGCACTCCACAATGAAAGGATTGAGGCACTTTAGATGTGATGCTTCATCACCAAATCCTGGGGAGGAATTCAATAGATTTTTATCTTAAACAAATTAATAATAATTCTATCTATATTTGGGGATTGATATTCACTAGTTTAAATTTTAGTAGCCATTCTTTTAATAAATGTAAGGGGTAATTTTTGGTAAAATGCATAGGAACAGTAACATTTTATTTTTAATTACTAGATGAAAGTTGCCTATTGCTCTATTTTGTCTAAACATTCCACATTTCAACTTGCTCATTTAATACATTCTGATTGCAATTCATACTTCATTATATTTTGTGATACATATTATGATACCTGTGGCCAACCTTTCCTGGCTGTTTGCCTTCATAGCCACAAGGTTGAACATAACCATCATAGTCACACTAATCTTGTAACTTGAGCAGACACTTTTCCACTTTTCTCTTGAAAGTTTTCACTATTGTTCCAGCAACATTTTTTATATTTGTTGGCAGGAGATTGAAGAGTAATAGGCTCCTCATGTTTACATTACTCTCTAATTGTGTTTATGGCACTCAGACTTACATTAATTTATCATTATAATCTAACAAAGCACAAATCTAGTTCCAACTAGCCAAAATATTTGCCCATTCAATGCAATAGTAGTGAATATGTTCTCACCCTTCTTAGAAGCAGCAAATTGAAGAATTTTTGCAATGCTGGCAAGATTGCGACGCTGGTTATTGTTTAATTTTTGCTCAGGAGTTACAGTCACAATGTCAAAAGCATCAGGAGCCACAATTGCAGAGTTGATATAGCGATAATAGACAAGATTTCCCACCACCTGTGAAATAATAAATTAATTGTTATTATGTACAAAAATGATCTCACTAACAATTATGAGCATCATTGATGTATTACAAGTAGAGGCCAGAAATAGTTTCACTGATGTATTACAATTAGAAGACAGAAATAGCTTCATTGCTGTATTACAAAGAAGGCAGTAATCTTGTAGACTAGAATGATCAAACACTCAAAATGTAATTAAAAAAATATTTTGGAAAGGGTCGCAAAGTTTTCTAAGCAAAAAATTAAGAGTTTGAAGAGCAAGCAGTTAATGCATTTCTACAATATTGGGCAAAACCTTGGTGAATGAATAGTGCAAAGCAATAGTAAAAATTTATGTGGTGTAAAATAAAAGTGGAAATGTTAAAATTGTGTAGTGATTCAAGTTCAGAAAAAGTAAGGCAATAATAATATAATATAGGTGTTTATATATATGAGCTGTGATGAAGTTGTTTCAACAGGTTCCACATACTATGCCTAATTTTATGTCTGATTATTGTGCATCGTTATTATTACATCATTTCCCACTTGCAGAAGGTGGGGAGGTATCAGCTCTGAACAAATAGGAAGGTAATAAAGGGCAAACAAAATTTTTTAGATTATATTGTTCCAGACCTGAATCAATTTTGCTGGAAATCCTGATTTCCCAAAATTTGTCCACCAAAGCTTCTGGATTTTTTGTATAACAAATGATAAAATACTTTTTTATTCATATTTGGATACACAAATATATAAACAAAGATTTTTGTGGATTTTTAAGTTACTGAAATGAAAGGCACAGATGGGAACCAATAATCACGCCCCCTGTACACCATACAAATGGTGATTGATACACACAAAAATAACTAGCTGCTTGGATGGAGGAGGACAGTGAACCAGCAAGTTGTCTCCGGCCTGATCCCCCTAGAGGTGGAGCCATGGAAAAACATCCGGGTTCAGACAGTGGGCCAGAATATCGAGAAACCAAGGCCGAGCCAGTCATCAAGGAGCCAGAAGGATCACCCAGCCTGTGTAAGTCTCCAATCTGGCCAACAATTGGAGCAACAGCTGGACTGAAGAATTAAATGAACCTCCACCTCGATCAGTCCAGCCAAAAGGCTAGATTGATATACCTGTAATGACACGTATATCAAATCTAGCTTTTGTTGTTTGATTGATGTTATTAGACTTTATAGTCCAGCTTTTATTATTAATCTAAATGTTCTCATTTTTTTTTTGTTTTGTTAATTTTCATGTTTCAAAGTATGTTGAATTTTACATTCTCTAATGTTCATGCTTCTGTATGTGTAAAGTTTTCCTGCCCATTTTTGAGAGTGTAGCATGTCTGCACCCCATGAGAACAGAGAGAGTCTAGATTCCACAGAGGGTGTGTGGCGTGTGCTCATGAGGTGCCCACCTCACTATGTGAGGTTACTTACCTCAGTTATATCAGTTTACAGTACAATCATCCATCTGGTGAGAGAGAGATTATTTACCATTGTATTATGTTCCATTCCCTGTGTCTTTTAATAAATGTAATACACACACTATGATAGTTTGTTCGAGTCCTGCCAATTCCAAATAAGGTGTCGGCCTCAAGTGCTTACTCTTGTGTTCGTGGTTTTTCATATAATAAACATTTGTCACACTGCCGCAAACTCATGCACCATACTGCATGCCTGATGGAGAGGAGCAACCCAACAATCCTAAAAGGCCTGGTGAGCACTGGTCACAAAACCCCAACCCAAGGCCCAGGAACATATCTGCCAATGAGAGAGGAAGGCACCACGAACCATAGTGCCCCCTCACAACAATAAACCTCCAAAAGGTGCCCAACCTGAGCCCCACTAAGGAGTCAAAGACTCTTCAGCATTACTCAGGGTGAGGCACCCTACACAATAGTATGACCTCTCAGGGGAGAGCTTCTGGACCCACCCGAGAAGTCACTGTCAGGGCAACACCAATTAATCACCTAGGGAAGAGCTAATAAACCAAGTCCACACAGCAAGTGAGACATGGAAACACTCATGTAAAGCAAACACTAAACTTAGAAACAGTACACAAGCAATTGGCCCTTTTAAGAAAGTCCAAAGGATGGCCTCATTCATCTGGCAAAAAAAACTGGCACCCACTAAAGCCGGCAACTCAAGGAGCAATCCTCACATGGTGACTAATGACATGCCTGAGCTCTGTTGACATGGGGAGCTGGAGCTCCCAGTAGTGCTGCCATGTGGTGGTGGCTAGTTGGAACTACAGGGGGTTTCAACCTAAATGCTGGGTGGATAGTTTGCAGAGTCATTTGCTGCTTCATTTCTTTTCTTTCTATGAACCTTGCAGTTGTCTGTTTTGCTTCACTTTTACTTCCTGGATGTTTCCTTAATGGGAGGATTGTAACAATCCCCTGCTCCCTGCACCTCTGTGAGGGAGCCATGATCTGGCTATTGTCTCTGGTAGGCCATTAATAATGTGACTTATCTGTGGAGCTATCTGAGCGAGCAAGCTAAAGGGAGCCACAATTCAGCCCTTCCAGAATTACATTTGTGGCGTTATGAACTGGAGGATGTCAAGAAATACAAGCATAAAAAAACATAGGATTTGTTCTGTATTAAAGCTGAATAGTTCTACCTCACCTTCAGTATCTCCTTCTCTTGAACATGAGGGAAGCGGCGCTGGAGTGCACACCTCATAACACGCGCCATATAGAGCATGGCATATGGTATGAGATCCCTGTTGGCTGTAATTTGTTGACAAAATGCTAAAGTGACTTCTTTCAGTGTAGTGATGGCCTGAGCCAATCTCTTCTGAACTTCAGGGTGCTGCATAGCTTCATCCTGGTTCACAGTGTATGGTAGACCACTGGAATGTGTAAGTATATCCATAAAAATTTGTTGTTTATTAGATCATTAATATGCAATATGTTAATTGGTCAATTTGCTACTTATGTAAATACTGCACTATATTTCCAAACAAATTAAAATTAATTTACTTGCTATTCATGGTAATTTTCTTCAGAAAAAAAATTGACATGCAGAAATATTTCAGGCTCCTTTAAAGACAAATACACTAGTAATATTTGTTCATATCACCTTAATTCTAACTTTGCACTATAGCGCATTCTAGTTTCCCAAATTTAATATACTGTATTTTTTGAAAACTGCACTGTGCAGTTACCTCTGAAGCATCTCAACAGCTTTGAAAAGCCAGCCATTGGTTAAGATAAACTACAATATAACCTCGATTTGACAAACTATATAGGACCAACCTATATATTCGAAATCCAATATTCATTGCGAACAAACAAACATACATACATTACCTTCAAGAGGCATTTGAAAGTTGTAACTTTTAAGACAACAAAAATACTTTTATCTTTTAATGTTGCTGCCTTCTACTAAAAATAATACAAAATGTGATTGGAGTCATTAACTGTTACCATCCATCCTCTAAAATTTCCCGGATTATGGGCTAATTTCACCGAGTGAAATTGTAATTTAAATGTATCAAATAATGGGTAACTTTCCCACAGGTCTGTGAACTCTGGCCATGCCTCCTAAGCAAATCCACATATAATCAACTTCACAAAATCAACAAGCACTTGTTCGGCAAAATGGGCAAGTAAATTAGGTCTGGAGAGTGCAGTGTGTTGTAACTGGAGATTGCTGAAACAAAGTTCACCAAATTGAAGTTGCACTGCACTGAAAACAAATAATTTACCTTTATGCAAATATAACTATAATGGATAACTTGATAAAATGTAAACAAATAACTTGCTTTAAGTTTTGTTGTAAATACAGTAGTATTAAAGTAAGTTATTTCTTGTTTTAACCAAATTTATTTGCTTTAAAATATAAAACATTTTATATTTTAAAATATTAGACCGAGCATTGTGTTATTGCATATAAACACACTGTTGAACGCTCACACCAAGTTTGGAAAAAATTTAGCACCACTATACTGTAACAAACTAGGCTGTTGTAAGAATTATTCCAGAAGGTTCCAGAAGTTCGAGTAGGGACCTGACCTCTCAACAACGCCCAGTCCCCTGGGAATTAGCAGGTCTGAGTCACAAATGGCGGGCATCTTTGTTCATAGCTGCGTATAATGAACCATCCTATAGTATTCAGTAATTTAGAGAAAATTAGCCTTTATTCATTTTGCATTAAAATTGTATTGTATAATAGTACTGGATACAATATCAAGAGTATTCTAATTATTGAGTTTAAGTCACCATCAGTGACGTCACGAATCAGATCTAACTTTTAAGGCGGAGTGACCGGCGGTCATAGGTCATCAGGGGTTGACAGGTCTACTATTTCTCAAAGTTTTAATAACCATTTTTGTGATCGGGAACAGCTCTGCCGTTAGATGTTTGTAATTTAATTCAGTAAAATAATTCAACCAGTCTGGATCAATTAAGTACAACAGAGGTTAATTGTTATAACTTAAACCTTGCTAGTAACTGGGTAGGACTTTGACTAGGCGGAAGGATACAATACTCTGTCTGGGGTAGTCCAGACAAGGAAAAAATCAGTGTGATCTGCCGAGCAGCTGGGAGAGGTCAAACATCTTACCTCTCCCCAAGACCAGCCCAACATCCTAGCTGGAAAACATAGAGGTATAGTTGCTATGGTTATGTATAGAAATAGTCTTCTCATTTGCCACTCAGGTCAAGTAGGGAGTGTTAAAGTGATAGGGAGTGAACATATTTAGATTTTGTTTTAGTTTTCTTTTAATAAATTAAATTTGTTATTAATTTGCATTTTATTGTTTCCATGTGTTTTATGTGTATACTTGTCCTGGTCACGTGGTCCACACGAGGCAGAGTTGCATTGGGCGCCGATTCTAACATCGAATCGGAATTATCATTACCGTGTAATTTATTCCACACTCAAGGTCATCGTTTATAGTGGGGATCAAGCCCCTAGGTTGATTAATTAGCGTGATCGATCCAGACCTCGATCATTGCTCTTGTATTACTGGTCTGGTGGTGGCAGCAGAGGTGACTCTAGGGTTTTGTTCAGAGCTTAGGTCACGTCATACTGGGTGTAGAATCCTAAGTCGGTCAATCGTCTTAGGACCACGTGGCGTGGAGTTGGCTTTGTTAAAAGTTTTGGAGTCCCTTGGTTTAGAAATAAAAGTAAGAATACGGGTAGAGGGAGTAGAAGGTAGAGAAATAGAGAGAGGAACCAAAACCCGTGTTACAATACAAGACAGGAAAATGCAGTTTTACAAAAATAAGTTTTACAAGGTTTTACAAGGTGCAGTTTTACAAAATGCACCTTGAATTTGATGCAACTGAAAATTCCATATAATTTACATATTTCATCACTGCATTTATAAATAGACCTTTATTTAAATTCCTCACTTCTTATGCCTATTCTTCAAACTGATACACATTTCTACAATTTCAGTCTCATTATTGTATGGTATTTTATACGTTTTCCTACTAATGCCCAAATATATATATACAGCACTCCAATTTTAATTTTTTATTTATATTTTGATTCTTAGTCTTGCATTGGATAACAATAACTCAAAGTTACACATATCAGCACTTTAATACTAGGTTTTTTAAATGCAGGTGAATTTCAGAGCAACACATGCCAAGAACATGTTACAACAATTAATTTTAGAATCTACCAAGTTATCAACAGATTATTGAGCTTCCATACATCCTAGGAAAAAATTGCATAAACTTTTCCACTTTGCATTCTGAACTTCATTATGTGCGGAGTCTGAAGTAGAAAAAAAAAAAAAAAAACTGACTTGGAGAACTCAGGAACCTAATCAAATTTTTCCAATGGATATTATCAAAATTTGATTTGCATGGGTTTTGAAGAACAGTACCTCCCATACAAATAAAAGGTATCTTGTATGCTTATATCCAGTGTATTTCAATGTACAAAATTACTTTATTCAGTTTAAAACTATATTACTGTACCGTGTATGTCTTACCTGGTTTGTCCAGAGTTCATTTCCAGATGATTGATCCAAGTCTTATAAATCTCAACAGGATTGGTGTTGATCTGCATGTTAGTATCACCAAGGACCTGTAAATAACATATATTGCCCAATTCTCATCATGATGCACATGAACAAAGGGAAATTATCTCAACTCTCCTAATTTTGTTATACATATAATAGGGAACTAAATATGGGTGTACATCTTTTTTAGCAACATTAGAAAAATAAAAACAGGAAAAGGTTAATAGACAGGATGTAAACAAATATTGTTTGGATACCTGGAGATTATAAGAGAAGCAGTTATATATTTATGGCCTACCAGAATCAAAAAGCAAAACAAAAAAGCAAGACAGATAATGATTAGCATAAAATATTGAAGACACTGTATGCAGACATTTGTGAATTATAAATACAGCATATAAAAATACATTCACCACCACCTTATAAATCATTTCCACCCAGCTTTGTCCCTTACTGTCACTTTCAGTCAAATATAATCTCTTCAACTTACCATCACCACTTTGTTTAACATATCCAAACCACTTCAGTATGCTCTCTTGTAATTTACTGACTTTCACTACACACCTCTCTACGAGTTTCAGTTTTTAATTATTCCCCTAACATCACCATTTTTCAGATTATCCATTTATAATGCGCTTGACTATTTTTAACATTCATACCATCCATTATTTCCCCAATCATACACAAGTCAGCACTCGTATATAAAATTCATTCCTCTACTTCTCATTTCCTTTTGTCTCAAACCTACCACATCAACCTTCACTCGACAAAATTATGAGCAATAATATTTGTACATTTGGTTTATATAACAACTAACCTTGTGAATGAGTGGTCCCAACATATCTCTCAATGAAGCCTGTCCTGCCCCTTTTCTGTTGAAGGATACAATCATCTTCACTACCAGGGGATTGCCCGATACTATGTCACTCAAACGAAGAACCTTACACCTGAAACAAATGCCCAGATTAACTAATGATTAAGGACATAACTATTATGAACTAAAAAAAATTCTACTTGCAAGCCTACTTATTATTTTTTATCTTTTAATAACGGTGCAATTGTTACTTTCTTGGTAATTACAAGACGATATATACATTACTGCAGTATAAAAAAAAGGGTGATTATAAACTAGAATGCATAGAACTATATACATAAACACACCATGATCATCTCTTCTCCCCCCCCCATCCCTTCAGGTGGTGTATGGAAAGCTGAACACCAATAAATTATGTAATGCAGTGATCCAGGTTATTTCACCCACCTTATCTCTTCTTCGAGTGCAGTTTTGAATAATTTCAAGAGTAAATAATTATCACGATCATTCGCCCCATAATTGTACAGAGTAAAGATTACATTCTCTATAAACTTGGTAGTTTTGCCTGGAGGAATGGCAAATATGAGAGTAGCGAGATAATGAGGCGAAGTCTGCAGGAGGTAAAACAGATGCTGGTAGCATAGAAGCTTCTCTCTGGATTCTTTCTTGAGTGCCTGTAAACGTGACAAATGGAATGGGTCAGTGGGGAAGAGAAAACTTTAGTCAGAAATCTTTAGTCATAAGCTAGCCTGTAGCTAACTACAGTATTCAGCCAAGAAGGTTTTACATGTGCATACACAAACACTGAACCATCTACTGTACTTATAGAATTTAGTAAAAAATCTCTAAAAAAAAAAAAAATTCAAGAAAAATTATAATTATATACACACAACCTCCTATTAAGTACCTATATTCTTATTAGGTTCAAAACTTACAAAAAGTAGGTTCTTAGTAGAACCTTAGTAGGTTCTAACCTACTAAGTAAATATATCAAGTCCTCTTGAAATAATTTGCATGATTAATGTTTGAACCTATGAAGGCTTGAATGGTTCTGGTACTAATTGAACAAAAACAAATTGCAAACAAGCATATACTTCTTTTTTAACCATGCTCAATGGCTTTCCTATGGCCCTAACTTCCAAGTATTGTGCAAATATATAAAAATTTACAAAAAAACAAAAAAACAATTAGAACAAGAAAAAATAACATTTATCACCTCTAATGTCCTACTCTCTAAGAGTGAATTTTTCTTACTAATATTTTAATTTCACCTCCACTCCCCCCCTCCCATGACTGGTACCAAATACTGTACAGGAACATAGTTGTGGATGACTGGAATAATTAGATGAGGTCGTAGTGGTGGTGGATGTCAAAACCACCACAAGCTTCAAAACGTCACACGACAAACATTCAGTGTGGGAAAATGGGACACCATGCATAGCCCTCATCTTATAACTATGCAGATAATTACACATACATACTCTACATATTTATAAATGAAATCCAAGCATACCTTCAGTCCTCTCTGGGTACGTACTGTCCCACACTTTAACGTATCTTTAAGGCCTTTTCTGCTCTTTCGTGATTTAGACTCTGGAACATTGGGATTCATATTTTCCTTGTCCACTAGAAGGACATCCTGTAAAAATAGATATCAATAAGAAAATTAATAAAAACAAAAAATACTTAAATAAACAAGTCTTTATACAACTGTAGTTAACCTGTTTATTAGAATGATCGTGTATCATACAAATTAGAACGAGGTGTGTATTCAAACAGGGCAGTGTTTACAGCTGGAAAGTACATTAGTATCCTGAGGGTAAAAAAAAAAACAAGAATTGTGTGTATGCTGCAGGAAATCCCTAACTAATGCAGAAAGAAAAACAAAAATTGGCTAGGTTGAAGAGTATATTGTATGTATAGTATATAGAGTATGTATAGTATTGGCTAGGTTGTAATTGAATTAATGTCGAAGCAATCCACTTTAAGCCATTTAGTGACATTTCCACTGTAGTGTCACCTAATGAGCAACACAAATAAGCATCAAGCATTTGGTCCAGCAAGTAAGGAATTATTTTATTAATAATTCTATGAGTAAGGAAGAAATTTTGTTATAAAGTTTACTTATATTTATTATCTTGCCAACCTATGGGAACTTATATTTTAAGGAAGGTTCATATCGACGTTTTTCCAAGACGTTTTAAATGTTATATGTTCAGGATATTTGAAGAACCTGAAATATGTTAAATAATTCCACATGCTGGTTCATCAAAACAGATCAAAATCATTGCCATCTGTTTGTATAAGGAAACAAATGTGTGAAAAGAACGGGAACTGCCCTTGGAAAGTCCTCTCGTAAGAAGTTTGCAGTAATCATGGCCTCTAACCTGTAAAGTGATGCGATTGTGAACCAACAATCCAATCTTGACATCAAGCTCATCTACTGCGGTCTCCAAATGATGAGTGTGTCGAATTGTCTTCACCATGTCACTCTTCACTCTCTAGAAGTAATTTAAAAGAAGTTGATTTAAGTAAATTTAATTCATATTTAGTGTGTAAAAAATACAGTACTGGAATGATAATATTGTACTGAACATTATAATATATCATTAAAAAACAATTATTACAATCAATGAAGAAAAGCATACATGAACTCTTCACATATACCATACATGATAAAATATATAAGATTAAAAAGAAGCAGTTGAATTCCAAGATAAAACTGTTTTCCATGACTGGACACCGCTCCTTACAAAAACATGAAGAAAAATACAGCTTATAGTCAAATGTAAGGATAGACAAGTAGAAAGGTGCACCTGGTTGGTTTAGTGATTTATTATCTCAAATGTTTGACTCTGCTGTCTACACACATTTGCTCTGTATTTTTATCTTTTCTGCATAATCTATTTTCCTGTAATTTAAATATGAGTACTGTATAAAGAGCTTGGCCCTTACTCCCTTGACCACTGTGATCATCTTTGTGACTCAATTTTTTTTAATTTCTTTAATTGGCTATTCCTGACTTTGGTATACATCACTAACTTTATTCATTCCTCTTATATGTACCGTTTATTTGCCAAGATATGCTATCCAATCTTACAGTTATCTTCAACTTCACCAAATATATTACTCTCCTCTTATTCCTGAGAACTGGCATTAATGTGTAAATTACCATGACATGCTAGTATGTTGAGGTGCTCTTTCAGTTGGAGACGTATGTCCTTTGTTGATGGCCACTGGTTTAGGACTCAATAGCAACAAACACAGACCATACTTTTTTGTAATCCCATAATACACCTTTCTTGTTGTTTAAATTGTGTCATTTAACACCCTAAAAATACTACATTAACCTAAAATATAAATATATACTGTTTATATTTAAAGACAAATATTTTTTCTTAAATTTCAAGAGGCAGGTGAAAACAAACTGGAAAAAGTTTAATTTTTATTCCAACTGCATCTTTTTATTTACGTATTTACCATATTTTAACATTATATTTAGTAAGATAGATTTATAGTCCCAACATTTTTGGGATTTAATTTTAGTTAATAATTACTGTTGGTGTCACAGAAGTTTGACAATCAGTAAGTTCACTTAGCAGTACAGCAAATGTAAACAAATAACTACAATACCTGCAGTCTGAATTCTTCATCTAAATCACTGGAAGAAACATCTAGTAAATTAATGAACTTGCGGATGACGGGCAAGGGTGGATCATCCTGATGTGTCAGTGAATGCAGATCTTGGCGAGCCTTATAAGCACGCCACAACCTCTGAATCTTAACCACTTGATTCTCCTGTTGAAAATAATTAGTTTCAAGAGCCATTAGGTATTAGCCATCCCTACTTTTAATGAACATTTTCATGTTCTACACTCAGCTATAGGCACATGTTTGTAATGGAACATGATTTTAAACATTAGCACAAACATTTGAAAATTTGTCCCACAGTATTTTATTCCTCCTGTTAGGCTTAACTCTTGTATCTATATCCAAGAGGTGAGCATAAAATTGCCCCCATACATTTCAAACACCCTTAAATGTTAAAAGGATCTTGGAGAAACACCTGAAATTATTATTATCAAAGAATTCTAAGAGATAAATTGACTATGGATACAATAATGAGAAACAGAGGCAGCCGACTTGACTTCATTACTAAGAGATAATGTGCAAAATGAATGAGACCCTCTTGGGAAATGCATATAAGTATTGGTACAAAAGTTGAACAGCAGCAACATGGAAAATAAAAAGGTAGAAAGAATAATTAATTACTATACAACACAAGTAACAACTTTACTCTGCCATTCTCAAGAGTATCCCTTCAGCATTGACAGATGTAGAATAAGAGGCCTTACTTTCAGAATTCATATTGGTACATCAAATCCTATTAAACTTAATCAAATAAATAAAAGTAAATAAAATCTTATCTTCATTAAATTAAAAAAATGGAGAGGAGAAGGGGGGTGGGGAAGGAAGAGTGCACTGGGGGAGGGGAAATTTTATATTTTCACAAACAGGTCATACTGCACTTAAAAATAATTATCACAAAATTATAAACTAATCTTGATTAATTAAGACAATGCAAACAGATTATCAAATATCATAAGAAAAGCTTGCACAAAATGCTTACATGTTTATTAAAATACAAGGACAAGTCCTTTATTCTCTTGCGAAATAAGTATGCCCTTGCTGCTCTCTGAAGATTGATGATGAGGGGTTCAAACGTCTTTAATGCCTTGCAATACATGATATATGTGCGGCGAGCTTGCACCATACGCCACCAAGCCTAGAAGAACAATTACATTTTTTATGTGCAATTCAATACAACATTTTCCTTCTTTACTGCTAACCTTAATACAAAAGTGAATTGTTATTCTTTTGTTGTGCATATTTGCCCCACTGATATATGAAGAGCTCCAAAGAATTCTGGTATCCCAAACAATTCTTAAGCTTCATAAACTTTCTAAAATTAACCCAATCTCAGACCATGAATTAAAAATTCATTATATGATACATTACTCATCAACCATGTCCATCATATTTGTGAAGCAAGTACGTGAATTGTGCCTATGTTGCATATAGGTGCAAACGTGCATGTACTTACATGACAGCATGAACATGCACCCATGCAGGAAAATAAACTGATACTGTAACAGAGCACGGTTTTAGAGAGGAAAAAGTTTGGTGTATGACCCTATGCGAGACCTATGATAAAATGGACAAAATATGGCGGGAAAGAAAAATGGGTAGATTGCATTTTCTCAAATTGCCGAAAAGCCTTTGACACCGACCGTCACAAAAAACTTTTCCTCAAACTGAAAAAGCAGGCTAGGGTAACAAGGATTAGAGAATCTGACAAAAGTTAACAGGTTTATAGTGGCAGAAGAGGGGGTCATGATGGATGGGAATTATAATTAGCGTGCTTATATGTATGTGTTTGTATATTGTGTATGTATGGATATAAACACTGATATACACAATACATACAAATATTAAAATAAAAATTATTAAATCTATTAACCTGTATAATAACCGCTGCATTTTTCTGCCTTTGTAAGCGCTGCCTTGTCAGCCAACCTCGTGCTCTGGCCTGGAATTTGACCATTGTGCTGTCTACCTGTAAAATGCACTCAACATCAGTTACCATCATATTTCCATTATGACTCGTTTGAAGGAAAACACAAAACCTGAACAATTAATAACCAAAAACCTATTGTTTAAAAAACATGAGATATTGTATTAAAGCTTAAATCTTAAACAGCAACTATCATCTAAAGTGCCACTCTGCCTATGTGCAAAAAAATAACTTTCTTCTCACTCGATGATGCACTGGCACAAGAAAAAAAATTCTATCATGTGAGGTGTACACAATAGCTGGGTGGAGGGGTCAACGAGTGTAACAACACTAGATTTTGCCAACTCGTGGAGTAGGTGGTGAGGGGAGCTCAAATGGTTTATGTTCATGGCTTCATTTATTAGTTAAGTATATTGTGTGTTGAATAACTTCAATTTATGTACATATAATTGACAAAAAACAGTGATTGAGTAATGTATACAGGCTTACAATGTAATACAGTATATACACCCTACATAACTCTTGAACCTGTCCTTGATACAGGTAAAAAGAAATATCTTGCAACCCACTCCTTTGCTGCTATTCTGCATGGGAACAGCATCCAGAAATAGATTCAAACACTCGGAGGAAAGACCAAATTGGAGATTCGACGATAATTCGAGACCACTATTACATGATTAAATTATCACATAGTAAGCAATTAAAAAGATAGAATTTTGTCATTGATCTTGATTAACTCCATTACAGCCATATTAACAATTTACATAAAAACCAGCCAATAATAATTAAAATCTGCATTAATCCATGGATCAGCATATGACAAAACCAATCTTTAAGGGTTCAGCATATCTTATGTCCACACTTTAAGCTTACTTCCTACTTGCCTATTCAAACATCCACCAAGTCTCACTGGTGACTGAATTTCCAATATTTTCTAAATATATATACCAGCAGGCTGTACAACTCCAATTTTATATACTGCATGCAAAAATTTAATGAGGGATTTATTCTGACGAGTCTTTTCTTCCCCAAGTGGATGTTACAATTTATTCAGAATTTGTTCGTATACAATACAAACAGCATTTGTTTGTATTGCATTGCATATAAATTTCTTAACCCTCATCATCCACAGATAAGTGTGTTGTAAGAATACAACAGACACTCCCACTCGCTTAAAAAAAAATTGAAGTTTTTCTTTGTTTTTCCAGAAAGACCCATCGACTTTCCCATAACCCAAACCGTTTTTTTTTGGGGGTCGAGAAGATTTTTTCCGACCCTTTTTATCAAGATGAAAAATCTATTTTTCTGGATATAGTTCACTGTCGATTGGTCTATGGATATTGAACAGCATAGTTGAAAAAGTTGTAAAATAAGTTCTAAACTAACCTGCCTGTTACGAGCCTCTTGTTTAATGATAGATGATACAGCCTCTTCAAGGTCCACATGAGTGACATACTGGCTTGCGTGTGCTGCTACCACCTCACTTGGTTTCTCCCACTGATACTGACTACATTCCACATTTAGGAACACCTGTAAAATGTTTACATGCTACTAATACACTTAGGTAGCTAATATTATACAAAGTTTAGTGGTGGAACTAGAAGGAAATTTGTTGTGTGAAATAAAAACGAATGGTCAAGTGCTGGAAGGGTTTGATAAAATGTTAATGCCTCAGACGTATCTTTGACAAAAATGTAACTTTTGCAACCAAAGCCAAGAGTAGTCTGGGAAGGATAGTGGCTAGTGCAATGAAAGCCCTAGTTAGAAAACATGAAAGGAACATAAGAGCCAGATGGCTGCATTAAGGATTGCAATGTAGACTCTTATGAATGGCTGCAAGTGTGGTATAAACATTAAAAATCAAGAATTATAGTATTAAAAATGAACAATCTAAACTGTATGTGTGGTATTACAAGAATATAGTGTAAGGAATGAAAAAATTATGGAGATAAGTTAAATACAAAAGTTGAGAAACAAGATTGAAGAGAGCATACGTAGATGGTTTGAACATGTTGAATAAATGGATGTGGGTAAACTTTGTGAACTGACTGTACAAGGGAATTCTAAAGAAGGAGAGGAAGGCCAGTAAGATCACTCATGGAAGTGTGTGAAGAACAAATAGAATATGTTAAGGGGCAAGGCTTGGTGAAAAGGTTAGTAAAGAGCAATGTATGGCAATTCACGAGAATCACTGTGCACCTTGCCTTATGAAGCAGTAGGATGCTTCTGTAGATAACTACTAGAGTGAGATGGTGGTGATGGTGGTTTGTTTGTGATGCTATAGTGTGAATGATATAATAAATGAACAAGCAATATTTTTCACTTTAATATCTAGCCATTTTTCATAATTATTCACTGCCTCTAGGCTGAAGACTCCCTACCTCGTGAAAGTGGAGAATGGGTTAATGATAATGAATGAATGCATAAAATAATAAAAATAAAAATAAAAATAAAAATAATAAAAATAAAAATAATAAAAATAAAAATAATAATAATAATAATAATAATAATAATAATAATAATAATAATACAGTGAAAATACTCATTCCATGAGAAAATCCACTGGAACCATGATGAGTATTCAAACCTATGTGCTGGGTACTCCCAGATGGGTTCGAATTCTCGTCATGACTCCTGTGCATTTATATCTCATTGATATATCATGATAATGTGATTTCTATGTGTGCTCATTCTATGGACAGAAGGGTACGTGGCCCATAGCAGCTAATATTTTTGCAGATTGCCAAAATGAAATATAAATGACAGTATTTTTAATTTAAAATTATTTAAAATGCTCAAGATTAAACAATTCATTGGCATATCCCTACTTGAATTTTCTATTTTCCCAACAAATAATACTGTAATAATATTAAAAATGTTAAAAAAAGTAGACATGTCAGCTGCCCTTTACAGTTTCAGATACTGCTTTAATTGCAATTTAAGGCAGCTTCTGAACTGTATTCTAATATCTTATTCGATACACAAACATTAATGATGACTTCTGCCCCACTCTTCCCTTTTAATCTTTACCGATTTCAAATCTTGCTGTCTTCTAACTAATCTTTTACCTTACTCCCTACATTTATTTCCCAAGGTTGACCACAATGTTCCCACATTGATGATTTTTTTTTGTAATGGGAATGTACCACTTGTTTCACTATCAGAAAATACTGCCAGAAAATATGGAATTAAGCAATGTAGAGATTAAACGATAGATTTTTGAAGTGTTTTTTTAATTGGCTTATGAGTACATACTGACAAAAAACTTGTACTGTACCAACCTCAGAGCCATCACTTAAAGTGTATGAAATCCATGGGCACTTGGGAGAAACTGTGGCCTTTTTCCTGAATAGTGCTTTCAGTAGTATCAGGACACCCACAATATAATTTGCTTTAATATGTAAATGTGATAAAATTGGATACCTGTAGAACGAGCAAGAATGATTAGTACATATACTCAATTGCTGACCAAAGTACAAAGCAAATTAAAACAAGTATGACCTATATAAAAACATTAAAATATTATGACAAAAAACATAAGAGAGCTTTTACAAAATAAAAAATGTATTGCCAAAACTAAACTCATGAGACATTATAGGTGTTAACTAGAAAATATTTGAGGCATAACGGGTTACATTCTTAAATTTTCATATTCGGAATGAAATTTATTTAGAGCAATAAATGAAGCAAGGCTTAATTACCCAAGAAGGTCAACAATGGCAGAATCATCACCACGTGCCAAAGCCTTGTTAAGACGGGCCAGAAAAACTGCAACATTGGTGGATTCTTCTGCATGTCTTCTTACTGCATCAACGACCTCTTCTATGTCCTCGAGCCACAGTTCTGCTGCACTGTCTCTCAGCTTCTCACATTTAGCATCCTTAAGTAACTGTAAATAAATTTTAGATTAATTTTGAAAAAATCTATATTACATTTCAACCAATTGGTTCAACACATTTTTCAAATTGAAAATAAACTCCTATTTCCCCGAGGAAAAAACCAGCGTTGAATGTAATGAAACACCATTTTCTGGGCGAGTCCCGGAGGCTCCCCGGAGCTTATTAGGCCGATATGCTAATCACATTTAATTTTTTAATTCTACTTTTGTAATTGTTACCTTATTCCATTCTTCATTTTCACTTCTAAACATTTTTCCACATAAACCTAGCACACCAAACATTGCTTCCTTAAAAACTAACTTTTTCCGCACTTCTTTAGTTCATATGCCCTCAAATTCCACCCAATGATACAAGCTTGCCAAATGGCCTAGATCACAAGGCTAACTGGTCTCCAACCCAATCTTCCTGCCCCTTTAATTCAGGTAATTCAGATCTGTTTGATTCATGTTGGGGCTGGTGATGGGGTCTCTACATCCATAACCCAAAAATTTATAGTACAATCGCTATTTAACACTTTCGCTCACCCCGCGCGCCACCCCTCGACAGGGCGATATGGGCCCCAGCGTGTCACGGAAGCGCGCGTTAATTCCGAAAAGTGTATACTCTCTTCAACTTTGTCACCTCAATTCTCCTTCTACGAGAATAAATTTGGTATCATTGTGTTCGCAATAAAATTCTCTACAGCACTAAATGCATATAAACTCCAAAAGCCCGGCTAATTACCCGCAGCAAACAGAGAAAGTGCGAACGAGTTATCCGGGAGCGCGCAAACGGGATAAAATGTTTTCACTATTTTCACTCTGGTCACCTCAATTTTTGCCCTAGGTCTTTCATTTTGGTCTCAATGGGTTCGTAATAAAATTCTCTAGAGGAATATTAGCATATAAAAAAAAACACCTGGTCACGCTCCAACCGCCGACGAGTTGAAGACGGGCCACGCGTTAGCCGTGAGTGAGCGCTCAGAGGCCTTCCTACTACACTCCCAATTCCCACCCTTTTCAAGCCTTTCTTTCGCAATTTTCTTCCTGGAAGGGCCTTGTTCATGATTACTATCCATCGTGGAGTAAGCGTAGATAGTTTCTAAAGCCGCAGTAAGAAATATAGCCACGGAAAATAGCCGAAATGTTCACACGTTTGAGATGCGAGGGGAGACGACATTGGTCACAACAGTGGAGCAAAGACAATGGGCCCACGGCGTGTGCCAAGCCGCCTGAGGGCCACGAGGCTCAACAAAGGAAATGGGAAGACATCGGCGCACATTTTAAAACCAGTCCCCAAAAAATCGGATACAAACCTGATTTTTGGCGAATTTTTAAAGTGGATGACGCAATGCTGCGTCATCCCCGGCATTACCGCCAGTAAACGGATGACGCAATGCTGCGTCATCCCCGAGCGAAAGTGTTAAAATAAATAAAAAATTGGGAATAAATTTTTTTTGTTCTAGAACACAGCTAAGTTTATCCACAAGATCCTTAACATAAATTATATGCATTGCTTAGTTGTGAGGTGATTGGGAGGGTACTCCTAATTAGAACCAAGAGTCAACTGTATCCATAATAAAATAATGATATGAGAAACAGGGTTAAATACAGCACTTAAACGTGCAACTATAGTACTGTAGCCTCTCATTTCAAATTTGTATTCTATAATTATACATAATCTTTTCAATTAAACATAAATCAAAATTGTGCAATTGTGCACAGAATACAGTACTGGTCTTTTCTTATCCCAACACAATGTTGTATATTCACTTAAACTTTTCCATGTTATTTTTATTTCCTATTAATTTAACATTCACTGCAATCATGTACACGGAGAGATTATTATTTAGTAAAATAATTGTAATGGCAGTCTTTTAAGTTCTTATGTATACTGTGGCAGTCCGATTTATATTGTTAACACAAGTTCCAGGTGCATACAACCATAACTATATGCCGTGGAAACCAAGCTGGTCAGCAAGTCTAATATTTAACTACCCTGTCTTAACTTGGTAGCTACTCTAGGCCACTGAATTGGTTGATCTGTAAATGTTTCATGGATGAAATTCACCAATTAGCAGACCAAGACCCCCCATTCCTTCTTTGACAAAAAGTTCTTTTAAAAAATCACAACTAGTCATTATTATACATTTTCCAATAAAACCCAGATTTGTACAACAGTCTGACCTGGCACTAATTGTAAATGTTTCTTCAGTGTATGCTATACCTTGAGAACCTGGTAGTAATGTAGAGAATCCTGATCATGTAGAGAGGATAACTGAAGACCCAGCTGTTTGAGTGCTGCCATTGTTCCCTCCACACTGCCTCCAATGACATTTGCATTTACTGCAGTTAATGCTCCAACCTCTGCAAAATATTGACAAATAAATAATTCACAAATACAGTAATAAATAAGCTGGTTTGCTTTGTCATGTTTGTCACGTGTTCTAAAGTATAGTTAAAGTACTGTACAGCCATTATAAATATAACTCAAATGCTGATCCTTAAAACACTCCTACAGATAAGCATCATACCGGAAGGAAACTACTACAGAAATATGGTGTAATGCTCCTTTACATTAAGAATGCAGCATGAGGAAAAATATTTTAGTGCATAATACTGCCATATCAAGATGAACCTACAATTTTACACTAAAGTTATCACGTTTCTCACACCCTCTACAGATACGTGTGCATGTGTTGTTCTAACACCCTTATATATTGTATCAATAGCTCATTTTGAAGGTTTGAGGAAGTTATTACATTAAGAAATATATCTGTGATTTATGGCATTATCTAAAATAGCATAAGCAAAACTATTGAGAAAAGAAGATGTCTTATGGAGATAATCACACTAAGGCATCATGACAGTGGATAGTTACGAGGCAGTCAAGGTATGCTTTACATCAGTATTGTGGCATGACAAAATACTGTAGTTTTTTGAAGGTTTGTGTGCCTGTCACTCAAATTCAAACAACAAATTCAGCAGGTTAATAGATGTAGACAAATTAAAATTTAATACTTACTTTTCCTATCTTCACGCAACCTCAAGTTAACATCATCTACAATTTGCTGAAGGTCATAGTAAGTGAGAAAGTCGCTAGAATCTTGAGATGCAATCTTGAATTGGCGTGCAGTATCCAAAGCAGAGCAGTACTCACGGAAATGACTTTCTTCAAGAGACTAGAAAATTTGTCATTAGAGATAACTCTAGGAAAATTACACATTTGGAAGAAAACTTATACAAGCAAAAATGGGTTATCAAGTACACACTTTCCAACAAAACCTTCATGTCACAAGGAGGAATTCTTGAAACCTGCAACTTCAAAAACAAGAGGACAGATTCACGATAAGGAAACAAAAAGATAAGTTGAAAAAATATTAGAAACTTTCTTTTGCAAACAGAGCCATAGATGGTTAGAACAAGTTAAGCATGAAGGCAGTAGATGCCAAAACCATCTGCGGTTTCAAAGCATCCTATGTCAAAGAGTACTGGAAAGATGGAATACCATGAGCGTAGCTCTTATCCTGTAAACTACATTTAGGTAATATTTTAAATGATTAACATTATACCCTTTTGTTTTGCATCACTATTAAAAGCCAACTTATTACTTAGATCAGGCAGCACAGAGCAGATAGTACTGTATTGTATTTCACTACTTAGTCTTATTAGAAGTTTAAAAGTTTAATAATTAGGAAGCAGACACACTGATCTGCTACATTGGTTTTAATAATCTAACAGTGGTTTATAAACTCTGCATATTCTGTGTGGCTTCAGACTGTGCTCTCAAACACCACTTGCCCCTTTTTGTCTCATTCAGCAAATTAAAAAAATTTTGGATACAGTACTTGAAGACTGCACTGTTATAACTAACTGATTAGCAGGCATTGACTGTATATATGCACTTACACATCTCAAAAAGTGATTAAGAGGACATTGGCAAACAATATTTCAATAACAATTTAAAATACCACACTATCATAAGGACTTTATAATGTGACTATTTATTCCTACCTCCAAATATGTATGAGTATCAGACAGGTAGTGCCACACCTCTGCAGGATTATTTGTATCAAGGGCAGCATTAACCCGCGCTACAGCAGACAGCATTCGAACACCGCCTTGTATTTCCTCCAGACTCAAGTCATCCTGAAATTATCTTTCATGAAGTGTGTGTGTGTGTGTGTATATATATATATGTATGTGTGTGTGCATGTGTGTATGTATGTGTGTGCATATATGCGTGTGCATATATACGTGTATGCATGTGTGTGTTATGTTGTTAAAAATTATAGTTATGTTATGTTGCTATGATATGTCTGATGTTACATATACACACACACATATATATATACACAAAAGCAAAGCTTGAATGGTTCCCAGGCATAGATATCATTATAACAATGATCCCTTAGAGGATTTACACTCTGGCCACCAGAAGTTTTCCCCCCACCAAGAGTACCATAGATTTACAAGCATGATGGCTTCCTTTCTTGTGAGTAAATGTTTTATTTTTGTTTAAAACTATTTTTTTACCATTATAAGTGATATAAAGATTAATGGTAGATATAAAAGAAAATTCTTTTTATTTTTTTAGCTACTAGAATACATTAAATTCCTTGATTATGTTTACTGGTTGTATCAACAATGATATACCACTACATTCGGAACATATATACAGTAATCCAGAATCAATTTTCTTGGCCTGTGTAGTATTTTTTTTTTTTTTAACTATAATAAGTAAGCCAGAATTTTTAATGATATACCGTATATGAGAAAAGCAGGATTTTCCAAAAAATAAATAGAACAAAATATTTTTGTTTATCTGCCTTTCTATCCTTGATGGGAAATGAAAGGTTCATAGGTACTGCAGCTAAAGGGTAAAACAAAACTTGTACACTGCTTGAATTAACATATCACATTTTCACTAACAATATAAATCTGCATATTCATATTTGTAATCTTCACTAACTATAAGTACATCTTACAAAGTATTTTATACTAACCTGAGCATCCAAACGAATGGCAGCCATCTCTTCATGGTAGAGTTGTGCAGCAAAGTCTAGTAATGGAGGAAGATCAGAAGCTATCGATTGCAGTGCCTTTAGTGTGTGTACAGGAGAGCCTTGTTTTAAACTTTGATTTATGGTAGCAACTCCTTTCCTTACTGCAAAACACAAGACTTGTTTAATAAGGGAGCACTATAAGAGTGAGAAATGTTCAAGAGATTGTGCAGTGTAAACAGAGGAACACATTAAGGGTACAATATTCGTTACTAAAAATTGTGGGTACATTTTCCAACACATTGGACATGATCTCCACGGCAGCAATATGAAATATATAGTAAATGTTTAGGCCAGGCCAGCTTACTGCTTCAGTTATATATACAGTATACTAATCATATACATATAGTAGTTACAAACCATCTATGTAAAAATACAAAGAAACAGAACACAAACAACTATCCATCCCTGCAATTCATGATGAATACCACTAAACCCTTGCCCTTTTCATTTTTGTGCAATTTCTACAAGCCAGTACCACAACTGATGCAAAAACTATGCACAACTGGGGAATAAGCCATACAAAAAATTCATGTGGTACAGTTTCGTGATTGCTGTTACACCTTTTGCCGCTTTAGCACTTATAATTTTCTTTTTCTTAGCAATTAAGGTGTATATCGTTGACATACATTTGTTGTACTGCCTAGCTAGATCAACAACCCACATACTATTTTCATGTTTGCGAATGATCTCTTGTTTTCCTCTATCGTCATCCTCACAACTATTTTCTTAGGTTGAACTTTACCACTTACTCTCTTGGAACCCATGGCATGATATATAGAACTTTTATGTTCGGAAATCAAAAAAGCAGAAAAAACAATTTAATTATTCACAAAGAATTCAAGCGCAGTCGTCACTAGGCGACTACCACATACTGGTAAACGGTGTATGGATTACCATACACTGGTAAACTGAGTGTGCCTCGCCCCATGCCCAGCAGAACTCACGTGCCTGACCCATACAAGTACAGTACAGTATCAACAAACGACTCGTACTCCGAGGCAAACTAATACACCAAGTCAAATTTCACAATGAAATTGACTTCGTACACCAAAAAATTTGTATTCTGGGGCATTCGTAGTCCGAGATTCCACTGTGTAACGATTAATATAATTTCCCAGACTCATTATTAGTATTTCTAATATAATAGTATTTATTTAACCCTCCTTTCTAACCACACCTTTCCACATTTGCTGGACAAGTCTCTCTAAAACCCTTTAAAGTAAACATTTGACAATTACTATTATTGTATAATAATAATAATACAAAAAAAGTAATGTTAAAATAAATTGCTATTTCCTTACATTTGTTATGATATTCAGCATCTTTATTGCTTGACGAGATGATTGACTGTATGACAGTTTTGCTTAATGAAGTTGATTGGTATGACATATTGAAGCTGTAGTTGAAGCTGTGGTTGTAAGAATGGGTTTGAGAGTTGGCCAGCTCCTTAGACAAGGCCACAAGGTATTCTTTGCCAAGGTCTCGTCTAATGTCCTGTAGAACAAAATCATTAAAAACTTTATGGGAATTAACAAAACAAAAAAATCACATGCAAAGTTTGCCCAATAACCAGGTAAACTTCATTTCATTAGTTAAATTAATAAAAAAACATTCTATCACCAGTATTTGCGGCTGAATTGACAGCGCTCTGGAGTTGAAATCCAAAGAGTCCAGGGTCAATTCCCGGCTGAGACATATACAAATTATCAGGGTTTCTTTCATCTGATGCCTTTGTTCACCTAGCAGTAAATAGGTACTCGGGAGTTAGACAGCTACTATGGGGTGCATCCTGGGGATGCGTGAACTTTTGAAATTTTCATTAAGTTTATTGTATATTTCTTTTAGCATCTTCCATTTCAGTGTAATATTTTATTGTGAAGAGTAGAACCCTGACAGTATTTTATATACACAAATTATGTTTTCTCAAGCTTTTCCATTGCATTGTATAAACAATTTAAGTGCTTGGAGGCTATTTAAATGCTTCTCCAATTCTATATTAGCCATAAAGCAACTCTATTTTCTCCTCAGGTACCTCAAATATTTTGCCTGCCTTGAAAGGAGATGCAACCATGGACCAATATTCAAGACAAGAGAGTATCTGTTCCTTAAAAAGTATCATTACTGACATAGCATCCCTAGTTTTGAAGTCTTTCATTATCCAACCTATTCATTTTCTGGCTGATGATGTGCTGTAAAGGCTTCATCAGGCATTACTGTTTCTTGATCTTTTACTTGCTCATTCTGCTCTTTGGCCATCTTGCAGGTTGTACTCATTTTGTCTTTTACATACCAGTTGAACATTGTGCATTCAGTTACTCTTCAGAACATATTCTTGACATCCGAGGTTATTTTTACATGCCTTGTACCAAGCACATTTACATACTGATTCTTATGATGCCAGGCATGAAACTAGCTTGCAAGGATGAGAACCATCATCAAATAGACTGAAAATTTTTGCAGAACAGTGTTTGTACCTTAATCGGACTGGATTTTTGTTTGCTTTACTATCACTATAAATCCATTTTATTTTAAATTTGTCAGTACACTACTCATTTACCAGCATCCCATCCTCGTTTAGACAGTACTTATAGTAACAATGTAAATCATCATACATATATATTGATGTACATATATATTGACGTACATGTATATATATACTATACTATATATATAGTATAGTACATATATGTACTATAGTAGGCCTAGGAATATTTAAGTTTGGTTTTTAAGTTAACACTAGAAAGTGAATAGTACAAAATTCTACTAATTGGCCATAATGCCAATATATACATACAATGGTCCACATAGGTACAAAAAGTACTATCCAACCAGGAAGACGAGTTGTTTACCAGTCATTTCCTTAGAATTAATTTTCAGGGCTATGTCTCCATGATCACATGTCAAATACCAGTACTTTGCAAAATCTGTGTACAGTATAATGTCAGCGTTTTGCTTTTTTCCAATACCGCCGGGATTTGATCACATTTCTTAAAAACCAGTGTCTATGAGGAGCGAGAAACAGATTTGAACTATTTAACAAGACACTTAACTATGCCCAACCTTTTAGCTTTACCATTTAGTGTACGAGAACTTCCTTATGTTCCTTCATCTCAGTCACCTGTGACCTAAACTGACAAAATTTTGTAATCAGAAACCTATTCAATTGTTTTATTTTATATATTTCATTGTGATAAGACAATAAATCTGGTATTTCCTGTTTAAGCACTAGAAAAAATGGAGCAAGTGATACACCTGCAGTGGAAAAAATGGTGCTAAAACAGCAAACTTCACAAAAGATTAACAACAGGATGGGCAGAGTCCCACCATATTAACCATTAAATGCTCAATTTGTGTACAAGAAGTTGACATTAGTGCAATTACTTTATTTCAATTTTCACTAACCTTGAGACAAAGAACTGGGCAGTAGAGTGCTTGGAGCAAGGCCTCAACATTCTCATCTCTAATCGCATCTTCTAATCTCTCCATAGCAACAGAGGCTGAAGATATATGAATAATTAGATGAAACTTTACAGTCTTTTGTGTACATTTATAATAATAATAAAAAAATTACTATTTAATTAACTTATCATAATTGGCAATTACAGATAATTGGCTAAAACCAATCACTGGTATATATTTATATGTATATATATGCACATGTATATATAACATTAATAATTGTGTAACTAGCGTCAAAAGATTGTTATTTGCTTAGCTAAACAAACTAGAGGGCTCAGTTCCTGAACTGATTTTGTGCCTCTCTAATCCTTTACACCAACGCCCACGGGATGGGTATGGGGTGCATAATAAAGAAAGAAATTGAACTGAAACCAATATTTAAAAATCAACAGAAAATGTTGTTCATAAAGAAATCTCTTTTACTTAACCTGAGAATACGCGTTCTCAAATACAGAAGATTGTACAATTAAATGAATCAGTTTGCCAAGCTAATAGCATGTGCTTTTATCTTTAATAGAAATAAACTCTTAAAAAAAATATTTATAAAACAGTTGTGGGGGAGAACCATTGATGTTGCCGATGTGTCCCTGGATCTCGGCCTGGGTGAGAAGTTCATCATAAGCATCTGGTATGTAGTCTTGATCCCGGCTCTGAAATGTTTTGACAAAAAAATTAGCAATGTCAATTTCTATATGGATAACAGGTTGTAATAAAGTAACACATGGTGCACACAAGTGTTGTAATGAATGTTTGACATTAGGATGTAAACATTTTGTTGAAGATAGATGTATGGTAAAGGCTAGGCGAGCTAAAAATTTAAGAACATTTGACAAAATTCGGTTAAATATGACTGTACAAACAGCATGCTGCCAGCCATTATATTAAAGACAAGAAGCATCAGTGGTAAACAGTTTCTGACAAAGCCTGAATCCAACCTTATTTATAGCCATTTCTCTTTTATGCATCTTGACATCAGAAAGATATTGCAGATAGCTGTCAATATTCTCTTCAAGAATATTCTGCAAATGACATGAAGGATTGCGAAGAGTTTCAAGCAACTCGTAATGATCCTGTAAAAAAAATAATCTGCATAAGCATACTCAATACTATACTGTTGTGTGATATGGCACCACAGTTTTACACAGATACATTCCTCGAAATCCTGCACAAAACCAAACCATTTAAAGTATTATATTTTTTTAATTATTTAAAGGGAAAAAACATCCACTTCAGACAAATATGAATTAAATAAATCATGCAATACAGTCAAATAGACTATTCAGTTGTGAAGTTAATTCTTATTGATTCCAGTTTGAGCACTGTAAAAAAAATTTGCTTTTAGTTACAACTATCCAAGTTCCTTTATTTAAACATTTAAAGCAATTTACTGTATATATTTAAACAAAATGTTTACTTGATACTGACAACTCACAGCAGAGCAAGCAACAGACTTGACTTGTTAAACTGAAAAATAATACAAATTTTACAACTATGTGGAAGTGAAGGGCATGAAATCCATGCATGGAACCAGACTACTACTATATTAACAAAGTTTGCCTTGATAATTCATCAAAATTTAAGCATATTATTCATAGTTTTGTCAGGAGTGCATGTCTTTTCAAAGGTACTGAAAAACTCTTTATTGCTTCTAAATAGCCTATTTCATCATACATTCCAACTACCCTCCAAAATTATCTAAATTTGTTAAAACTACTCACTTTTTACTCAAAATACAATTCAACAGTTTGGTTCAATATTCAGGCCATCATCCTGTTTTGGTAGTACTTAAAGGAAGGATGAGGACCATAGTACTGTACATACACCGACGTACAACACAATTAGAAAGTAGAAATCGGTACAGTACTATTGAATTTGAACAGAGCAGAAAAAGATTTTCTACTTTATCCTCTTTCTGGGTGAGCCCCAATGGCTCTCTGAAGCTATACACTGAACTAGTTTCTATCTACCAGGTTGCATCAGATATATTCTTAGGCCTACCAGAGACCAGAGGCAGAACCTGGCCCCCATCAAAAAGGTACAGGGAGCAGAGTGTGTTCTCCACCTCACTGGGGAAGGAATCCAGAAAGTCAGAGTCAAAAACAAACAATTGCATCTTTAGAAAATAGTGTAACTCGTTTGCCCCACCTTTCCCACTCATTTGGGGGGGGAGGGAGAGGGCTCACCATCTTCAGGGGTCTAAGCTGTCGGTTCTGGAGCAGAAATACAAACAAGACCCACTTAACGACCTGAGAGGGAAGGTGGAGGGAATCAGGTCGCCACCACGGCTCACACAGAAAGAGGCATTTCATTACAGTTAATGCTGGTTATCTGAGGGGAGCTCCTTGTGGCTCCCTGAAGCTAACTACCCATGGAGAAGTAGTAACACATGGGAACTTACCAGGGAGGAAGATTAACCGCAAGAGTCAGGGAGAAGAGGAGACCCCTGGACGAGAGACAACCCAAGGCCACACAAGGATCCCAATGCCCTGGAACTTTTACCAAATACTGGACCATCAGAACCCTGTGAGATTGCCAAAAAAAAACCCGCATCCAAATATCGGCCCAGGACATATTAGGAAGCACAGCTGTGAGAGCAGAATACTTTCTAACATCAAGGGCACAAGAGTAGAACAATGGCTGGCAAGACTTAATAACGCTGCAGAAGAAAGTACAGGAACCTCCCATCCTCGTGATCAGGGTACAGAGCAACATCCAGAGTAAGGCACAGAGATTCTATGCTGATGCAAAGAGGTCCACCTCCGGGCACCCATACATCTCACAAAGCCAAAGGAAGGAGGCGGCATCGATGGTCCACTCATGTAGACAGAAAGGAACTGGGACAGACTATCTGTAAGAACGTTGGACATTCCATGAATATGAATTGCATGGAGAACCAAAACTCGAGAACCCAGCTGAAGAGTTACTCACAGCATCCAGCTCCAAAGGACAGGAGGCTGAAGTGAACCATCCCCAATTGAGGCAATGAATCACTGGAGAACAGTCACTACCCAATGATTGCGGCAGTAGTGAAAGGGACTGAACAGGAGGTACCAGACACAGCTGCAGAAGCCACACTTTGCCCAGAGGAAAAACTATGCAGGGAAATTTCAGGCTCCCACACAACAGCAAGAGCAACTTTCGAGTCACCTGGGCCTGATTCAACACCAACAGTCTCTCAAACGAGGCCCAGCCAAGTCTGAACTTGGTACTTGACCAACTGGGGCTTTTGCCAGTTCACCAGGAACCCAAACCTGGCAAGCTAGGAAAGTACCAGATCCCTGGTATACAGACATATGAATTGACTGGGAACCCACAACAGCTAGTTGTCGAAGTAGGCCACTTAGCTGAACAGTGGAGCCTGCATAGAAGAGAGGCAACCTGGGAACCACTACAGCAATCAAGTGACCAAAACCACATCAGTGTAGGAACTGACAGCTCAGACCCCTGGAGATGGTGAGCCCTTTTTCCCCAAACAAGTGGGTGAGGTGGGGGTGAACAAGCTCATGTTAGTTTCAAGAGATTTAATAGTTTGTTTATATAGTTGGGAGAGTCCATTAGGTGGGCATTGAGGCTTTGGTCTCTCTTAAACCCAGCAGTGGTTTCTTTCGACTCAATGAGTTTCTGGATGCCTCGCTACTGAGGTAACAAAATGTCACCACTCCCTGCACTTCTGTGAGGAAGCCAGGTTCTGGCTCTGGCTCTCAGTAGGCCTAAGAACTCCACAGTTGATGTGACCTGGTAGATGGAAACCATCTGTGTATAACTTCAGGGAAACACAAGGGGTTCCTGCAGAAAATGGCAAGGACTGCAATGATGAGAAAAATGGCAAGGACTAATACTGTGATATTCTAAAACATGTAATGGATTAATTTGTGAACTGAAAACTTAAGAGAAATCTCTAACATCAGCACTTATAAAATTAATTATAAAATAGCAAGTACTTAAAAAAAGAAGGCACCAAGCAAGGAAGACTATGTAGCACCATTAGAAAATAGTAAACACTTTTTATACATACAGCCTTTTCAATTGCCTCATTGACAGCAATTACAGCAGCATGTAGAGTTGCCTCATCTACTGGCAACTCATTTGCAAGAATGCCACCAATCTTCCCAAACTGAGGTAGCTGACAACCATACTTGCTAAGTTCCTTCATCATAGCTTGCATTACTTCCTCTGTAAATACATTTAAAATAAAATACAGTATTTACTGCAAAATAAACACATTAAGCTTGATTCACAAGATTTAGTAACATGCCTCAGCACAAAACAGCAACACAGATATTGCCTATACATTTAACCCTTAAACTGCTTAGCTATTTAAAAGTCCTACATCCACATGTACATGAAAAAAAGTATTGAAAACTCATAAGGATCACTTGCACATTGCGATTTCCTCTTGTGCTCAAATTGCTGATAGCAAATGAGCAGTGGAAGGGTTAACGAGAGCATGTCATACATATTACACCGTGAATGTTTAAAAAATACTTATAATAAATATACCCAATAAGAAAATCAGTTGGAGCAATGAGGCGACTCAAATTAGCAATCAAGGTACTCCCAGCCAACATCTCACCCCTGTACCATGACTTAGTATAAGTTATACAACCGTGGATTCCACTATATCCACCGGAAGTCTTGAGTGAAATATGGTATTACATAGTAAATAAGCATAAATTATGCCTCTAACCTGAGAATATAACTTTTCCATACAGGTTCTGTATCTGAGGAGCAATCCCAAGCCGAAAAAGATAGAGACTGAGAGCATGAAGGCAAAACACAACTCGAGGCATGTTCTTCCGATCATACACATCTGTTGTTTCAGGATAGAAGCTCTGAAATATAAAAAAATCAGTCATTGTTAAATAACAGCACTACTGTATTATATTAAAAAGAGTAACTTTAACAATATCTCTTTGCCTATAGAATTTTTAATTAATTCACAAAGTTGTTCAATGTACCAATTTTTATTTGGTTATTTCATACCTGTATCACTGAAGCTAAATGTTTCCTTCACAGTATATTTCCTCCTATTTCCTACTATCAAATAATAGTGTATAAATATATTAACTTTTCCTGTTTTATACTTATTGTCATAATTCTAATTTGTTCTAATTCTAAATGCCTATATAATTAGTAATTTATTGTTTTATTTTTACTGTACAAGTACTTACACTTGGCAATTTAATTTTTTCTAGGGCCTTGAGAAAATAGTTAATATTATCTGTGTGTCTGAATGTTAGCCCACTTGTTCGAAATTTGGTCAGATCTGCATCATATATACGCCGCAGCGGAACAGTTTCTGGCGCAAAGAAATGAGCCAGCTTTGCCAAGTAGACACCATGGCGTAGGTGGTGTTCTAAATTCTCAGCTTCTGGCAACACTTCATTGATACATGCTTCCATCCACCTGTTGTGAAGTCATAAATAATAGCCATAAAATATAAATATTCCATCACTTGGTAACACTGATTAATAACACTATATATAGGTACGTAACAATTTTGTTTATGCAAAAGTTACTATATAAAATACTTTATGTTAATGAATATTATTACAGTAGTAGAATCTTTGGTAAGCCAGGAGGAGGACAATGTTTGGTATTAACATACAAAAACAAATCCAACAATCCCTTTTAAGAACTTGGGCTGGTTTAATTTATTGTTGAATTTTCCACATAATTTTTGTTAAATGCAATGAACAAACAAATTAAAGAAAAAAGTGTATCTAGCAACATACTCAAAGAAGAGAATACAACCCTTCTTTTATTGAATGTAGTAATACTACATGAATGTAGTATTCATGTAGCTGCAAAGACATGCACATTCTAAGCTCAGAATACGGTAATACAAACAATAATTAGTCTTACTTCTTTGCCTCCTCAAGATGACACAGGTACTGGTAAGATATATTTTTCTGACGCTGCTCATCCATCTCTTGAGCACTCAGGCAACCCTGCTCTTGTCCTGTCAAATAATAACCCAATTAGTTATATACCTTTAAGGTAAAATGTAATATAAGTTACTGTGTATTTTCATACTATAATGTACATCACAGAAATTCAAATTTTATAACAATTAAACTAACAATAGCTTCATTGTCAAGTAACTAATACTGAATAGCATATACCAGTACATATTTAATGATACATTTTTCAAACAAAATTCATAATAGTACAATTTGAAAATGTACTTTGTAAATTTTTCAAACTGATTTGCTTTATTGCAGTGAGTGTATCCTAAACCATTATTATGTACAGAACATGTATAAGTAAACAAGCATACCTATATAGCTCTGATTAATCATAATACGGCTCCAATATAGTCTAGCCTATAATATACAGTACACAGCTATACTGTACAGTGCTGGTAAAATTTCATTATAAATGTGCAACATGTTTCGTTTAGAGACTGGCACTAGGGTGAAGAGATAATTTGATGTGCAATAAAATTCTGGTCATATTTTTTTTTATTAATAGCTTTGTGAATTGCATGTGCAGCAGCCACTCCAGTGTCATTTTATGATGCAACATTCCTTTCATATTATTTGTACAATAAGCAAAACTTTTTATGTCAGCCATGAATGTGATAACCAAGTGTCTGGAGGATGGCGACTAAGTGTCTAGCTAAGCAAGAATGAAGCGGCTGAATATTCAAGAGGGTTTCAAGAACCCTCAAGAACACAATAATTAGCTATAGATTAGACTTACAGTTCTCAATATGAACAATGCTCTGTTGTTACCAGTCCATATGTATTTTTATTTATTTATTTATACTGTATATATATATGCAAAAGTTCTTACATTCTAGTACTGCCACTAGCACGCATAGCATTTCAGGGAGGTCCTAAATCCAAATTTTCTCCAGAATATGACCCCTCCAATTCGTTTAACAACCAGGTACCCATTCACTGCTGGGTGAACAGAGGCTACAGTTAGGAATTGGCGCCTGGTCAATCCGTGCTAGCCAAAACAAGAATCCAGGCCAAAGCGCAAGATACGAACCCAGGCCAAAGTGCTAGATATGAACCCAGGGCAAAGTCTTACCACTGCGACACGGAGACTGCTTAATGTAATCATTGGCACCACGGGGACTGCTTATTGTATTCATTGGGTACAGTACCATCTTTCTGCACCACCAAAATAGTGTTTATGTATCATCTACAGTTAACTTTATACCAAACACACTGGCAGCCTGTTAGGCTTATTGGTATCCCCATGGCCAACAAGAGATCTTCTTCCCGATGCAACCCACAACAGAAGCCCAACTCCTTATGCATTATCTACTGCTAGGTGAACAGACAACAGGTATAAGAAAATATGCTCAAACATCTTGCCCCTGCTGGGAATTAAACAAAAGAACAATAGTAGTGAGCCGACTGTGCTAACCACTGCACTAAAAAATTTACTCCGTACACACCAGTAATAATGGTTTTATCCTGTATATAAAACAGTGCAATACCAATGGGCTTGTATCCAGCAATATTAGATAGGAGCTCATTTAGATAATCCTCAAATTACAGCCAGTAAAATGCTGTGGATCTCTGATACAGTGAAAGACATATAGAGAATCAGTTTTTTCAGCATTGTATAAAATAATAGGCAAACTAACATTGAAGGGGAACATAACTGGCTCACCACAAATGTAAATTATTTAGCTTTGAGATACTGCAATTAGTTTTAATACTTTAACCCATTATGTGAATAACATTTCAATCTTTTGCCAACAGAATGAATATAGGACCTTAATGCTGTAAAAATATATTTTGGGTTTCTGTAGTGCTATTGGATTCATTCTCGACTCAATTGGAAATCCTGCGTTCAAATCCTGGGCAGGACAGAAATGGTTGGGTATGTCTCCTTTCATCTAATGCCTCTATTCACCCAGCAGTAAATAGGTACCTGGAAGTTAGTCAAACTGTTGTGGGGTTGCATCCCCCAGGGAAGGTCAGTATTTTGACCTTGGTAGGGGGGGGGTCCTAGGGAGGGGGGGACCTTGATATAAGCCTATAAGCCTTGATATAGGCAAACTAAACAAATACTCTTACTCTTTGTATCATTCTTGGAGATCATGGTCATTTTAGTTTGATAAACTCTGAATATACTGTTAATATGTGTGCAACTAGCTCATCAAGACTACAACTTGCTGAGCACAATAAACTTCCTTAACCCATTAACTTTCCTTAGCCTCTTAACATTTTGCACCAGGGGTCATAGGATGGGTACCAAGTTAGTAAAAACTAAGCTTACCTGAAAGCTTCGTTATTGGGTCTTTCAGAAACCCTTATTTACCAGCATATATATAAATTATATACCTGTATATACATTCTCCTTTGCCACTCGTATACTACGCTCAAAGACAAATTTAGTCACCATTAATAATATCGTTAAGAATATAAATCAAGTGAAACAAGCTGGGCCACAAGCCACTAAACTCCAGTCAACATCACTAACACCTCTCCCCCATAACTGGTCAGGTTTAAGTCAAACATCACCTTCGATAAAACGTTAGAGATAACTGATCACAGGAAGAGGTTAATAATCTACCCAACACATTAGTGATTAGCGAAGGAGTTTGCCCCATAACAGTTTTGTTCAGTGTTACTCTAGTGTTGGTGCGTGTATGAAGGCCACGGCCGCCCTCCCTCCACCTACCTCTCACAGGGGACGCCATCCTCTCCTCGAATCCTCTAATATCACGCTCAAAATTCAATAAAACTTTCCAAGTGTGTCAAAAATCACACATATCCGTGGCGCCACATCTTCGTATGTGAGGAGCCGAGCCCTCATTGGTCCAGTAATCAAGGCTTGTGATTGGCGGCTCCAGTTAAACTCGGGGTTCCGACTGGCTGTCTCGTTAATTTTGAATTTTCATTGGTTGTTATCATCTAGGGCGGTGTTTTAGTGTTTATTTTCATTCAAATCAGCTGTTTATCTGAGTACATGAAAGAGGATCTTCATAGCATGCACAGATGACCGCTCGTACAGGGGGAAGATATATTTATAACATTCATAACCGCCAAGCTCTCCATATATGTATATAAACATATTATTATTATTTATTTATTTTTATTATTTATTATGTATTTATATACAAGAAGGTACATTGGGTTTGTGAGGATACAGAGCATGGTATTTACATTCTTGTAAAGCCACTAGTACACGCAGTGTTTCGGGCAGAAATTTCGGGCATATATATATCTATAAACCAAATCATCAAAGAGAGACAAACAGACATTCTGTAAGTAGCAATAATATTAGGAAGTAATACATTTGTTCCATATTCTCATTAGCTCTATGTAGATAATTAGATGTGCACTTAACTTATCCCTAAGGAGTTCCGTTTTCCAGGAAGGTCTACATTTATCCTAGGTCCACTAATTACAATTATAAATATCTCTTCACAAGTGTCCAACTAATTATAATTAATATTTCATCCCAGTCTGCTAGATGTTGGTCAGTTTGACCAACATCTGGTGAGAAGCTGAGAAGGTGAGAAGCTTGTAATATAAGCCATTGACAGCAGATCAACAGGCTCACCATAGCCCGTGCTACTTGAAACTTGTTCCGAGTAGCTGAATTTATAACAACAACAACAACACTAAACTCTGAGTCTTGAACAAATCGTCTCTAGGTCATGTGTCTTTGAGTCTTGTCTCTAAGACACATCTCTAGTGTCTTTGAGTCTTATCACCCAAAACTCGTATACATAAACATATGTTACATATCTTATAGTATAGTTATATCTACAAGAGGGAATGCCTGTCTGTCTATTTGCCTATTTGTCCAGAGTTGGAGGCCAGATTCTTGGGGATAGCCTCACCCAAATTTGCAGGAGGAATGGTCTGGGATACTGAATGGACGTAGGCTGGTTGGGGGTTGGATATTTCTCAGACCTAGTTTCCCCCAGCAACCCTTCAAGAGATGGCTCTTTTGCATCCACCTACTAATCCTGGACGTATAGTAACTACCTCCCAACTTTTCACTGACCATTTATCCTCTTATATAGAACTTCTTCCTTTCTTCTTCCTTCCCTACAATAGTATTAACCCTTCCTCTCACCACTCACTGTTCTTGTTCCCTTCTTCCTTCCCCTTCTTCCTTGTTGTAGATGTAATTAGTTTTTTGTTTACACAGGCGAGTTCAGAAGCAGATGACTTGTGACGCCGGTTATCAGGCTGAGAGCTTTCTCTTCCCATAGCTCATGGTAAGCTTTATCCCATAGTTTTCCCTGGAATACGACAAGCAAATCGGTTAACAACCAGGTATTCAATTGCCGCTTGGTGAACAGAGGCGAACAGTTACGGATTGATGCACAGACAAGCCTCCCTAGCCAGGACTCGAACCTAGACACATTGCTCGCTAGGCGAGTATGTGTTACCACTGCCCCACCGAATTTTGTTAATTATGGACCCCATACCCCCATCTGTGCATGGGCGGTGGGTAATTGCCAGTATGGTCGTCTCTGCATGGCTTCACCCTCTACATTCCAATGATCACAATATTCAAGAGCAACACCAATTCAATGCCGAATCAATGCCATTAACGTTAATTTAACGTTGAATTAACGTTGATTCAATGTAAAAAAATCCACACTTCGATAGTGTACCTGCTGATGATTGATTGATAAATATAAAGCCACCCTAAAGGTGGCATGGGCACGAATAGCCCGTAATATGCCTACTGGGATCCTGCTCCTTATATACTAGAGATGTCGCTATCCCGCACTAATCACACTGAAAATGGCCAGATTAATTGTAATTCTGGTGCATTCTTTGTGTGGATAAGGAGGGTTCAAGGGTCAGTTCTGGGCGCGGTTCTGTGCAAGTGAAGGCAAACCAGGTATCCGTTGCAACAGTCTATTCAGAGACGTGACGCTAATGACAATGTAATACTTGAGGTGAGGACTTGGGAGGGAAATAAGTCCGAACTTGTCACCTGCGAGAGGAACTGGGTGACATCGAGTCACCTGTGAGAGAATCTGAAGTACTTTGTATTGCGAGTGGGAAGACCTGGAAGAGAAATGCGTCTTCCTGACTACTTTTAAAAGATCTGAACAAGAGAGTAGGTTCTCCTCACCTGCAGGATGACCTAGAGACGACAGTGCCATTATCAGTAATAATTCAGTGATGTCAAGCACACATGACCTGCACGAGGGCGTGAGGTCATACATATCAATGTTTGCAGACGATGCAAAACTGTTAAGGAATGTAAAAACAGAGGAGGACTCCAGGACGTTCCAGGAGAATCTTGACAAACTCCAGGAGTGGGCAAAAGACATATCTGCTTTGGAGAAAGTTCACCGCCAGGCGACAAAAATCATTCCTGAACTAAGTCGACTCTCATACCATGAACGGTTGAGGGCCACAGGGGCTAACAACACTGTAAACCAGACATGACAGGGCTGATCACATCAAAACTTTTAAAATACTGAACAATTTGGAGGTATTGATCCAGACCATTTCTTCGAAAGGTCAGATGTAACACTAACAAGGAGCACTGGTTTCAAACTCAATAAGCCGCAATGTAGGACAGAAACAAAAGATGCTTTTTCACCAATAGGGTTATAAAGCCTTGGAACCGCCTACCCGCCGAAGCCGTAAATGCCATCACACTGCTGAATTTCAAAATCCAATTCGATAAAGTCATTAGGATAAATGGGGGAGACCTTTAACAAGCCGCCGGCTTCCTGCCCTCATCGAGGCCACTAGAGCCCTCAGGTAAATTCAGGTAAATCAAATGGTTGCTGGCATTCAATCCCATCAAGTATAAGATAATGAAGATGTCAAAGGAAGGAACAAAAAAAAATTCAGACGGCACCACTCCTGTGCCAGGTAAGTCCATTACAGGCTCACTATATAGCCCATGCTATTTGCCCCGCTCCTTGGAGACACACACCATCTGGTCACCATTTGGTCTGGGAGACTTCTCCCGTCACGCAGGGTGTAGTCGCACCTCCACAGATCTCCAGTATCATCTATTGATACTGGTGATGGCTCAAAAGGGCCACCACGTACGAGCTATTCATGCCTGTGCCACCTTTTGGGTGGCTTCATCTTCATCTTAACACATTCACAAGGGAGACATCTCCCGTCATGCTGGGTGCATTCGCACCTCCTCAGATCTCCAGTATCAGCTCTTGATACTGGTAATGGCTTAAAAGGGCCACCACTTACGGGCTATTCATGCCCGTGCCACCTTTTGGGCGGCTTAATCTTCATCAATCAATCAATCCCCGCTCCTGTGCCAGGTAAGTTACGGGCTCACCATAGCCCGTGCTACTTAGAACTTGTTCCGAGTAGCTAAATCTATAACAACAAAGGAAGGCAGGAGACCAGGAGGCATCTACACTATAAGGGGAAGGAAACTACACGAGTCTGAAAGAGAGAACGGTTTGAGAGTTACTGTAACTCCAGCACTAATAACAGAGATTACGTTTTAAAATCCGGCTTTGTGCTAGCTTATCTGTTGATTGCTCATTGTGTTACTTATTTCTATAAAAGTCCATTTTATTTCCATTAAAATTCCATAGTCCATAAAAGTGGTGGTCTCAACTGCTGATATTTGCCATGTATAAACTTAAAGAAAATTGTATTCCTGTTTATTTTGTTAAAATTACTATCTGCTGTTCTGTTGTAATGCCAGCTGTTCCATTCAACAAGTAATTATTGTCATTTATTTCTACTTCAGTTCAATTTTTGCTTTTAATTTTCACGTCATGCCCGAAACGCTGTGCGTATTAGTGGTTTTAGGCATAGTATATACTTGCTCTATTTAGAAATACAAAAATTCTGCATGTAACTCATTTTGTATGTATGAACTTTTCCATAAATAAACATTATCGTTATTTTTATCATATTTAAAGTCGCACAAACCTATGGTTTACTTTTCCCAGGGTTTAATTTTTTTTTTAGTTTCTAAAAGTACACTAGTTTCAATACATATCACAACATTTGAAAAATGAACTATTATTGTTTTGTGACGAAAAAACATCTTTTTTACTGCGCTGGTGGCCAGCGGGCGGGCGCCTGTGACGTCACCGGTGGGCAGATGGAGGGCACCTGTGACGTCACACGCCGGGGACTTACCCTTCCTTGCCCTTCGATTAAGCTGTTATAAATAGGTAGATAGAGCTGATAAGTTAGCCAAAGAATCTGCCTTTAAAGGAGCCGTTGAGTGTAACCTTGGATTGTCAATGAGCAATCTGAGAGCAGCAGTACACCGAGAACTTCAACAAGATCTTGTAGATCTGAGGCAAAGTGAAATTGACACCAGTAATTCCATCTATCATCATACTATCATGCAAGAGGAGTCACACATCTATGGATCATCCAATAAAATCAGCAGACTTCTAGATGTTACTACTGCTCGGCTTAGACTCGGTTACAAGTACCTCTGGGAATTCTCATTATCTGCCGATGTAGACCTGACCAAATGTAAACTGTCAACAAAATTATTCGCACACCCTCCGTCACTATGTGATGGAGTGCGAAAAGATACGTGAATTTAGAGACAATTCTATAACCAATGTTCCAGCGATGAGTAAATATTTCATTCAAAATGATCTGCTACCAGAAATTTTAGCCAAATATCCCCAGTTTGCTAACTGTAGGTAGTAACTAAGAGTGATTGTAACCTATCCACCGCTGCCCACTGGATGGGGGCGGTGTGCAGGACAAACTTATCAATTGTGACATTAGCTCTCCACATATGTCAGTTGCTTAATTCAGAAACTGTACTTGTGATCGATCTCGGCTGTAACTTTTTTTCCCCTTGATTGATAAAGATTAAGCCACCGAAGAGGTGGCACGGGCATGAATAGCCTGTAAGTTTTTCCTTTTCTCGTATCGCACTTTTATACCCGTCTATCCCCAATTTTCGGTTGAATGAACTGATTTATATCTAGTAACAAGGGATAGCTTTCCAACCTTTGAAACTACTGGAGGTGAGGTTTATGTTACCTTACCTCACCTCTCTGTGAATGTCTCGTAAGTCAGGTACCATCCCAAGTCTCTACTCAAGTCACCTCAACAACTGTTACCCGGCAAAGCACTCCCTTGTAGAGGGGGGTAGAAATAGCCTAAGCTACTCTATCCCTTTGAGATGTATTTCTTTCTTGTCTCAATAACATACTTGAACTTGAACACTCCCTTGCATCTGTTTTACTCGTTTAGTAAAGAATGAAATTTACATATTCAAAGTTGTAAAACAGAGACAAAAGGTTAACCAGAACTAAGATATGACTTTAAACGACAGGTAACATGATAATGCGAGAGTATAAACACAAGGACAATAATGATTGCCTAGTAAAGAGATATGAGTCACATCGTACACTAGACAGTTCGCCAACGGATTTTAAAACTTACCTAACCATACGCAAACTAGCCTATCACACCCGAGCATAACATAACGTTGGGTAATATATCCTAACCTAATGATATATATATGGTTTTGACAATCAGAAAACGAGATGTGTGCAATTTGGCCATATCTCTAGTAAAGTGCTCTCACAACTCCTACTTAATCATAAAATCAACAAGAATCATTTGAACATTAGATTCTGCTTTTTGATAATTATTCTGATATACTTTATGATGCACCTTTTACACGTCGTGCGTTCTTTCACATACTTACATGGATTACATAATCCCGGGCGCCAGCGAGAAACGATGGCCAGAGTTTCTTTCACCCTATGCCCCTGTTACCTAGCAATAAATAGGTACCTAGGAGTTAGTCAGCTGTCACCGGCTGCTTCCTGGGGGTGGAGGCCTGGTCAAGGACCGGGCCGCGGGGACACTAAAAACAAAGCCCCGAAATCAACTCAAGATAACCTAGCTATCTATTGCCGTCGATTATTATGCTAACAATCTACCTTCAGTTCTAATATAACAATATTACTTTAATTCCTAAGTCATCACAGATTTCTCGACTCACAATCGAAGATACCGGGTTCGATTCTCGAACGGGACAGAAATGGTTTGGCACGTTTCCTTTCACCTGATGCACCTGATCACCCAGCAGTTAATAGGTACCCGGGAGTTGGGCAATTGTTATGGGTTGTATCCTGGGGAAGAAGTTCGACTTAGGGGGACCTCGATATAAGCCTTAGTACAGGCTAATTCCTGTCTCAGACAACGAGGAAAACTAAAAAATACACCTAGCTCCATCTAGGTGCGTACATATACTCCATCACGTTATTTAGTGGTGAGCTGGCAGACTGTTCCACCTAACAGGTGGTGTGATGGTCCACTAACAGGTGGTGTAATGGTCCACTAACAGCTGGTGTGATGGTCCACTAACAAGTGGTGTAATGGTCCACTAACAGGTGACGTGATGGTCCACTAACAGCTGGTGTAATGGTCCACTAACACTAACACACCTTCAAAAAGTTTTACATGACAGACGGAGTGCTGGTTAATTATGGAGTCATCAGGATAACCTGTCCTCAGGGAGTAGATCCGCTCAAGAGAATGGATAGGAAACACTATATAATTAGTGCTGTTATCTACTCTCTCTCCATAGTTAGGTTAGGTTAAGGGTTACTTTAGGTTAAGGTTTATTTAGATTAGGTTAGATGTCATTATGTTTGGTTACGTTAATACGATGTATTATTGACGATAATGTAAAATATGGAGTTCGAAAACTATTTTAGTATGCCCAAACATTTGGTTTACAGAAAACCAAATTCTTAAAAGAAAACGTATTGAGCATGAACCTTTATATTTCTCATATTTTTAAGTACTTACTTAAAAGTATAAGTGGGGGTGGGGGGATGAAGGTTCTAATGGTAATGGATTTGCTGTAATGACGGGCTCATCAGTAGGGAAAACCCCCTCGAGCAAACTGCACGTACTATAAGAGTTAGGGCTAAGACATTATTTCCTAACTATATTTGATATAGTTTACGTGATATTACTGTAGTTCCATCGACTTATATTCTTATACAAAACTAACATTTTCACAAACATATAGCGGGTGGGGTGATGATGTGTGGATCACTTAGATGAAAGTGAGTGACTAAGTAACGGGTGATGGGTAACTGCGCGAACAGCCTCTCTCTCCACAGCTTAGGAGAACCTCGATAAAGGAAATAGGCTTCCTGTCCCCGACACTGGTAGACGTGAGGTACCTACAAAATACTGGAGTAATTGCCACGGCTCTTTGTTCCACATGCAGGCGACGAGTCACAATAACGTGGCTAAAGTATGTTGACCAGACCACACACTAGAAGGTGAAGGGACGACGACGTTTCGGTCCGTCCTTGACCATTCTCAAGTCTATTGTGTGCAGTCGACGACGACGACGAAACGTCGTCGTCCCTTCTTTGTTCCACATTTGTTTAATTTATAGAAGGTATTTTTGCTTATTGTATTCCAGTTTTTAAAGATGTGGATGTTTTTATTTCTAATATTGCTGTTAATTACAGAGTACTTAATTGTAGTACAGTCAGGTTCGTTCTCGACTCATAATAAAAGATTTCGGGTTTGAATCCCGCGCGGAACAGAAATAGTTGGGCCGCCAAGTCTCTCTTCCCCACCCCAAGGCCGAATTACTGACCCCGCCCAGGATGCAACAGCACAACAAGCTGACTGACTCCTGAGTACCTACTTACTGCTAGGTGAACAGACGCATTAGGTGAAAGGAAATGTGTCCAACCATTTCTGTCCCGCCTGGGACTCGAAACCCGGAATTCTCGGTTTTGCGTCGAGAACGAACCCGACTGTACTACCAGGACCCTCTATATATATTGGACCGACTACATTGGTTAGAAAAGCAGCTGAAGAATGGGACACACTAGTGAACATTGTGCATCTCTGTTACGAACTCCTCCGTAACCTTTTTTTTTTTTTTTTTTTTTTTTTTTTTTTTTTTTTTTTTTAGATATATACAAGAGTTGTTACATTCTTGTACAGCCACTAGTACGCGTAGCGTTTCGGGCAGGTCCCTGGAATACGATCCCCTGCCGCGAAGAATCGTTTTTTCATCCAAGTACACATTTTACTGTTGCGTTAAACAGAGGCTACAGTTAAGGAATTGCGCCCAGTAAATCCTCCCCGGCCAGGATACGAACCCATGACATAGCGCTCGCGGAACGCCAGGCGAGTGTCTTACCACTACACCACGGAGACTTCTTTTAAACTCTACGATCCTTCTCAAGTCCAGAGATCCCAAACTTTGGTGGAAATGCAGTGTAATGTTTTAGGTAAGAAATGAAATTGCACTTAAAAATGTCACTTATTATTATCTACAACTACTACTATATACAACCCTCTGACGTGGTTGTCCAGCGCATCACTAGCCCTCATGCTAGCTAGCTTCAAAGATGACGGACACTATGTACACTCCTCTGACGAGGTCTTCAACCCAACACTAGCCTTCACGTTAATTGCAGTTATGGTGAAGTCTTCAGGCGCCCCACTAGCTCACTCGTTAGCACGTTCCAACAGTAAAGTCTTCCAGCACTCTACTAATCTTCTGGTTAGCACACCCAAACGGCGAAGTCTTCCAGCGCTCTACTAATACTAACCCTCTGGTTAGTTCTATCTGCCATCAAGATAATGTTATTTAAACGAGACTAAAACCAGTGCGCTAAAACAGAAGTAGAAAAGAAACGGGAGAAAATGAGGAAACCCCACCTCCTTTTAAAAATTTGACCCAAATATCACAGAAACAAGGTTATCACCAATAATCGAACTCAATTACGGGCTCACTATAGCCCGTGCTACATGAACATTTCGTTCTGAGTAGCTCAACCTAAAACGACAACTATGCGGGCTCACAATAGCCTGTGCTACATGGAAATTTCCTTCTGAGTAACTGAATCTAAAACAACAACAATAACTCTATTTCGGCACAGTTACAGCCCCGCTCTTGTGCCAGGTAAGTCCACTATGGGCTCACCATAGTGGACTTACTATGGTGCTCCTTGGGACTTTCTGTTCCGAGTAGTTGAATCTAAAAAAATAACTCTGTCTCGGATACCTACCTGACATAGGAGATACTGTGATCTCTGTTTCGGACAACGAATACCGTCTTCGTGTTTTATTGACTCGTAAACACTGCTCCGGTCCTTGCACCATGGACGGCAAGTTGGCCTTGCAAGAGGCGTAGTCCATAAAACAATAGTTGCACAGTTGCTTGTTTCACACATTAGTTGGAATTCAGTTACAATAAATTAGCTTCATATGAACTCCAGAAAAATAAGAGGTCTTAATTACGATAACGACGATTTATTTATTGTATTATTTTCGTTCATTATAAATAGCGTATAACCAAATTCGGAAAACTGTAGATAACACTGTCATCAATAGTGAGAAATAGCTACAAGTGCTCAGGAAAACAATGCTTTATATATACAGTGCCAGAGGCAATGTACACGTGGACGAAATTATAAAGAGTTGACTGAATATTGACGCGGGTAGGTGTGTCTGTACTGAGGGAGGGGCAGGGCAAGTAGCCTGAGGAGGGGAAGACGTGGAGATGCTCCAGAAGCCCCGCCCGCCCTAGACCTTGACAACCCGTATATAAAGAGCGTCTTGGCCTGGGCCCAGCAGACAGCTCCTTCTTGGTGGGTCAACATGAACGCTCTGGTGAGTATATCATTCTATTGTCTTTATGTATGCATGGTCCCTAGGATGTTGCAATGTAAGCACTCGAACTTGAAAAATCGAGACCGTTGACCTGCCACTCAGGCAATGGGGGGTTCATTATAAGGATAATTGTGGGGAAACAGCGCTAAACCATTATGGCTATAGCACATGGAAGGAATATGAGGGGCAGGAAACTGGGTTATGACGACTGAGGGAAGGAATGGTGCCCATACACTTGGACCGTCTGGTATTAAACGCCAACCTGCATGAAGCGAGACCGTCGCTCTGCCGTCCAGTCCAAGTGGTTATAATGAAATAGAATGAGTGATAAAGATAATGTACCTCTGAGATACAACACGGCTGGCAGTGAAAGACCTCACGGGTAGGTCCGTGACAAGCTTACATGCACATGACAAGAATTACTATATTTTTTAACTTGTCTCTTTTGTACAAGTGATGATTTATTAAATGTTTTATTGTAAATGATCCTGCACGAGCTTAAGCACTACATTCAGTACATTGTTTTTTAATAATGGACATTTAATTTTAGTCTGCAAATATTTTAAAGGCACCTTATTATTTCAGACTGTACTCTGTATTGCGGCTGCGGTGGCCTACAGCAGCGGGCAGCTTCTAACTTACTCTGGCCTGTATGGTGGCTATCCTGGGATACATGGCGCCTATCCTGGGATACATGGCGCCTATCCTGGTACATATGGCGCCTATCCTGGTGTCTATGGAGCCTATCCAGGTGTGTATGGCGCATACCATGGGCTCCTTCCTGCAGCTTCACCAATTACATTTAAATCTGTGGCTGCTTCACCTGTCACAATAAAGGCTGCTCCCTCTCCTATCACCATCAATGCTGTAGCTCCAACACCTTTGACGTACAACGTGGCTCCTGTCGCTCCTGTGACTCCCGTCCAGTCCCAGTACCACGCCCAGGACGAGCTGGGCCAGTATTCCTTCGGCTACTCCGGCGGTCCTTCATCCCGAGCTGAGACTCGTGACGCCTTCGGCATCGTCCGCGGGTCGTACAATTATGTTGACGCTAATGGTAAGATTCAGACCCAGCAATATGTGGCTGACGCCCTTGGTTTCCGTGTAGCTGGCACCGATCTGCCCGTGGCACCAGATGCCCCTCCCGCAACTCTAGGTTCCCTGCCAGAACCAGTACAGGACACTGCTGAGGTCGCCGCTGCTAAGGCTGCCTTCAAGACTGCTTATGACGAAGCAGCGGCCGCCGCTGCTGCAGCTCCAGACACCCGCAAAAAGCGCTCCATCTCGACCATCCCAGCTCTCGGGGCTTATTCTCCCCTTCGCTTCTCCTACGGGTTCAACGCTCCTTTGACTTACGCCCACGCACCTGTGATAGGCTCTCCTCTCACTTACACAGCCGCCTTCCCTGGTCTCACCACCTACAACGCCGCCCCCGCCATCACAACCTACAGAGGTGCTCCTGCCCTCGGTTACACTGCCGCAGTTGCCGCTCCTGCTGCTGCCCTCCGCGACGCTCAGCTCCTCCGAATTGTGCACAACCCTGGGCATGCTGTCTCCTACCGCGTGGACTAGGCGTCGCAGAGTAAAACTGTTCCCACTGTCTCCACTCATGTGGTTATGTGTTGTAGAGCATCTGTCATAGATCACTTGATGTTTGTTGGTTCTAAGGCATCGCTGAAGATTTAGTTTGATTAAAACATCGTCAAGAAGTTGAATTCAAACTATTCGATTAATTAATGCAGTATAAATTGTTTAGTAAGCATCATACCATCAAAATCTTTATGACTGACGTTGACGCACTCTCACATGTACTTATTGCTCATGTTGACCTAAAAATTTTTTTTTAAATGATATAGTTAAAATAAATGATTTCTGAAAATATAATGTTTCTATCATTCCCAAATAAACTGGGGCAATATTTTGTCCAGTCATTTACATCAGTTTGTCATTTACATCAGCATCTCTCATTCATTACCTATATGTCTTATCGACGGTGTCAGGAGTCATCTGTTACCACTAGTTTTGAGGGTTAAGACTGCATAGGGCTTGGGCATAACACTTTTACATATATGTTACTAGAGGGTTCCCGGCGTTGCTCGGGTGTCGAAGACATTCCAAGTAAACATTCATCTTCACTAAACGCTATCTCACAGTGACTATCTTAACAGCACACAACCATCATCACTACACAGTCTTCATCACTGTAACCATCATCACTACACACGCCCTACACTGTAGTCATCTACACTATCCACGATCATCTTGCTCAATCTCTCCGGACTGTCTTTATCACTGTAACTATCTTCATTTGCTGAAAATTAGCTCTATAATGGAATACTTGCTACAACTTTGAGTGCTTTTCTGTGGTGTAGTCTATTAAGTTCATATTATGCCTTCTTCTACTTAACCTCGCTGCGACACCTTGTCTTAAGGAAAACTGTAAACAAGAGGCGCGATATTTGACTTTCAAATGTTACCTTTGCACGAACAGAGTAATTTCGACGTAAATATCATCCAAAATACACAATTATGGAACTCGTTTTTGGCAACAGATAACACCCAAAACATGTTCACTTCATAAATTCAAACACTGAGTAAATGAATGGCTAATAACACTAAAATGGTATTTGATCAATTTCAAATATAACTGCACTGAGACAGAAAACTTTAAAGAAAAAAGTGCAGTTCTTGCTTTGCAACAATCGAGATAACTATTTAGTGATGTGGAAAAATCGTAATAACCAAATAGGATAATAATTATTTAATAATGAGAGGCAGCGGTTGAGTTGTGAACTTGTAGTTTCTTGACACTTAAGCAACATGTTCATTATCGTTAATTATATCTAATCGTCATTAACACAAATAATACTTCTTTTCCCTCATTTAACCTACAGTTCCATGCACTCAAATTCATGCCACAACGAGACCGTTGTTGACGAACACAAATGATTTGCCAAAACCTTGTTTTTGGATCTTGTTCATCAAGATGACGTGAGGCATCTTGATGACAAGATGAATATTCATACTCAATTATGGATATTCATTCTTATGCTGTTGTTGTTGTTGTTAAAGATTTAGCTACTCAGGACGAAGTGTCCATGTAGCACGGGCTATGGTGAGCCCGTAACATTCTTATGCCTTTCGTACCCAATTAATACCCACCTCACCCAAAACATTTGTGTCATATCACCTCACCCAAAACAAATAAAAAGCATGATGTATGTTATGTGTAAACCAAGTCTTTGAAAATGTAAGAAGCCTTACGAAACGCTTCTAGGCGTCAGACCAAAAATAAAAGGAAAAGATGAATTTTGGAGAGTTAATATTTCAATTACCCTCGACAGTGAAGAAAAACGTAAGAAATATTGAGAAGATGTATGTCTTGTGTAATGTGTAAGTACTCAATTCATGGTAAGGTACTGCTTGGAATCTTAGCCAAATATGCAAAACTTGCTTACTGTAGGTACAGCCTGCACATGACTGTAAAGTTGCCGCCCAGTTGGGTGGGTGTAGAGCAGGATTAGTAAACGTGTAACTGACTCACCATAAATATAAACTGAGACTGTTGTGGGTCTCTTCTTAAATCACTTGTGATATAAAAAGACTCGATATGCATATGTGTATACATGTATGTATATATATATACATTTAAATGTGTATGTAATATTAACAATTGAGTAACTAGTTGCACAAGACTGTCCCTTGCTTAGCTAAATGACATTTACGGTTGAGTTCCTGAACCCATTATGTGCTTCTGTAACCATTTCCACCACCGCCCACGGGATGGGTATGGGGTGCATAAATAAAAAAATAAATGAATGAATGATTGGTAGTGCATACTAACCCAATCGCACTCTCTACCTCGCATATTATTACTAGCACCTCACATTGCTTCAAGGCATCAGCCTAATGCGCCACCGTGCGCGTGTAGTAGCCTCTGCTGTGGTGGTCGGTGTCGGATGGGTGGAAAGAATACATACCAAAATCCATCACAGATTGAGACTAAATCGGTCAAAATCCATCACAGACTGAGACTAAATCGGTCAAAATCCATCACAGACTGAGACTAAATCGGTCAAAATCCATCACAGACTGAGACTAAATCGGTCAAAATCCATCACAGACTGAGACTAAATCGGTCAAAATCCATCACAGATTGAGACTAAATCGATCAAAATCATAATTGTAACTGTCAGTTACAATCAATAATTTCGTTTCCTTCTTCAGATGTAGCGGTTGGGTTTTTTCGCTTTACCATTAACAACAAAGTCCTCAACTCTCTTTCACGTCTTTCTTCATTCTATCTATTATTTAGTCACTTGTCCATCCTTTGTTTTATCATTAAGAAAAAATGGCGGGAATGAAAATTTATTTTCATTCCCGCCATTCATTTATTCATTTTCATTTTCATTTATTATGGCGGGAATTTAAATGAAAATAATGCTTGTGCCGGTCCACAATATACGTAAGCCCGGCTGAAGGGCAACGCCACAGTATGCGGTTTGCGTGACGTCAAGAGTGCCCGGCCATCATCACTGTAAAAACTAATATCCTGTTTTGAACACAATAGATTGACAACTTAAACCCTTTCCCCAAGTTGGCCACTTATTTAAAAAGAGACACTGAGAATCATGAAATACAAGCTATCGATATATTCTCCGGGTTTATAAAGTTTTTTGGTTAGTTTGTGTACTGTGCACCCCCATACCCATCCTTTGGGCGGTAGTGCGAAGGATTACATATTCACATAATAGATTCAGGAACTGAATCACAATATTCGTCTAGCTAAGCAAGTTACAGCGTTGATGAGTTAGTTACAGAGTTCATTAACATTTACATCAGCAGTGTATTAATAATTCTGGCTAGTCTTAATTAACATAGTTACAGAGACGCATATTTTGTGGTCCAATATGCTGTTGTTGCTGGAACTGGGTATGAGATTTCTGGATCTGTGTGTGATGTGTCTGGAGCTTGGTATGGTGAATCTGGAGCTAGGTGTGGTGTCTGAAGTTGAATATAGGGTGTTTGCAGCTGGGGTATGGGGCGTCTGGAGTTGGGTGTGTAGTGTCTGGAGCTGGGTATGAGGGTCTGGAACTTGGTATGCATTGTCTAGAGTTAAATGTGAGGTGTGGAATATGTGGAGCACCGTGTAGAGTGTAGAGTGTCTGGAGCTGGATATGGTGTGTCTGAAGCCCGGTGTGGAGTGTCTGGAGCTGGATATAATGCGTATGAAGCTAGGTGCTGGGTATCTGATGCTCGGTGTGTGGGTGTAAGATGCCTGGAGCTGAGAGTAGGGGTATCAGCAGCTGAGAGTGGGATGCTTGCAGCTGGATATGGGATGTCTGGATATGGATATGGCAAGTCTGAAGTTGGGTGTGTGGTGTATGGAGCTGGGCGTTGAGATGCTCCAGAAGCCCCGCCCGCCCTAGACCTTGACCACCCGTATATAAAGAGCGTCTTGGCCTGGGCCCAGCAGACAGCTCCTTCTTGGTGGGTCAACATGAACGCTCTGGTGAGTATATTATTCCTTCTACATATCTCACTTAAGAACAAGTGGTACTTGGTGTTATGAACACATAATGGCGTAATGAGTTATTTATTGCAAGTAAAAGTACGAAAAAACATTAGGAGGCGCACAGCACATTATTATGTCGTATATAATATACATTTAATTTCATAATTAATTTTTATTTGCCTTAATTTTAAAAGTACCTTATTATTTCAGACTGTACTCTGTATGGCGGCTGCGGTGGCCTACAGCAGCGGGCAGCTTCTAACTTACTCTGGCCTGTATGGTGGCTATCCTCGGATATATGGCGCCTATCCTGGTGCATATGGCGCCTATCCTGGTGTCTATGGAGCCTATCCAGGTGTGTATGGCGCATACCATGGGCTCCTTCCTGCAGCTTCACCAATTACCCTTAAATCTGTGGCTGCTTCACCTATCACAATAAAGGCTGCTCCCTCTCCTATCACCATCAATGCTGTAGCTCCAACACCTTTGACGTACAACGTGGCTCCTATTGCCCCTGTGACTCCCGTTCAATCCAAATATCACGCACAGGACGAGCTGGGCCAGTATTCCTTCGGCTACTCCGGCGGTCCTTCGTCGCGAGCTGAGACTCGTGACGCCTTCGGCATCGTCCGCGGATCGTACAACTACGTGGACCCTGAGGGTAAGGTTCAGACCCAGCACTATGTGGCAGACGCGCTCGGCTTCCGAGTAGCTGGCACTAATGTTCCCGTGGCACCCGATGTCCCTGCGGCTACTCTAGGTTCCCTGCCAGAACCAGTACAGGACACTGCCGAGGTCACCGCCGCTAGGGCCGCCTTCAAGGTTGCTTATGATGAAGCCGCGGCTGCCGCCGCTGCTGCCCCCGATAGCCGCTAAAAACATTGCATTTCGGCCGACCCAGCCGTCGGCATCTACTCTTATCACTTCTTCGGGTTCCACATCTAAATGACCTACGGTCACTTGTCTGTAATAGGCTCCCCTCTCCTACAGAGGTCTTTCCTGGACATACCACCTACAACACCGTCCCTGCCTTCACAGCCTTAACCGATGATCACAACCTCTGCTGCACTGCCACAGTCGCCGCCCTCGTTTTTGATGTCCGCGAGTCCGCGATGCTCAGCTTCTCCATATTGTTTACTACCAAGATGTCATGCTGTCTCCTGCCGCGTGGACTATTGGCATTGCATAGCAGAACTGGTCATGCTGTCTCTCCTGATGTAGGTTTGAAAAGGTGTTGTAGAGCATCTGTCATAAAGCACTTGGTGCCTGCTAGTTCTAAGAAAATGCCGAGGGTTTACATTGATTCCAGAAATTTTGGATCAGTAAAATCATCAATAATTCGGCGAAACGTATTTTATAACCACCAGCGCGTCAAGATGTTTGTGTTGGATGTTGACCTACCTTCATATCTGCATGTTACTCATGTTGACCTAAAGTTTTTTTTAAGTGAATATGTCAAATATATATATATATATATATATAAAATATCTATTTTGTATATCATTGTTAATAATCCTATCCTAGGTAATCGCCAGTCATATTCTAATACCCTGGTAAACAATACCTTTTGACAACATGACTCCTACATACCCCACCAAGAAACTAATCACACACAACCCTCATGCTCAGCTTGCTTCTAAATTAAGAATCCTAGAACACATACACAATCTACAAACTGAAAACGACATTACACATACCATATGTATCGACATATCATATCACCTATCGGCCCAAAAACAACATTGTGTCAGTTGCACTGTTAGAACACATACGAAATGGAACTAGCGAGTCTAAATGGATTCAAAGAACTGCCACTCATATTAAAATGATGGGACTGCACGATGTATATACAGATGAAAGAGTACAGCACTTCCTTCCACCCTGGCAGATAGTACCTTTTGACATCCTGACCCCTGCTATGTTGACGCTAATGGCAAGGTTAAGACCCAGAACTATGTGGCAGACGCACTCGGCTTCCATGTGGCTGGTACCGATCTGCCCGTGGCACCTGATGCTCCCAAAGCTGCTGATCCAGGTCCTCTGCCCCAGCCCGTTCAAGACACCGCCGAAGTGGCAGCCGCTAAGACCGCTTTTAAAGCTGCTTACGACAAGGCCGCAGCCGCCGCCGCTGCGGCCCCTGACAGTCGCAAGAAGCGTTCAGTCGTGGCCGCCCCAGTTGTCTACTCTCCCAACGGCTTCTCCTACGGGTTCTCAGCTCCCTTGACTTATGCCAGCCCATCTATACTAGGCGCCCCTCTCACTTACTCGGCCGCCCTGCCAGCATATACCGGTGTTCCCGCCCTAGGCTACACTACAGCGGTCGCCGCCCCAGCTGCTACCCTTCGCGACGCTCAGCTTCTCCGTATCGTGCACAACCCTGGTCATGCTGTCTCCTACCGTGTTGACTAGATGTTGTAGAGTACGTAGCCCAGAGGCTGGTCGCTACCGTGTTGACTAGGTGTTGTAGATCACGTAGCTCAGAGGCTGGCTGCTTGGTACCTGTTGTACAGTTAACCTTTGTTAGTTGTGTTTTCGCAGGTAAAAACTAAATCAGGTATCAGTAACCGGTGAATTGCCTCTGGTCTGCTGTTAACAACCCATCCAGGCGTCACACAGTAGAGAGCGTATTCATGTTTCCACAAGTAAACATTATAAGCACTTTGTCAAAGACTTTAATAAAAGATTATTTTTACGCAATGATGTAATTATCCATTTTTAGAGTTTCCCAATGTGAAGCTTGTGTTCACATTAAATGGTAGAACAAATATTTAACAAGGGTAAGCCTTTATTGGACGACGTTCCGCTGTAGCGGTTATTTTCACAGGTAACATATGAGCATACAAAGAGAACTTAAAATTTCATATGTTTGCAAACACTGGAGGGGCTCTGTGCCAACTACAGTACTTATTAGCAGTGTTTACTTAATGCATGGGTAGTGTGTAGTTGCCTGGGTATCCCATGATGCTATACCATGCATCATGGTATAGCATCCCATGATGCTATCCCATGATGCTGCCATGAGAGAGCTGATGGCAGAGAAGATAATTACTCGACCTCTCGCTGGAAAGTCCAGGGATTTATACCCCATTTCGAATTATATTTATAATGTGCTAGGAGGGGTCCCCCTAGGCCTAGGTCCTAGACCAACTATTACCCTTTCTCATGATGCCTTGAAACAATTCACAACAGTTGCTTAGCTTCCCAGTACCTATTTTCTGCTGGGTAAATAGGTGTGAAGAACTGAATAAAGTGGGATAGAACCCCCACATTTTTCCTCAACTTAAATTTCATATTTTCCTCTGCTAACCACAAGTGAGTTAAGTCTCATTTTTTCAAGGAGAATTTACTTACATCATTTGTGTATGTGCACAAGTAAAGAATTACTGTTGGCATGAGCAGCATAACAGAGATAATATAAATCCACTGCCTCCCCAAAATTTAAAGGGGTAGGCAGTGATTTTAGGTTATTTTTCCATAAAATCTTGCATTCAGATCGATTGCGATAGCTAGAATTGTTAATAAATAAGTTTGTTTTGTTGGAGAAGAACGTATATTGTTAGGATTTCTTAAGGTCGCTATATATTAACCTGTAAGATACAACTAAGACAGCATTTGTTCGTCATAATGTTTACATCCACCAGATGACGTTACCAGTTATACTGTGCGCATCTTACGGTGTCCGAACTCGCGAGGCGAGACTTTACTTCTGAACTTTTGGTTTAAGAGAAATGTTCCCAAGTGCGTGGGGTAGAAGTTATCTGTAAAGGTTATTAAGAACAAATCAGCATCCATCACTAGTTCTGTTATTTTCCTAATTGTTATTATAACGTTACACATATTTTAAATTTTATTAGTGAACGAACGCGTAGTAGGAAAGTCAGCAAAAACTGTTTGTAAATACTGAGAATATTTTCCTCAAGTTGCCCTGTGACTCAAACTGATTACGTTTGTCGATATGTTTTAAGCACAAATGAGACAGAAAAACACAATCCACTATTAGCATACTTCCAAAAGAAACATGAAACATTTCTTCAAATTATGTGCCGTAATTTCATTGACAATATTAATATCGTTGATCAGTGTTTACAAGAGTCCACCAGCGAGGCGGGCAACAGGTGGGTCAGCACTCCCAGGCCACGCCAGCTGCCGCTCCCTCTTCACCATCACCCGGGCCCCAGACAACTACCTGTGGTTCCCAGAAATGTCTGAAGCTATCAGACGGGTGCGACATCTTATTCAAAAGAGGTCATCACCAATGGGAGCTACATCAGAGGATTACCGTCGTCTTGGGGAACTGCTGCCAGCTCTCTTAACCATTCAAGACAACAATAGCACTAATGGTCAAGGGGGAAACCAGACAAAGAGAGAACCATCAGCCACTCTTCGGTCAACTACCAGACTTGGTGCTACCGGCGGAGTGCTGCCGTATGTCCCTTGTACTATAGCACCCTTTGACGACCCTGCTACCGTCACCGCCTGTCTCAGGAAGAGACTGGCCAAGGGCGCTCTATGGATCGATTTCTTTGGTGACTCTAAACTCAGAGTGCTGTTTTATGAGTTTCTTCGACGAACGGACAGTGAATACCACTACAGGGTCAAACTTCAGGTATGTCGTAGGTTGTTAACCTTGGTTGTTGTGGGTGATGTTTGTGGTGAGAGAACAAGAGCCACGCATCCTCGGTTCTTGATAATATTCACGTTCACGAATCACATTCATTTGAACGTGATTCGTATACCACTAGAAATACAACAATCGTGTATTATAAGACTAAATAGACCATCTTTAATCACACATACTTTAAAAGTACATAATTAAACAATAAACTAGCAAGAATCTAACCAGCAATGTTAGGAGATTTCTCAACATTTTGTCGAGGTATGAATGTGGTGGTGAAGAGAAACTGGTGTAGTCTCTCAAATGTTTTATTAGATCATTGATTGATGAAGATTAAGATTACGCCACCCAAAAAAATTAGATCAGAGGGGAACGGCTAGATATATAATAAAATTTCTGGTGTGAAGTGGATATTTGTCACATCGCTGATGCCAGGAGGATAGTGTTGTAGAAGGCAGATGTTGTGGTGACATGTCCTACTGTAGAAGGCAGATGTTGGGGGCGACATGTCCTACTGTAGAAGGCAGGTGTTGTGGGCGACATGTCTTACTGTAGAAGGCAGGTGTTTGGGGCGACATGTCCTACTGTAGAAGGCAGGTGTTGTGGGCGACATGTCTTACTGTAGAAGGCAGGTGTTTGGGGCGACATGTCCTACTGTAGAAGACAGGTGTTGGGGGGGGGGCGACATGTCCTACTGTAGAGGGCAGGTGTGGTGGGAGACATGTCTTACTGTAGAAGGCAGGTGTTGGGCGACATGTCCTACTGTAGAAGGCAGGTGTTGGGGGGGGCGACATGTCCTACTGTAGAGGGCAGGTGTGGTGGGAGACATGTCTTACTGTAGAAGGCAGGTGTTGGGGAGCGACATGTCCTACTGTAGAGGGCAGGTGTGGTGGGCGACATTTCCTACTGTAGAAGGCAGGTGTTTGGGGGCGACATGTCCTACTGTAGAAGGCAGGTATTGGGGAGGGACATGTCCTACTGTAGAAGGCAGGTGTTGTGGGCAACATGTCCTACTGTAGAAGGCAGGTGTTGGGGAGCGACATGTCCTACTGTAGAGGGCAGGTGTGGTGGGCGACATTTCCTACTGTAGAAGGCAGGTGTTTGGGGCGCGAAATGTCCTACTGTAGGAGGCAGGTGATGGGGAGGGACATGTCCTACTGTAGAAGGCAGGTGTTTGGGGGCGACATGTCCTACTGTAGAAGGCAGGTGTTGGGGGCGACATGTCCAACTGTAGAAGGCAGGTGTTGGGGGCGACACATCCTACTGTAGAAGGCAGGTGTTGGGGGCGACATATCCTACTGTAGAAGGCAGGTGTTGGGGGCGACATGTCCAACTGTAGAAGGCAGATGACTTCTTCACATTTTCTGGTCCGGTTACTGTGTTGACCATACAAAATACATATTATTACAAAGTTATCACAATTTTTAATACAGCGGCTTTCAGGTCTTTGGGTATTTCTTAGTTATTCTAAATCTGAAGTAATTTCTTTAATTTGAATGGTTTTAATAATTGCAGTAGATGGTACAAAGTCATATTCTATGTTTTCTCTCCTGCAAGCCTCATTGACCAATCAGTCTACATAGTCATCCAAAGTTACCAACTTCATCATAGGATGGGATCCACACGAATTTTATACAAAAGGACTTATCATTGGCAGAAATTACATTTAATATATATTACAAGGTACTTCATACATTTACTGTAATAAGTTATTTAAAGATAGCAGAGCACTTTTAGAGTCACAAAATAACACTCCGCCCCGATTGAGCTCAAGGTACTCAGTGGCTAGATTCTCAGCGTGCTTGTGATGTGCTTTAGACTGTGTAGTGCTGCACAGTCGTCCAGTCTCTGCATACTAGTTGTTGTTGTTGTTGTTTTAGATTTAGGTACTCAGAACGAAATGTCCGTGTAGCAAGGGCTATAGTGAGCCCGTAAAGCAAGCATACTAGACATTTCATTTGCTTTATATACTGCACACGCACAACCTGTGCAATTTAGCACATGTGCTAAGTTGCACAGAACCATCAGTAAAAGCATACAATTCAGTTGGTTTGAGATCTTGAAGATGACTGCCAATAGCTTTCAGTGTTATGCTTCACAGTGTTATGCTTCATAGTTTCAGTATTATAGGTTTGTTTAAGCCAATGGGGTATGAAATGTATAGTGACCTACACATCATTCCAAGGGGGAATATAGTTAACAATTTTATCAGAATTAAGAAACACATTCAGTTGCAAAAGATTATTGGCATAACAGCTGAGCATACACTATAAACAACACTATAAGTTGTTTGTCGAGGATTTAAGGAACAGTCAGAGTTGGTTAGAATAGATCTAATTTAGAATTTAGTTTGAATAGTGCTGGGGGATCATTAATTTTCAAAATTTGGGCGCAAAAAATATTATTAAGTGGGACTATTCTCTAATAAATAGAGGATAGTCTTAGTTCTTTTCTCGTGTTAATAATTATGAGTTCTAGGACAACCCAGGATTCGCATGGCATCATTTTGTACTACATCAAGGCATTGTAATTGTTTAGGTGAAAAAATAACAAGGTGTAAAACGTATTAATCAACAACATATTGTATAAAGACAATATAAAAGTCACGAGAATATATTATGTTAATGCCAAATCCTTTGCCCACGAGAGTTTTGGGAGGTTTAAGGCGATCAACACGTGTTCTGCGAATGTTGCTGATAACATTTGTATCACTGACCTCGATTCCAAGATATTTCTAAGACTCGCAAGTCTCCACGGGCTCTCCATTAATAGTACAGTTAGAATGATGAAGAGAATGGGGAACAAGAACCCTTGTTTTATCATCAGAGATAATGAGACCACATTCTAATATTTTCTTGGAAAATGCATCAAGTAATGCTTGTAGTCTAGTTTTACTGTGTGTCATAATACAAATATCAACAGCAAAACTAATAACATAGGCACATCTTAATTCTTCTGGGCGTGAGGAACTCCTCTGACTTGGTGCCTGTACCGGGGACGTGCAAGGGACGTGCAAGGGACGTCTCTGGGTGTGTGGATCACGTCAGCCACGAGACTAGTTTTAATAATACGATCAATCCTTCCTAATTGTTATTAATTTTTCATTGTTCTTATTTTTAGAATTCAACAAAACGTTTTGAGGAGTTAAGACTAAATTTCGGCAATCTACATCATGACATGGAGGCTACAACAGACCTCGAACCGCGTCTGCGCATTACATTCAGGTAGATAAAAATAATTGTGGATGAATGTGATATTCAACCTCCAAGTGTTGATATTCAAATACATTCAATGGGATATCCAACTACATGTGCCCTCAACCAGACTCAGGGTAGACGTAGTCCCTGTTACTACTGCTACCACGACTATCACTGCTGCTTCTCCAGTAACTCTCGTCACAGTTTCAGACCGTTTATGGAAATGGTGCCATCGTTGGTGAGAGAGAGCGCTGAGCTCCGACAGCTGGGCAAGTGGGCCAGGGGAGAGGAGAGACCACCTCAACTCTTGCTCCTTGGTAAGATCTCAGACAGTAATATATATCTTAAACCCCAGTTCGTGTCCCACGATATTCTTAAGCAGTTTTCGGGTGAACACAACATGTTGCCTGCCACTGTTTCATTTATTGTTAACCCAGTACTGAGGAAACTCTGCCACAGCTAGTGTGACGGCACACTAATTATCGTGTGAAGGGCTGGATTAAGACCGGATCAGAAACCTTTAGAGGCCCTAGGAACTTAAAAGATTTTGGTGGCCCCAAACATATCTAATTCAAAATATAAACAATCGGAAAGCGTAAAATAAAATTATTTTTTCAAAATGAAACAAAACTTAGAGTAAGACGGAAAATAATGATTTTTTGTTTGTATATCACTATTTATATTTGGAAAGTGTTCTCTTACTTTTTCTAATTGCAAAAATCTTTGATCAGATCCTCAAAACTCATCTTACGTAACACATCTGATTCTATACCTAGTACAGATAAGGCATCCAGCCTGCCTTGTTACATTGTTGATTTCTTGGAAATTTTAATCTACTTCAACTGAGAAAATGAACGCTTAGCTGAGTAGTTTGTGAAGTTTAATATTACCAAATAAAATAAAACAAATGTCTTCATTTGAAAAGGCACACTCGGTATTGCCTTCTACAATTATTTTATTAAGTTCAGCATGACTGAATCTTGTTTTTACCTTTTTATTTCACTGAACTTATGACGCACATATGAGCGAAACAGCTGAAGCTCACATGAGACGTTGTTTATATCCTCTGGGATATAAACAGTCCATTTTTGACAACACTAAAAATAGCTTTCAAGTTCAGATGATGAAGTAACATGAAGTGGCACGTCTCTTAGAATGAAGATCTCTGCTATTTCTTTGTATCTCTCTCCTCTTCTTATCATCTCAGTTTTAAGTTTGTCAACAATTGTGAAAAAGGAGGTGATACGAATTTATCGCTGACATTCAGATCTGCTTCTGGCGAATCTCCATCATTGGGTACCTTCTTTCTGATACATTTGCGAGTTTGAGCTGTTATGTGAATTAGTGATCCACGATCACGGTAGTGTGGTTGACAATTTATATGACGTGGGTGTGGATTAATAATTCCTCTGGGCTTTAGTAGCAGTCAGGGAAAGTCGAAAATTCCAGCTGGGCAGCGGTTAGTTGCGTCTGAAATATGTGCATAATAAGACTGAATATTATAAATATATATATATATATATATATAATATTCATATATAATATATATATATATAATATATATATATATATACATGCGAACAAGCCTGAATGGTCCCCAGGACAATATGCAACTGAAAACTCACACCCCAGAAGTGACTCGAACCCATACTCCCAGGAGCAAACGCAACTGGTATGTACAAGACGCCTTAATCCACTTGACCATCACGACCGGACATAATGAGGTGATAGCCGAGGCTATTTGAACCACCCCACCGCCGGCACTCGGATAGTAATCTTGGGCATAGCATTTTACCAAATCAATATATATACATATATATATATATATACATATATATATATATATATATATATATATATATATATATATATATATATATATATATATATGAATGGTCCCCTTTCGGTTTCTCAACTGTTAATACAATAATTTTTTTTCTCCCGTTTGTTATATTATTTTTTCTGTTTCTATCAATATTATTATTATATATTATTGTTGAATAAATTCACAAGGGCCGTGATGAAGGTTCGAACCTACGTCCAGGATGATCCCAGACGCGCCTTAATCTACTGAGCCATGACTTGGTCAAAATCCCTTGTGGATTTATTCATATGATATATCTCGCTACTGTGATTTCTGTGTGTATATATATATTATTGTTGTTCTTACCATATTAGCAAACATTTGGAACTTCCATCAACTAAGCTGTATTTGGACGCTATTTCTCAATATTCTTTAGGCTACACCACGTGGATGATGCAGAGAATGTTTGTAGCCTATTCCCATGACGTCTACAGCTACATTATGCAGATGCACAGGGCTGTAGTGCCCCTTCTCCAGCAGGTAAGTAAACATGGGTCACCATGTTTTGGAAACATTTTTGTCACATAATTGATTGGCATAACGCAATAAACAGCTGTGTAAATTTGGAAAGAATATATATATATATATATATATATATATATATATTCTTACCATATTAGCAAACATTTGGAACTTCCATCAACTAAGCCGTATTTGGACGCTATTTCTCAATAATCTTTAGGCTTCACCACGTGGATGATGCAGAGAATGTTTGTAGCCTATTCCTATTCCCATATATATATATATATATATATATATATATATATATATATATATATATATATATATATATATATATATATATATATATATATATATATATATATATATATATATATATATATATATATATATATATATATATATATATATATATATATATATATATATATATATATATATATATATATATGATATATATATATATATATACAAATATATATATATACGTATATATATATATAATCGTATATATATATATAATCGTATATATATATATATATATATATATATATATATATATATATATATACGATTTATATATATATATATACGATTTGTATATATATATATATATATATATATATATATATATATATATATATATACAAATGATAGCAACGGCTCGCTCAGACATCTTTAGTACATCAAAATATTTAATGGATTGTTCCTCAGATCCATATTATCTATGGGGTCGTCTATGGGCCGTGTGCAATGTCCTGTTATGGATTAAATTCTGCAGTGCATGTGCAATGTGTTTAAGAAATATTTCGGTTCTTGCACGGCTCCATGTAATTTAGTACCTAAACTGGCAAGCTCACGCATTGTATTATCCAATAATATTTCTTTATTATAGCATGTATTACAATGAACATTGGCAATTTAACACCTAATGTATCTAGAAGAAAGTATTATCAAGATATCAGAGCACTAGGCACAGTGACAAGTAGTCACGTAACTTACTAGGTACTTACTGCCATTGGTAATCTTAACAAGTTTCAAAAGAATTCTTGGCCATCAAATACTAGAGATTAAAAGAGACAATTGAAACAGATAACACAGGATGTACGACATTCATTGCGTAAAAAAGTGTTGGAATAATATAACACTCTTTCAGATTTCTCAGAAGACCCGCATCTTGGTGATCGCTGAGTCCCGTTACCGAGAACATGCGGTCAGCAACCTCTTGAAAAACTACAGGTTTCTCTATGGAGATGCCTCCATAGACTGGAGCGCGATGGTGTTCCTGTATTACTTGCAGCAGTATAAGCAGCAGCAGTCTCCTCATACACCGTCTAGGGCTTCTACTGCTCACACAACACCAGTTACTTGGTCACAAGATGAAAACCTACACCATGATGATCCAACTCCCAAAGCACATAGTCAGACCATCCTGGACCATATGGTGCCCAGAGAGGCCGATGATGGAGTGTGGTGGTGGGACACTGGCCTGCCCCTCAATATGGCTGCGATCGGTGAGTGTGATGAACTCTACCATCGTGGCCTGGCGTCCATTCCCGCCTATAATGGAGCACACCTGAAGTGTTACGACACTCATCACGCGGGCACAGCTACCCTCAGAGACATGGTGACCATGTTGTTCAATCTCATGTGTAATTCGCTCTCGGGTGCACACAACACCTTCTGTTGCTCATGAGGAGTTGAGCAAAATAAAATATAAAGATATAATTGGGTTCCTTATGAACAGCAACAAGAAAACGGCCTCCTTTTAACACAGCATTCAACTTCATATTTGGTCCGAGTGATGGTGAAGCACATGTCCAAATTTAAACAGGTCAATTACACACAAAATGAGCATGGACCATTCTAACTTGGGAATCCAACCACATCAGTTGATTTTTGGAGGCATGGATCTGACCAGAATCCTTAAGCAATACTAATTGTTACGATCCCTTTCAGTAAATAACAGACATAACATAGAATAAAATTAATCATAAATTCTTCAGTTCCTTCGTTGGCTAAATTTCCTTCCGTTAAACTTGAAATTTTTCCTGTAGACGAGTCCAGGTTGACAGGTTTGAGGAACACCCTCTAGTGCGTCTTGTTATGACAGTCAGCATTGGCCAGATGGGGATGAAGGTGTATGAATACAAAGGGAAATTCATACGTCAGGAAGTGACATGTCTGAGAGATGACAGCCCACACGGCCAGGCTCAGTACACCCCAAGATGACGCATGTGGACACTCTAGTTCTGGTGTGGTCGCTGTTTCAAACGGTTGTAAGGATTGTCCTCTGTTTTGGGGTTAATTAATGTACTATGTGGCGGGACACAGGATACAAGTGGCAATTCAACTTAACATTCTATACACCAATTATGTGTCACGTAACTATGCAGTAAAATTGTTGGTGGTAAAAATATTTTATTTAATCATTGATGCTGTGTAATGTGGAACAGACGAGGTCTTTGAAGTATAATCACTGAGCTCGCACACAACAGTAATAATAATCTAAGATGAGAGTAGCGGGTATATTGACTGTAATAAGATTGTAATCATCTCAGCTCATAGTAAAGCAAAAACCACATGTAAGGTTATCTTGAGATTATTTTAGGGCTTAGCGTCCCCACGGCCCCAGTTCATGTAGGTTATCTTGAGATGATTTCGGGGCTTTTTAAGTGTCCCCGCGGCCCGGTCCTCGACCAGGCCTCTACCTCCAGGAAGCAGCCCGTGACAGCTGACTAACACCCAGGTACCTATTTTACTGCTAGGTAACAGGGGCATAGGGTGAAAGAAACTTTGCCCATTGTTTCTCGCCGGCGCCTGGGACCGAACCCAGGACCACAGGATCACAATTCCAGTGTGCTGTCCGCTCAGCCGACCGGCTCCAATAAGCTCCATGCTCCTCCATGTAGTCTATAATTATTCCATACTGAAAGTACTGTATGTGTAGGTGTGTGTGTGACAGTGTGAGCGGCACTGCTGCAGGGCAGTGAGAGTGCGAGCCGACGCTTGATCACCATCGCTTAATCACTCAGATTTGTTAATTAATTATAGAATCTTTAACGATTTTGGAGCAGACGGGGGAACTATCGCTTAGTTCCGTCACCTGAGACTACTGTCTTGGACCTTTCCGTCACCTGAGACTACTGTCTTGAACCTTCCGTCACCTGAGACTACTGTCTTGAACCTTCCGTCACCTGAGACTACTGTCTTGGATCTTCCGTCACCTGAGACTACTGTCTTGAACCCTTCCGTCACCAGAGCTCTTAAAAGTAGCTAGTTTGAAACAAATGAACTAAACAAATATGATTAATTAAGCGATGGTAATAACCCATTGTCAATAATTAATTAGTGTATATTTTGTCCTATTCCATAGATTATATATTTCATCGCTAAATGTAACTAAAGATGATTAGCTCAATAAAATTCAATAAAATATTTATATTGAATAATTACATTTAGAATATCATTATAGCGTAATTTTAAACAATAAATATAAGTTATTAGATGAAAGGAAGAAACACAGAGGCAAGAGGTTTGAGTTTTGAAACAAGTGGGACTAATTTTTTCAGGGATTCAAATTCAAATTCATATAAGTTTATTGAGGTATAACTACACACAAAGGGATGAGTTAGTTCAAGCTATTCTCACCCCGTTCAGTGCAACGTGTCCATATATATACATATATAACTGAAAACTCTACACCCCAGAAGGATTTGAACCCAGACAGCCAGGAGCACTATAATGAAGTATAATCGCCCTGTAATGAAGTAAGGGTGAAGAGGTAGAACAGCTTATTGATAGAGCTCGGGTTATCTTGAGATGATTGCGGGGCTTAGGGTCCCCGAGCCCGGTCCTCGACCAGGCCTTCTTTTTGTTACACCCCGCCCCCCCCTTCCCCAGGAAGCAGCCCGTAGCAGCTGTCTAACTCCAGGTGCCTATTTACTGCTAGATAACATTAGCATCAGTGTGAAAAAAACTTTTTGCCCATTTGTCTCCGCCTCTACCGGGGATCGAACCAGGATCTTCAGGACAACGAATCCGAAGCGCTGACCACTCAGCTGTCAGGCGCCCAATTCCCCCAGATTCATGGGGGAATTGTGTAAAAACCTGGTTTGTGTTTCGGAGAGACTGCAGGATCAGTGGTAGGTCAAGTTGATTTCCCGGTTGCCATTCTTTTAACATGTCGTAGATAAGTCGATTAAGGCGTGTATGGGATCCTCTCGGACGTAGGCTCGAACCCTCGTCACGGCCCCTGTGTATTTGTTCAGCACTATGCACCTTGGCGTACTTGGTGTGGGGAAACTCCAGGCAGCTAATCTCTTTTTTTAAATTGATTTTAATAAGATAAAGTTATGTCTGATTTATTTTTCTTAGTAAGTAAGAATTAATGGAGTGAACTGTATATACTTGTAAACTGCCTGTAATTATCTTACTCACTAATGGGAGGGACAATTGGTAGCCTAAACCACTTTAATATGGCTCCTTCTTAAACTACCAATTGTTTACCTTTTATTATTATAATATACCACATGTGGTGGTCTAATCTACTAGTAATAATTACTAATTATGACTACTAATACTGTTAAAAAATGGCTTAGCTGTGCCAGTAGTGTGGGCCTGGTAAGGCGTGTAGGTGTAACCTCCAGATTGGGTGTGGCTCTGTGCCTCCTTGTGCTACTACGCTGGTGGGAAGAACAAAGCTTGGCAAACAAATAGTTAATGTGTATGAACCAACTGTCTGCTTAGATTCTTGCTGCTCCTCTCACAATTTACCTGTATGGAATGCAAGGAATTAATCAAAGTTCCCTAAACATATCAATTACAGGTATGGCATGAAATAGGTGGGTGTAATCTGGGGTACACGTACATTGTGTTTTGTTTTAGTCCTGTATTATGACCGACTTATTTATAAATGAAAAAAAGTGCACACTGTAATTTCAAATACAATACTTGATAAGCCGGATACTGTCGTTGTTGTGATGTTGATAGGCTGTGTTGCTGGTTGTTGACAGGTAATTGGGGTGTCTAGTTATTTCACCAGTCCTGGAGCCAAGTACAGCATATATAGCTGCTGCTTTGTTATCATTGTGGAGCGGGAGCCTTGCTCTCAGTGGAGCCAACGCCCTGTTCCTGGTTCCTCTCTCATAGTAATTTTACATTAACAAGGGACCTAGCTACAATTTGATGTAAATAATTATATTCAGTCTTATTGATTACTTTTTTGTTAATTCTAGATACTAAACTAGTCTATTAACAATGTTTCATAATGTAAATATACGATGACATCCATGACGTCACGGAGTCCATGACGTCACGGAGTCTCCCATTTTCCATCCTGAAGGGATTACAGACTAAGGGAGACTGTGTTATATGTGAGTGTGTGTGTGTGTGTGTCGGTTTCCCGACACTTGGTACTTTAACCGTTCGACCACCGTGACTGTACAAAAGTCATTGGTAGCCGAAACTATATCATCAACGACCCGACAGCCGTTGGTGATTGATTGATTGATAAAGATTAAGCCACCCAAGAGGTGGCACGGGCATGAATAGCCCGTAAGTGGTAAAAAAAAAAATTCAGTATTCTGAGGTTGCATTTAATCATCAAGCTGTTATCGCGGGGGCGGATACTGCTTCACAGTCTTTATGAGGGTGTCCAACTGCTGGACACCTTTGTTGACCAGGAGAGTGGCTGTGTTGATGGCTTCAGTGTGGCCACTGCAAGATTCAGAAACTCTTCAAAAGTTGTAGCACTTGGTGGTAAGCTTGGACATATATATTTCATCGAATCACCTCACTTTGTGGGGCCACGTGAGCAACACAAATCGTATTTGTGTTGCTCACTTGGCCCCACAATTTGTAATTAACAGATTGGCTTTCTGTAACCATCCATTAGGCTCATATATTAACACGTTGTACTGAATGGGGTGAGAATAGCTTGAGCTACCTCATCCCTTTGTGTGTATTTTACCTCAATAAACTTATTTCAATTTCAATTTCAATCCATTAGGCCCTTTCCTGGCGTGCTAGAACGCAACCATCCATGAAGACCTTTCCTGACATTTTGGAAACAACAAACACAATGCCATATAACTGCACAGTGCAACAAATAAATAGATGCCATATATATCTATGGCACAAGGATATATCTGAATTGTATACATTTTCAGCTCATGTTTCACCTCTAAGATATTGGACTGTTTCGTCATGAATAATGCATTTAAAGTAATTATGCATTCCTTCAACACTGCGCAAAAATATTCTTAAATAATGTTTACCAATGTCTTCTTAGATTCTCTGAGTTCAGTGTACAGGTCCGCTAATATCATATGATATTATATTTTGTTTCGAATTATCGTAACAGATTTCCTGTGTTTTGTGGATGGGAGCGTTCAGATTGTTTGTCCGTTATCATCATACATTCTTATATTATATTTTGTCATTAAATTGTAAGTGAAAATACTTAAAAAACAAACGCATACTTTAGGTCAAATTTGCTAAACGTCAATGCGGAAGATTTCGAAAAACATGAAAATCCTTGATCGAGACCTTACCGAACTTTTTGCCATATATTTTTAATTTTTAGACGTTTGTTTAATTACTGTTTATGTCTAATGCTGGAGCTAATACCCCATGAACAATGAACAACAATAATGTTCGTGCATATTTAACTTTTTTCATTTGCAACTATAACTCGTTTATGCTATTTTTTTTTTACATGTTCGAATATTGGACAAAAATTTGCTTGACCTAATAACTCTTATTAGTACTGTATATTAAATAGCTTATTCAAAATTAACAAATCTACAACTTATACAGTATTTCGTATCATATGACTGATTCATTTTTATTTATTATTACAATCCGAAGTAAGAAAGACCATTTATAAGTCAGCAGGACTCATTTACATGCACGAGCGTGTACACCAAATGGTTAAATGTGCACAATATGCATAGCATGGCATGAAGCAACGTGTCTTGCAGGAATAACAGTAATATATGCTGCACGTGGAGGCTGTGGCGACGTCCTTGTTGGTAGTGGCGGGCTAGTATATAAGGGGCGCCAGCAGCCACTCTGGCAGGCAGCTCCTCATTGTGGATCAACATGAACGCTCTGGTAAGGCTTCCACTACTTACTATCAGTTTTTGCTGAACTCTTTACTCAGCCCCTGTGATACTTATGTAAGAACATTAAGGAGAATGTTATATTTTTCCCTCTCGCCAGACTGTGTACGCCTTCGCGGCTCTTGCGGCTTGCTGCGGTGCCCAGCTGTTTGGATATCCAGGAGCATACAGCCCCTACTTAGGCAACTTTGGAGTCTCTCCGAATAGCCTATTCGGTGCTCCAGTCCCAGTGTCCTCACCATCTTTCAGTCCTCTAGTATACAACGCAGGAAGCTTTGCTCCCGTCCAGTCCCAGTACCACGCCCAGGACGAACTGGGCCAGTATTCCTTCGGTTACTCCGGTGGTCCTTCGTCCAAAGCTGAGACTCGCGACGCCTTTGGCATCGTCCGCGGGTCATACAACTATGTTGACGCTAATGGCAAGGTTCAGACCCAGAACTATGTGGCAGATGCACTCGGCTTCCATGTGGCTGGTACCGACCTGCCCGTGGCACCTGATGCTCCCAAAGCTGCTGATCCAGGTCCCCTGCCCCAGCCCGTACAGGACACCGCCGAAGTGGCAGCAGCTAAGACCGCTTTTAAAGCTGCTTACGACAAGGCCGCAGCCGCCGCCGCTGCGGCCCCTGACAGTCGCAAGAAGCGTTCAGTCGTGGCCGCCCCAGTTGTCTACTCTCCCAACGGCTTCTCCTACGGGTTCTCAGCTCCCTTGACTTATGCCAGCCCATCTATACTAGGCGCCCCTCTCACTTACTCGGCCGCCCTGCCAGCATATACCGGTGTTCCCGCCCTAGGCTACACTACAGCGGTCGCCGCCCCAGCTGCTACCCTTCGCGACGCTCAGCTTCTCCGTATCGTGCACAACCCTGGTCATGCTGTCTCCTACCGTGTTGACTAGATGTTGTAGAGTACGTAGCCCAGAGGCTGGTCGCTACCGTGTTGACTAAGTGTTGTAGATCACGTAGCTCAGAGGCTGGCTGCTTGGTACCTGTTGTACAGTTAACCATTGTTACTTGTGTTTTCGCAGGTAAAAACTAAATCAGGTATCAGTAACCGGTGAATTGCCTCTGGTCTGCTGTTGACAACCCATCCAGGCGTCACGCAGTAGAGAGCGTATTCATGTTTCCACAATTAAACATTATAAGCACTTTGTCAAATACTTTAATAAAAGATTATTTTTACGCAATGATGTTATTATCCATTTTCAGAGTTTCCCAATGTAAAGTTTGTGTTCACATTCCATGGTAGAACAGATATTTAACAAGGGTAAGCTTTTGTTGGACGACGTTCCGCTGTAGCGACTATTTTCACAGGTAACATATGAGCATACAAACAGAACTTTAAATTTCATATGTTTGCAAACATGGGAATGGCTCTGTGCCAACACAGTACTTATTAGCAGTGTTTACTTAGTTGCCTGGGTACCCCATGCTGCTACACTGTTCATGAGAGAGCTCATAGCAGAGTAGATAATTACCTCTCGCTGGAAAGTCCAGGGATTTAAATCCCTTTTCGAATTATATTTATAATGTGCTAGGAGGGGTCCCCCTAGGCCTAGGTCCTAGACCAACTACTAACCTTTCTCATGATGCCTTGAAACAACCCACAACAGTTGCTTAGCCACCCAGTACCTATTTACTGCTGGGTAAATAGGTGTGAAGAACTGAATAATGCGGAATAGAACCCCTATATTTTACCTTAACTTAATATTCATATTTTCCTCTGCCAACCACAATTGAGTTAAGTCTCACTTTTTTTCAAGGAGAATTTACTTACATCATTTGTGTATGTGCACAAGTAAAGAGTTGTTGTTGGCATGAGCAGCATAATAGAGATAATATAAATCCACTGCCTCCCAGAGATTTAAAGGGGTAGGCAGTGATTTTAGGTTCTTTTCCAAGAAAATCTTGCATTCAGATCGCCTGCGATTGCTAGAATTGTTAATACATAAGTTTATTTTGGAGAAGAACGTATATTGTTAGGATTTCTTAAGGTCGCTATATATTAACCTGTAAGATACAACTAAGACAGCATTTGTTCTCATAATGTTTACATCCACCAGATGACGTTACCAGTTATACTGTGCGCATCTTACGGAGTCCGAACTCGCGAGGCGCGACTTTACTTCTGAACTTTTGGTTTAAGAGAAATGTTCCCAAGTGCGTGGGGTAGAACTTATCTGTAGAGGTTATTAAAAACAAATCAGCATCCATCACTAGTTCTGTTGTTTTCCCTAATTGTTATTATAACGTTACACATATTTTTAATTTTACTGGTGAACGAACGCGTAGTAGGAAAGTCAGCAAAAACTGTTTGTAAATGCTGAGAATATTTTCCTCAAGTTGCCCTGTGACTCAAACTGATTACGTTTGTCGATATGTTTTAAGCACAAATGAGACAGAAAAACACAATCCACTATTGGCATACTTCCAAAAGAAACATGAAACATTTCTTCAAATTATGTGCAGTAATTTCATTGACAACATTAATATCGTTGATTAGTGTTTACAAGAGTCTACCTGCGAGGCGGGCAGCAGGTGGGTCAGCACTCCCAGGTCAAGCCAGCTGCCGCTCCCTCTTCACCATCACTCGGGCCCCAGACAACTACCTTTGGTTCCCGGAAATGTCTGAAGCTATCAGAAGGGTGCGACATCTTATTCAGAAGAGGTCATCACCAATGGGAGCAACATCAGAGGATTACCGTCGTCTTGGGGAACTGCTGCCAGCTCTCTTAACCATTCAAGACAACAATAGCACTAATGGTCAAGGGGGAAACCAGACAAAGAGAGAACCATCAGCCACTCTTCGGTCAACTACCAGACTTGGTGCTACCGGCGGAGTGCTGCCGTATGTCCCTTGTACTATAGCACCCTTTGACGACCCGGCCACCGTCACCGCTTGTCTCAGGAAGAGACTGGCCAAGGACGCTCTATGGATCGATTTCTTTGGTGACTCTAAACTCAGAGTGCTGTTTTATGAGTTTCTTCGACGAACGGACAGTGAATACCACTACATGGTCAAACTTCAGGTATGTCGTAGGTTGCTAACCTTGGTTGTTGTGGGTGATGTTTGTGGTGAGAGAACAAGAGCCACGCATCCTCGGTTCTTGATAATATTCACGTTCACGAATCACGATTCAATTGAACGTGATTCGTATACCATTAAAAATATAACACTCGTGTATAATAAGACTAAATAGACCATTAATACTTTAAAAGTACATAATTAAATAATAAACTAGCAAGAATCTGGCCAGCAATGTTCGGAGATTTTTCAACATTTTGTCGAGGTATGAATGTGGTGGTGAAGAGAAACTGGTGTAGTCTCTCAAATGTTTCATTAGATCAGAGGGGAATGGTTAGATATATAATAAAATTTCTGGTGTGAAGTGGATATTTGTGCACATCGTTGATGCCAGGAGGATGGTGTTGTAGAAGGCAGATGTTGTGGGTGACATGTCCTACTGTAGAAGGCAGGTGTTGGGGGCGACATGTCCTACTGTAGAAGGTAGATGTTGGGGGCGACATGTCCTACTGTAGAAGGCAGGTGTTGTGGGCGACATGTCTTACTGTAGAAGGCAGGTGTTGGGGGCGACATGTCCTACTGTAGAAGACAGGTGTTGGGGGGGGGCGACATATCCTACTGTAGAGGGCAGGTGTTGTGGGCGACATGTCTTACTGTAGAAGGCAGGTGTTGGGGGCGACATGTTCTACTGTAGAAGACAGGTGTTGGGGGGGCGACATATCCTACTGTAGAGGGCAGGTGTGGTGGGCGACATGTCCTACTGTAGAAGGCAGGTGTTGGGGGGGGCGACATGTCCTACTGTAGGGGGCAGGTGTGGTGGGCGACATGTCTTACTGTAGAAGGCAGGTGTTGGGCGACATGTCCTACTGTAGAAGGCAGGTGTTGTGGGCGACATGTCTTACTGTAGAAGGCAAGTGTTGGGCGACATGTCCTACTGTAGAAGGCAGGTGTTGTGAGCGACATGTCTTACTGTAGAAGGCAGGTGTTGGGCGACATGTCCTACTGTAGAAGGCAGGTGTTGGGCGACATGTCTTACTATAGAAGGCAGGTGTTGGGCGATATGTCCTACTGTAGAAGACAGGTGTTGTGGGCGACATGTCCTACTGTAGAAGGCAGGTGTTGGGCGACATATCTTACTATAGAAGGCAGGTGTTGGGCGATATGTCCTACTGTAGAAGGCAGGTGTTGTGGGCGACATGTCCTACTGTAGAAGGCAGGTGTTGTGAGCGACATGTCTTACTGTAGAAGGCAGGTGTTGGGCGACATGTCCTACTGTAGAAGGCAGGTGTTGGGCGACATGTCTTACTATAGAAGGCAGGTGTTGGGCGATATGTCCTACTGTAGAAGACAGGTGTTGTGGGCGACATGTCCTACTGTAGAAGGCAGGTGTTGGGCGACATATCTTACTATAGAAGGCAGGTGTTGGGCGATATGTCCTACTGTAGAAGGCAGGTGTTGTGGGCGACATGTCCTACTGTAGAAGGCAGGTGTTGGGCGACATGTCTTACTATAGAAGGCAGGTGTTGCTAGATATGTCCTACTGTAGAAGACAGGTGTTGTGGGCGACATGTCCTACTGTAGAAGGCAGGTGTTTGGGGGCGACATGTCCTACTGTAGAAGGCTGGTGTTGGGGAGGGACATGTCCTACTGTAGAAGGCAGGTGTTGGGGCGACATGTCCTACTGTAGAAGGCAGGTGTTGTGGGCGACATGTCTTACTGTAGAAGGCAGGTGTTGGGGCGGCATGTCCTACTGTAGAAGACAGGTGTTGGGGGGCGACATATCCTACTGTAGAGGGCAGGTGTTGTGGGCGACATGTCTTACTGTAGAAGGCAGGTGTTGGGGGGGCGACATGTTCTACTGTAGGGGGGAGGTGTGGTGGGCGACATGTCTTACTGTAGAAGGCAGGTGTTTGGGGGCGACATGTCCTACTGTAGAAGGCAGGTGTTGTGGGCGACATGTCCTAATGTAGAAGGCAGGTGTTGGGCGACATGTCTTACTATAGAAGGCAGGTGTTGGGCGATATGTCCTACTGTAGAAGACAGGTGTTGTGGGCGACATGTCTTACTGTAGAAGGCAGGTGTTTGGGGCGACATGTCCTACTGTAGAAGACAGGTGTTGGGGGAGTAACATGTCCTACTGTACTCACCTAATTGTGCTTGCGGGGGTTGAGCTTTGGCTCTTTGGTCAAAGGGGGGGAGGGGGAGGGGAGAGGGGACGTGTGGTGGGCGACATGTCCTACTGTAGAAGGCAGGTGTTTGAGGGCGACATGTCCTACTGTAGAAGGTTGGTGTTGGGGAGGGACATGTCCTACTGTAGAAGGCAGGTGTGGTGGGCGACATGTCCTACAGTGGAAGGAAGGTGTTTGGGGCGCGACATGTCCTACTGTAGAAGGCAGGTGTTGGGGAGGGACATGTCCTACTGTAGAAGGCAGGTGTTGGGGGCGACATGTTCTACTGTAGAAGGCAGGTGTTTGGGGGCGATATGTCCTACTGTAGAAGGCAGGTGTTTGGGGGCGATATGTCCTACTGTAGAAGGCAGGTGTTGGGGGCGACATGTCCTATTGTAGAAGGCAGGTGTTGGGGAGGGACATGTCCTACTGTAGAAGGCAGGTGTTGGGGGCGACATGTTCTACTGTAGAAGGCAGGTGTTTGGGGGCGACATGTCCTACTGTAGAAGGCAGGTGTTTGGGGGCGACATGTCCTACTGTAGAAGGCTTGTGTTGGGGAGGGACATGTCCTACTGTAGAAGGCAGGTGTTGGGGGCGACATGTTCTACTGTAGAAGGCAGGTGTTTGGCGGCGATATGTCCTTCTGTAGAAGGCAGGTGTTTGGGGGCGATATGTCCTACTGTAGAAGGCAGGTGTTGGGGGCGACATGTCCTATTGTAGAAGGCAGGTGTTGGGGGCGACATGTCCAACTGTAGAAGACAGATGACTTCTTCACATTGTCTGGTCCGGGCACTGTGTTGACCATACAAAATTCATATTAATACAAAGTTATCACAACTTTTAATACAGCGGCTTTCAGGTCTTTGGGCATTTCTTAGTTATTCTAAATCTGAAGTAATCTCTTTAATTTGAATGTTTTTAATAATTGCAGTAGATGGTACAAAGTCATATTCTATGTTTTCTCTCCTGCAAGCCTCATTGACCAATCAGTCTACATAGTCATCCAAAGTTACCAACTTCATCATAGGATGGGATCCACACGAATTTTATACAAAAGTTATTATCATTGGCAGAAATCACATTTAATATATATTACAAGGTACTTCATACATTAACTGTGATAAGTTCTTTAAAGACAGCAGAGCACTTTTAGAGTCACAAAATATCACTCCGCCCCCATTGAGCTCAAGGTACTCAGTGGCTAGATTCTCAGCGTGCTTGTGATGTGCTTGTGGTGTGCTTGTGGCGTTCTTGTGGTGTGCTTGTGGTGTGCTTGTGGTGTGCTTGTGGTGTGCTTGTGGCGTTCTTGTGGTGTGCTTGTGGTGTGCTTGTGGTGTGCTTGTGGTGTGCTTGTGGTGTGCTTGTGGTGTGCTTGTGGCGTTCTTGTGATGTGCTTGTGGCGTGCTTGAGGTGTGCTTCAGTCTGTGTCGTGCTGCTCAGTCGTCCAGTCTCTGCGTACTAGTTGTTGTTGTTGTTGTTTTAGATTTAGGTACTGAGAACGAAATGTCCGTGTAGCACGGGCTATAGTGAGCCCGTAAAGCAAGCATACTAGACATTTCATTTGCTTTATATACTGCACACGCACAACCTTCTCTACATGTGCTAAGTTGCACAGAACCATCAGTAGAAGCATACAATTCAGTTGGTTTGAGATCTTGAAGATAACTGCCAATAGCTTTCAGTGTTATGCTTCACAGTCTTATAGGTTTGCTTTAAGCTAATGGGTGTGAAATGTATAGTGACCTACACATTATTCCAAGGGGGAATATAGTTAACAATTTTTTCAGGATTAAGAAACACATTCAGTTGCAAAAGATTATTGACATAACAGCTGAGCATACACTATAAACAACACTATAAGTTGTTTGTCGAGGATTTAATGAACAGTCAGAGTTGTTTAGAATAGATCTAATTTAGAATTTAGTTTGAATAGTGCTGGGGGATCATTAATTTTCAAAATTTGGGCATAAAAAATATTATTAAGTAGAACTATTCTATAAATAGAGGATAGTCTTAGTTCTTTTCTCGTATTAATATTTAGGAGTTCTAGGACAACCCAGGATGATGCGCACGGCATCATTTTGTACTACATCAAGGCATTGTAATTGTTTAGGGGAAAAATTAACAAAGTGTAAAACATAATAATCAACAACATATTGTATAAAGACAATATAAAAGCCACGAGAATATATTATGTTAATGCCAAATCCTTTGCCCACGAGAGTTTTGGGAGGTTTAAGGCGATCAACAAGTGTTCTGCGAATGTTGCTGATAACATTTGTATCACTGATCTCGATTGCAAGATATTTATAAGACTCGCAAGCCTCCACGGGCACTCCATTAATAGTACAGTAATAATGATGAAGAGAATGGGGAACAAGAACCCTTGTTTTATCATCAGAGATAATGAGACCACATTGTAATATTTTCTTGGAAAATGCATCAAGTAATGCTTGTAGTCTAGTTTTACTGTGTGTCATAATACAAATATCATCAGCAAAACTAATAACATAGGCACATCTTAATTCTTCTGGGCGTGAGGAACTCTGACTTGGTGCCTGTACCTGGGACGTGCAAGGGACGTGTCTGGGTGTGTGGATCACGTCAGCCACGAGACTACAGTTTTAATAATACGATCAATCCTTCCTAATTGTTATTAATTTTTTATTGTTCTTATTTTTAGAATTCAACAAAACGTTTTGAGGAGTTAAGACTAAATTTCGGCAATCTACATCATGACATGGAGGCTACAACAGACCTCGAGCCGCGTCTGCGCATTACATTCAGGTAGATAAAAATAATTGTGGATGAATTTCATATTCAACCTAAAAGTGTTGATACTCAAATACATTCAATGGGATATCCAACTACATGTGCCCTCAACCAGACTCAGGGTAGACGTAGTCCCTGTTACTACTGCTACCACGACTATCACTGCTGCTCCTCTAGTAACTCTCGTCACAGTTTCAGACCGTTTATGGAAATGGTGCCATCGTTGGTGAGAGAGAGCGCTGAGCTCCGACAGCTGGGCAAGTGGGCCAGGGGAGAGGAGAGACCACCTCAACTCTTGCTCCTTGGTAAGATCTCAGACAGTAATATATATCTTAAACCCCAGTTCGTGTCCCACGATATTCTTAAGCAGTTTTCGGGTGAACACAACATGTTGCCTGCCACTGTTTCATTTATTGTTAACCCAGTACTGAGGAAACTCTGCCACAGCTAGTGTGACGGCATACTAATTATCGTGTGAAGGGCTGGATTAAGACCGGATCAGAAACCTTTAGAGGCCCTAAGAACATAAAAGATTTTGGTGGCCCCAAACATATCTGATTCAAAATATAAACAATCGGAAAGCGTAAAATAATTATTTTTTTCAAAAAACAACAAAACTTAGAGTAAGATGGAAAATAATGTTTTTTGTATATCACTATTTATATTTGGAAAGTGTTCTCTTACTTTTTCTAATTGCAAAAATCTTTGATCAGATCCTCAAAACTCATCTTACGTAACACATCTGATTCTATACTTAGTACAGATAAGGCATCCAGCTTGCCTTGTTACATTGTGGATTTCTTGGAAATTTTAATCTACTTCAACTGAGAAAATGAACGCTTAGCTGAGTAATTTGTGAAGTTTAATGTTAACAAATATAATAAAACAAATGTCTACATTTGAAAAGGCACATTTAATATTGCCTTCTACAATTATTTTATAAAGTTCAGCATGACTGAATCTTGTTTTTACCTTTTTATTTCACTGAATTTATGACGCACATATGAGCGAAACATCTGAAGCTCACATGAGACGTTGTTTATATCCTCTGGGAAAGCATCAGTCCACTTTTGACAACACTAAAAATAGCTTTCAAGTTCAGATGATGAAGTAACATGATGTGGCACGTCTCTTAGAAATGAAGATCTCTGCTATTTCTTTGTATATCTCTCGTCTTCTTATCATCTCAGTTTTAAGTTTGTCAACAATTGTGAAAAAGGAGGTGATACGAAAGTTATCTCTAACATTCAGATCTGCTTCTGGCGAATCTCCATCATTGGGTACCTTCTTTCTGATACATTTGCGAGATTGAGCTGTTATGTGAATTAGTGATCCACGATCACGGTAGTGTGGTTGACAATTTATATGACGTGGGTGTGGATCAATAATTCCTCTGGGCTTTAGTAGCAGTCAGGGAAAGTCGAAAATTCCAGCTGGGCAGCGGTTAGTTGCGTCTGAAATATGTGCATAATAAGACTGCTCACAGCAGCAAGGTGGATAGAACTTTTGTCTTCCATTTGTAGGGTCGGTTGTTCAAGTCTCCTAGTGCCCAGGTGAATGAAATGTTTATATCTACAGTAGTGTGGTTATATATATATATAAATATATATATATATATATATATATTGGTGTATACTGGCAGCAGGTTTTCTTTCAAACATGTTTCATTGAATATGACCGCATATTCTGTATTTATTATTTTCATGCTAATGCTGATGCTAAGAAAATAGTTAGAGGGATAGAAGCCCTAAACCAGAAAATAATAAATACAGAATATGCGGTCATATTCAATGAAATATATATATATATATATATATATATATATATATATATATATATATATATATATATATATATATATATATATATATATATATATATTTGTATCAACCCATGTATATCTTGTAACCATCAAACACATAATAAAGCACAAAAAATAAAAAAGGAAGGGGGTGGTAGGAGAAAAGCACACAGAAACTGTATTGGAGGGGATCTAAACATTCCCTCTAATGCGTTATGCGTGGTTTCCTATGAGGCTATGGGTCCCCCTTCTTCCAGCTAGAGGTGGTACTGTGTTTATTTATATATATATATATATATATATATATATATATATATATATATATATATATATATATATATATATATATATATATATATGAATGAAAACTCACACCCCAGAAGTGACTCGAACCCATACTCCCATGTATATAAGCGCCCTTATCATCCGCTTAATCAAGCGGATTAAGGCGCCCTGTAGTTACCAGTTGCGTTGCTTCTGGGAGTATGGGTTCGAGTCACTTCTGGGGTGTGAGTTTTCATTCGCATATAGTCCTGGGGACCATTCAGGCTTGTTCGCATTTGTGTTCCTCACGTGTGCCCCAAAGAATGAGGTGATTTGGTGAAATGCTATGCCCAAGATTACCATCCGATTTGCCGTCGGGGAAGTGGCTCAAATAGCCTCGGCTATCACTTCCTTTTGACGGCCGTGATGGTCAAGCGGATTAAGGCGCCCTGTAGTTACCAGTTGCGTTGCTTCTGGGAGTATGGGTTCGAGTCACTTCTGGGGTGTGAGTTTTCATTCGCATATAGTCCTGGGGACCATTCAGGCTTGTTCGCATATATATATATATATATATATATATATATATATATATATATATATATATATATATATATATATATATATATATATATATATATGTGTGTGTGTGTGAATGGTCCCCTTTTGGTCCCTCAACTGTTAATAAAATAAATTTATTTTCTCGCGTTTGTTATATTGTTCTTTCTGTTTCTATCAATATTATTATTATATATTATTGTTGAATAAATTCACAAGGGCCGTGATGAAGGTTCGAACCTACGTCTAGGATGATCCCAGACGCGCCTTAATCGACTGAGGCATGACTTGGTCAAAATCCCTTGTGGATTTATTCATATGATATATCACGCTACTGTGATTTCTGTGTGTATATATTATTGTTGTTCTTACCATATTAGCAAACATTTGGAACTTCCATCAACTAAGCCGTATTTGGGCGCTATTTCTCAATATTCTTTAGGCTACACCACGTGGATGATGCAGAGAATGTTTGTAGCCTATTCCCATGACGTCTACAGCTACATTATGCAGATGCACAGGGCTGTAGTGCCCCATCTCCAGCAGGTAAGTAAACATGGGTCACCATGTTTTGGAAACATTTTTGTCACATAATTGATTGCGTAACGCAATAAACAGCTGTGTAAATTTGGGAAGAATATATATATAGTGTGCGGGAGGGCGGACAATTGGTGTCGTGTTTACAAGGTGTACCGTCCATTCCAGCAACCTTCCTTGGGCGCGGGGGTGATATAGCCAGTTTAGTTCAATTATTATACACCCTGTACCCACTCTGTGGGCGGTAGTTGAAAGGGTTACAGAGGCACATAATGGGCTCAGGGACTGAACCCGACAATTTTATATCTTGATGAGCTAGTTACAAAATTCAATGAACATCGTCACATCAACAATGGACTCGAGACCGACCACAAGTACAGTTTCTAAATTAAGCAACTGACATATATGGAGAGCTAGTGTAACAATTGATAGCAACGGCTCGCTCAGACATCCTTAGATCAAAATATTTAATGGATTGTTCTTCAGGGCCATTGTCTATGGGCCGTGTGCAATGTCATGTTATGGATTAAATTCTGTAGTGCATGTGCAATGTGTTTAAGAAATATTTCAGTTCTTGCACGGCTCCATGTAATTTAGTACCAAAACTGGCAAGCTCACGCATTGTATTCTCCAATTATATTTCTTTATTATAGCATGTGTTACAATGAACATTGGCACTTTAACACTTAATGTATCTAGAAGAAAGTATTATCAAGATCTCAGAGCACTAGGCACAGTGACAAGTAGTCACGTAACTTACTAGGTACTTACTGCCATTGGTAATCTTAACAAGTTTCAAAAGAATTCTTGGCCATCAAGTACTATAAAGATTAAAAGCAAGAATTGAAACATATAACACAGGATGTACGACATTTATTGCGTAAAAAAGTGTTGGAATAATATAACACTTTCTTTCAGATTTCTCAGAAGACCCGCGTCCTGGTGATTGCTGAGTCCCGTTACCGAGAACATGCGGTCAGCAACCTCTTGAAAAACTACAGGATTCTCTCTGGAGATGCCTCCATAGACTGGAGCGCGATGGTGTTCCTGTATTACTTGCAGCAGTACAAGCAGCAGCAGTCTCCTCATCCACCGTCTAGGGCTTCCCCTGCTCACACAACACCAGTTACTTGGTCACAAGATGAAAACCTACACCATGATGGTCCAACTCCCAAAGCACATGGTCAGACCATCCTGGACCATATGGTGCCCAGAGAGGCCGATGGTGGAGTGTGGTGGTGGGACACTGGCCTGCCCCTCAATATGGCTGCGATCGGCGAGTGTGATGAACTCTACCATCGTGGCCTGGCGTCCATTCCCGCCTATAATGGATCACACCTGAAGTGTTACGACACTCATCACGCGGGCACAGCTACCCTCAGCGACATGGTGACCATGTTGTTCAATCTCATGTGTAATTCGCTCACGGGTGCACACAGCACCTTCTGTTGTTCATGATGAGTTGAGCAAAATAAAATATAAAGATATAATTGGGTTCCTTATGAACAGCAACAAGAAAACGGCCTCCTCTTAACACAGCATTCAACTTCATATTTGGTCCGAGTGATGGTGAAGTACATGTCCAAATTTAAACAGGTCAACAAAAAGAGCGTGGACCATTCTAACTTGGGAATCCAACCACATCAGTTGATTTTTGGAGGCATGGGTCTGACCAGAATCTTTAAGCAATAGTAATTGTTTCGGACCCTTTCAGTAAATTATAGACATAACATAAAATAAAAGTAATCATAAATTCTCCAGTTCCTTCGTTGGCTAAATTTCCTTCCGTTAAACTTGAAATTTTTCCTGTAGACGAGTCCAGGTTGACAGGTTTGAGGAACACCCTCTAGTGCGTCTTGTTATGACAGTCAGCATTGGCCAGATGGGGACGAAGGTGTATGAATAAGAAGAGCAATTCATACGTCAGGAAGTGACATGTCTGAGAGATGACAGCCCACACGGCCAGGCTCAGTACACCCCAAGATGACGCAGCTGGACACTAGTCCTGGTGTGGTCGCTGTTTCAAACGGTTGCAAGGATTGTCCTCTGTCTTGGGGTTAATTAATGTATTATGTGGCGGAGCGCAGGATACAAGTGGCAATCCACCTTACATTCTATACAGCAATCATTTGTCACGTAACTATGCAGTAAAATTGTTGGTGGTAAAATATTTTATTTAATCATTGATGCTGTGTAATGTGGAACAGCCGAGGTCTTTGAAGTATAATCACTGAGCTCGCACACAACAGTAATAATAATCTAAGATGAGAGTAGCGGGTATATTGACTGTAATAAGATTGCAATCATCTCAGCGCATAGTAAAGCAAAAACCACATGTAAGGTTATCTAGAGATTATTTCAGGGCTTAGCGTCCCCAGTAATTATGTAGTCTATAATTATTCAATATTGAAAGTAATGTATGTGTAGGTGTGTGTGTGACAGTGTGAGCGGCACTGCTGCAGGGCAGTGAGAGTGCGAGCCGACGCTTGATCACCATCGCTTAATCACTCAGATTTGTTAATTAATTATAGAATCTTTATCGATTTTGGAGCAGACGGGGGAACTATCGCTTAGTTCCGTCACCTGAGACTACTGTCTTGGACCTTTCCGTCACCTGAGACTACTGTCTTGGTCCCTTCCGTCACCTGAGACTACTGTCTTGGACCCTTCCGTCACCTGAGACTACTGTCTTGGACCCTTCCGTCACCTGAGACTCCTGTCTTGGACCCTTCCGTCACCTGAGACTACTGTCTTGGACCTTTCCGTCACCTGAGACTACTGTCTTGGACCCTTCCGTCACCTAAGACTACTGTCTTGGACCCTTCCGTCACCTGAGACTACTGTCTTGGACCTTTCCGTCACCTGAGACTACTGTCTTGGACCCTTCCGTCACCTGAGACTACTATCTTGGACCCTTCCGTCACCTGAGACTACTGTCTTGGACCCTTCCGTCACCTGAGACTACTGTCTTGGACCCTTCCGTCACATGAGACTACTGTCTTGGACCTTTCCGTCACCTGAGACTACTGTCTTGGACCCTTCCGTCACCTGAGACTGCTGTCTTGGACCCTTCCGTCACCTAAGACTACTGTCTTGGACCTTTCCGTCACCTGAGACTACTGTCTTGGACCTTTCCGTCACCTGAGACTACTGTCTTGGACCCTTCCGTCACCTGAGACTACTGTCTTGGACCTTTCCGTCACCTGAGACTACTGTCTTGGACCCTTCCGTCACCTGAGACTACTGTCTTGGACCCTTCCGTCACCTAAGACTACTGTCTTGGACCTTTCCGTCACCTGAGACTACTGTCTTGGACCCTTCCGTCACCTGAGACTACTGTCTTGGACCTTTCCGTCACCTGAGACTACTGTCTTGGACCCTTCCGTCACCTGAGACTACTGTCTTGGACCTTTCCGTCACCTGAGACTACTGTCTTGGACCCTTCCGTCACCTGAGACTGCTGTCTTGGACCCTTCCGTCACCTGAGACTACTGTCTTGGACCCTTCCGTCACCTAAGACTACTGTCTTGGACCTTTCCGTCACCTGAGACTACTGTCTTGGACCCTTCCGTCACCTGAGACTACTGTCTTGGACCTTTCCGTCACCTGAGACTACTGTCTTGGACCCTTCCGTCACCTGAGACTACTGTCTTGGACCCTTCCGTCACCTGAGACTACTGTCTTGGACCCTTCCGTCACCTAAGACTACTGTCTTGGACCCTTCCGTCACCTGAGACTGCTGTCTTGGACCCTTCCGTCACCTGAGACTACTGTCTTGGACCCTTCCGTCACCTAAGACTACTGTCTTGGACCCTTCCGTCACCTGAGACTACTGTCTTGGACCTTTCCGTCACCTGAGACTACTGTCTTGGACCCTTCCGTCACCTAAGCTTGCAAAACCAGCTAGTTTGAAAAAAAATGAACTGACAAATCTGATTAATTAAGCGATGGGAATAGTGTAACGTATCGTAAATAAAAGAAAGGAAAGAAATGAATAATGAAGTAATGGGTTAGGGTTTAGGGTTAGGGAGGCAGAGGTGGGAGGGAGGTGGGGGGAGTAAGGAGTGGTCTGGGAAAGGGAAAGTTTAGAATGAGGCGGAGGGAGAGACTGCGAACACGGAGAGGAGTAGAACGTTAGTAGAGTAGTAGAAAAGGTAGATTGTTGAAGTAGAAAAAAGATGTAGGAAGTAGCTGCCACCATTCATTCAAGTTCAGTACATACAAGACAAGGAATGGAACTTGTCTGTGCTCTAAAATTATCAAAGATGTTAGTATGCATCAACTCTATATGCTGTAAGTATGTATTCATACAGGCAAGAATCTTTAAATCAGTATGCTCAGAGGGTTCTCCACTCTAGCTTGCAAAGTAAGAAGTTTTAGGAAACAAAATTAAAGTCACTCAAAAACAATAAATTAATTAATTATATATTTAACATGATAAGTAACATAATTCAAGCAATTAAACTTAATGTTCACTGTGTCAAGCTTAATATACCATGTGAGTCACCACACAAGACATTGAGGACACTCCAGCTGACTGCTCCATGCAAATCACACAGCACCTTACGTTGGAAATACATCAGATTTGTCACCTGAAAGTTCAACTCACCAAAGTCTCTGAATCTAAGCTGGATAGAGAGGGGGGGGGCTACAGTTGACAGGCAGAGTCCAACTTCTGGCCTAGGGAGGCCAGTCTCGTGGCTGGAGCCTTCTGGCCAGCGATCTAATTCTCGCTGCTGCTCAATTTTGCGTGTCTGATCTCTCAATCCTCTCGAATGTACAGTTCCCTGGGTATTTATGGGGAATCTGGGAGCTAAAATCCGCCTACCAGTTAGATAGCCTCAGGCTCTCTACATACCACGTCTGGACAGCAGCTTGTTTGATGGGAGACACCACCAACCGTCTGCAATTATCATATTAGCAGAACGCGGAGTCAGTTCACACGACATTACCCCTGGTCAACGTGTGGTCATTAACACTGTAGAGGTGCGACTTTTTAATTACTAAAGACAGACAGTCTGGCGCCTCAAATATCCTGTCTGGCTGACTCATGTTGTATGTAAAATAAAATATAACTAAACTAAATACCTTTATGGTGTTACAATAGCATTTTGTCAATAATTAATTGGTGTATATTTTGTCCTATGCCATAGATATATATATTCCACTGCTAAATATAACTAAAGATGACTAGCTCAATAAAATGCAAGAAAATATTTGTATTGAATAATTATATTTAGAATATCATTATAGAGTAATTTTAAACCAAAAATAAATGTTATTAGATAAAAAGGAAGAAACACAAAGGCAAGATGTTTGAGTTTTGAAACAAGTGTGACTAATTTTGTCAGGGATTCAGTTCAAATTCAAATATTATATATATATATATATATATATATATATATATATATATATATATATATATATATATATATATATATATATATATATATATATATATATATATATATATATATATATATATATATATATATATATATATATATATATATATATATATATATATATATATATATATATACATCGCATGCAAGCAACATATGTCCTCTCATATCAGTTATAGATCAATGGCAACACACCCCATCGTCGGCCCCGTCCACAGAGTTGCACATGAGGTTGAGCAGCATTGTGATCTGGTCGGCTAACGAGGCTCTACCTGCATGCTGAGAGTCAGAACACCGGAAATATGGACTGTTATACAAGGGATGTGACACCAGCCCACGACGGTAAAGTTCCTCACACTCGCTGATCTCGGCCATGTTGAGCGGCACACCTGTATCCCACCACCAGACTCCACCACCGGTCTCTTTGGGCTCTAGATAGTCCCGACTAACTTCCAATTGTGGTCTGGGAGCTGGGCCGTCGCTGGCTCCGTCTTCCTCCTGGGACCAAGTGGCAGGTGCTGGGTGAGCCGGGAATGCGCGAGGCGTTGGACTAGAAAGTTGCTGCACTCTGTGTTGCTGCAGGTAATACAAGAGCACCATCTCGCTCCAGTCAGCTACAGCGTCGCTGAATGCTGTTCTCATGTTAAAGAGGATCCATGTAGCGTGCGGCCTGAAGCGACTCTGTGCAAGTAGCAACACCCGTGTTCTCTCCGAGATCTGAAACACCAAAACAATCAAGGAACTGTGTAAAACGAGAAACGTCTGAGACAAACAATACTCATTGTTCTTCTAAAACAAATGAAAATAGGAAATTCCTCAATGTTATCAAGTTTCGATAATGCCGCAAGTTCAATTAATATTATAAGTTGCAATATTGTTCATGGATATTTAACGTCTTAGTACTAAGAGGACGCATCCGAGATTTTTCGGTGTTTTTATTCGAGGAAATTGACAATAGAAAAAATGATGCATATCTGGACCTCAGCAAGACCTTTGACATGGTTCCATATTAAAGACAAGTCATGAAGGTTGAAGTGCATGGCAGCAAAGAAAACATACTAAACCGCATCAGGGAGTTCTTGAAAGACAATAAACAGTGGATGGATTTCACTTCTGGTGTGCCGCAGGGCTCTGTGCTGGGTTCGCTGCTTTTCATAATTTAAATCAACGATAGAATATTGAAGTTACTAGTAAACTTAGCACTTATGGATGAAGCAAAGATACGGTGCATAGTGGATACAGTCTTTGATGAACTACAAAGAGACGTAATCAAACTTCAATGCTTGGGGAAAAATAGCAAATACAGTTAATCGTTGAGAAGTTCAAATAAAATTACCAGAATGGATAAAAAAATAGGAGTCATAGAGGTACCCTAAGGCCGAGGCAGTAATGCATCAATACACGAAATGAAACTTGCAGGGTGCTGGAGTTATAATAAGAAATGTCAGCTACAGAAACACGAATATTATCCTTCATCTATATTTAACACTGATAAAACTTTACTTGGACGACGCTGTGCAGTTCTGGACGCTCTACTGCAAGATGGACATAGACTTGAGAATATAATAAAGATAAAGAGGTCGATACCTAGTATGAGGCACTTGTCTTGCAAAGATAGAATAAAGTCTCAATCTGTCTTCATTAGAGAGACGCAGAATAAAGAGGACATGATCGAGGCATTCCGGTGTGTTTGGGGCATAAACAGGGTTCTGAAACTGTTGGAATAGGTCACGATCCGCATCAATGAGTGCAAGCTGGATAAATTTAGTTTTAGGAAGAATATAGGGATATACTCGTTTAAGAATATGGTCATCAGTTATGGATGATTAGCATTAATGAGACAAAAAAATTAACATGTTTGAAAAATAAATCAGACCTGCCTAATATGGGCCAACAGGCCTGTTGCGGTATTCCCAATTTATTGTTTTATAGTGTATATTGGCCATTTCTCTCTCCCTCCATCTTGTAAATGAGGCGTGGTGTATGGAGGGATAGTAATATGAGAGAAAACCATCTTTCGGGAGTAGCAGTCACATCTGAATAAAAGATTTTGCAGTTCTATAAGTCAGTTCTCTGAAGTATATACACAACTATCAATAAATAGAGAGAGAGAGACCAGCGAAACTTCACGTTTATGCTTACTAAAAATTAGATACAGTTTATATTGAACTTCTGTAACGAAAAGACGAGTGGGTTAAAAGTTTAAATTGAAAGTCTGATTCTTGGAGCGTCTACAGCAACAACAAATGACCCAAATGTACTGGCCTGCTAGGAGGAGGAAACCTGCACCAGCATACTGACCTGCTCCAGAAGAGGCGCCACCTGCTGGTGCATCTGCATGAGGAAGCTGAGGACGTCGTAAGGGTACAGCCACATCATTCTCTGCATCATCCACGAGGTGTAACCTGGGGAGGTTCGAGGAGCATTACCAACGACGCAGCAAGAGTGGAAGCTGGTGCAAGCTGTACAAGTTTTCATACGCTGCTTGGAAGTATCTCGTTATGCTATCTAGAAACATTTACGGGCTCACTATAGCCCGTGCTACATGGACATTTCGTTCTGAGTAGCTAAATCTAAAACAACAACTAGAAACATATTGCTCCCATGCCACTAAAACTTCAGGTTAACAATCGTGTTTAGATTCTGGTTATGCAAGAATTGCATGTTTGCAATTTATTAAGGTTATGCAAGAAATTCCTGCAGGTTCGTGTGTGTATAGTTATTGTGAGTAGATTGCTGTATAGGTGAGACCTGACCCTACAGCTCACCTACAATGAGCAGCTGAGGCGGCTGCTGCTCTCCTGAGGCCCACCCTCTTAGCTCCAGCAACTCCTTGGTGGTATTAAAGTCGACTGGCAAGTCACTGAAAGACCTGAAGCTATAGAGAATATATATATAAATATTAAACCTTATCGCACTGATTAATACTAATTTGCGAAACAAAAATGTAAAGCCATATTTTACACATGAAAACTTTGAAAAATGCTTAAGATCTACTCTTGAAAAAACTAATGACACTGGAATAATCGCATATAATATAATAATAATCGCATATAATTCCTCAAATTACAGAGATTTTCGGAACTTTTATTAAGTATTATATTTTATATTTTTGGTTGAGACCTGTAGGTGATGCGCATGCGCTGTTCTAGTTGAGTGGTGGCGACCATATCCTCGTGCATCTTGACCTGCATAGATCTCTCCTTCACAGCATCCCAAGCCTCAGTTCTGTTCTGGTGGGGACGGAAGGGCGCGCAATTTAATTAAAGAATAGCTCGAAGAGAAAAGAAAAGCGGAGAGAGAGAGAGAGAGAGAGAGAGAGAGAGAGAGAGAGAGAGAGAGAGAGAGAGAGAGAGAGAGAGAGAGAGAGAGAGAGAGAGAGAGAGAGAGAGAAAGAGAAAGAGTAGGATTAGATTATAAGATAAGTTTAGATTTAGGGAAGACCTGGGTAAATACTGGTTCGGTAATAGGATTGTTGATTTATAAAACCAATTACCGCGTAACATAATAGAAGTAGAATCCCTTGATTGTTTCAAGCGTAGGTTAGACATATATGAATGAGATTGGGTGAATCTACCTCGTAAATCATACGAGGAGCTGCCTCGTATAGGCCAATAGGCCCATACAGAGGCAGCTACCTTCATTATTATGTTCTTATAATTGATTATAATAGAGATTACGAATAAAGGAGGTTAAGTGATCAACACTTAAAACTTATTATTAAATAAGAGTTACAGACACCGTAGAGCTTGGAGATGTATGTATATGTCATAGTGGTAATATAAAGTTTAAATTACAGTGAATAAAGCTACCTGCAATACTGCCACGTTACTCACTTGAAAGTGAATAGTGAAATTATACTCCCCGTTAGTCTTTAAGAGTAACTCATAAAATAACTCCCTGACTTTGGAGTCACCATAAAAAGCGATCCAAAGAGAGTCCTTCCTGTCCAGTCTCTCCCTGAGACAGGCGGTGACGGTGGCCGGGTCGTCAAAGGGTGCTATAGCGCAAGGAACATGTGGCAGCACTCCGCCGGTGGCACTAATCCTGCTGTAGAACCGAAGATTGACTTTTTCAATTTTCTCCCTCTGGTTGTGATCATGGCCAGTGTTAATATTGCCTTGGAAGGACAAGAGTGTTGGCAGAAGCTTCCCAAGACGACGGTAATCCTCTGATGAAGCTCCGGACGGCGTTGACCTCTTCTGTAGAAGATCTTGCACCCTTCTGATAGCCTCAGACATATGTACGTGCCACAGGTTGGTGTGTGAGTGTGGCGGCCTCCATGTGTAACTTTTAGAGGTCTCATTATCGTGAGTGTTTTGTCCAGAATGTTGCAGCGAGTGAGCAGCGGCCATTGTGTCGTTGTCTGGGGCCCGAGTGATGGTGAAGAGGGAGCGGCAGCTGGCGTGGCCTGGGAGTGCTGACCCACCTGTTGCCCGCCTCGCTGGTGGACTCTTGTAAACACTGATTAACGATATTAATGTTATCAATGAAATTATGGCACATACATTATATAAATATTTCTTGCTTTCTGGTAGAAGCATGCTTAGCGAACACGAAACAATAAACGTAATCACTGATTCGTCGAGAAATACCACATGACCCTTCCACATATTATTTTGTTCAATTTCCTTATACGCGTTCGTTCATCAGGAAACTGGGGGCAAAAATATAACGTTATCATAACACAATCAAGAAAACCAGAGAATTAGCAATGAACGTTTTTGTAGTTTTCAGAATCTCTACAGATTAATTTGACTTCACATTTGAGAATATTAATCTAAAACCAAGAGTCCAGGAAACAAAGTCACGCTTCGCACGTTCGAACACCATAAATGGACAACTTGTATTGGCAGCTGATGGACGTAGGCCATTACTTATGAGGAACGAATGTTTTCTTTGTTTTTAACCAACATTTAATATAAGGAGTCCTGAGTACGTTATCTCAACCAAATTTAAATTATATACTAATGATTATAACTATTGCAGTTCAGGAGACTTTAATCAACCTGACCTTGATATTACGTGCAGAGGGGGGGGCAGGAGAGGACGACAAGGGTCGTGTCTCTGAAACACGACACACACGACAACACTACGCTGGAGGGCAGCTGTAAGCTTAATGCTCGCTAGGCTACGTAACTGTAAAAGGAATCTTCCCCAGTCGCTCTCCGAAATGTTTTGGTAGCATCGGAAATATATTATTGCTATTTAATTACCGTTAATCCTATAACTCTAATCACACACAAATATTGACGAACAAACTATTTTAACCAAATAATTGGTAAGGGACCGGACATTCAAGGGCCAGTGACTATCCACTCACACCCCGCTATGCCCAGTTCCTCACATCCCTACCAAGCCCATAACCCTGTCCCCATCCCCCATTCCCTACAACCCACCCTATGTTCAAGTATGTTTATTGAGATAAGCAATAAATACATCTCAAAGGGATAGAGTAGCTTAGGCTATTTCTACCCCTCGATGCGCCCATCTATACGTATACATCGCCCACCTTGTGTTGGTGCCGAGAATCAATGTCCCCGCGGTCCGGTCTCTGACCAGGCTTCCTGCTGTGACCTGTCATCGAAATTATATAGTATGCCTCACGCCCGCACCTTAGAACATTATGTATTAAAGTGTCAACTTATTGATAACTATAGAAATAAGGAAATAACTAGTGTACCACATCAAATTGTTTGGATGTGTGATAATGGTATGATAGAAAGTATACTTGGGAGCTACAAGAATTTTGCCCCAAGAGTGTAACAATTATATGCTGTGCTTACTATATTAACCTGCAATGTTAAACGGGATTCTTGTAATGTTATTTGTCTATTTGTACTCACTGAATTTGTGCGCCCCTTGAGGGACTTGAAGTAGAGGGGGGGTTGGAAATAGCCTAAGCTACTCTATCCCTTTGAGATGTATTTCTTTCTTATCTCAATAAACATACTTGAACTTGAACCTGTCATCGAGCCAGGCTCATTAAAGCAGCGACCATCCCCCCAAGACGCATTTATCAATTTATCGTATTGTGTATTAAAATAGGTTTGTTCTCAAACATATAAATTAATAGTATTAAATATTTAAGTTCTAGGTATAGTTAGACATAGGTTAGGTCAGGTATTTAGGTTCTGCTGGCGATTATTTATATTAAAAGTACGTGGGTGAAGCATTTACTGCGTTGTGGTTCGAACAAAAGTCGTCAGTGAAACACTTGTTCCGGACGTCATCAGTTCTGAGTCCAGCCCGTCCTCCAAACAAAGATCCAAAAGTGATTCCATGCACCCGCCAAACCCCCTGTTTATGAATGAAAAGCGGTTTACACACGACTCACAACTGTTGACGTTCGAACATATCCGGAACAAGTGCTTCACTGACGAATTTTGTTCGAACCACAACGCTATAAATGCTTCACCCACGTACTACAAATACAAATAATCGCCAACAGAACCTAAACACCTAACCTATGCCTATATATGCACAATATGCTAATATATTATAATATTAATTTATACTTGAGAAAATTCCCGTTTTGAATAAACAGCATGTTAAAATATATAAATGCGTCTGTGGGGTTGACCGCTGAATGTAATGGACTTGAGTCGAGGATGGGTTGCTGAGTCGTATGTAACCCGTTTTGCATTCATAAACAGTTGGCGGGTGCGTAACATGGACTTTGATCTTTGTTAATGAGGACGCACCCCGTCCTCATAAACAAAGGCCAAGAGTTTCCATGCATCTACCAAGCCCCCTGATTATAAATGAAAACGGTTTACACAGACAACCCGTCTTCACACTAGGCTGTTGAAAGCAGCGGCCGTCCTCCCCAGACGCATTCATCAATTTTAACATACTGTGTATTAAAAATTTATTTGTTCTCATATATAAATTAATATTATTATACATAAAAATTCTATGTATAATTAGGCATAGGTTAGGCGTGTAAGTTCTGTTGGAGATTATTTGTATTTAAAGTACGTGGGTGAAACATTTATAGAATTGTGGTTCGAACAGAGGACGTGAGTGAAGCACTTGTTCTGGAAGTGTTCGGACGTCATCAGTTGTGAGTCGTGTGTAACCCGCTTTTCATTCATAAACAGGGGGTTTTGCGCCTGGTTTAACGAGCTTGGATCTTTGTATGCGAGGACGGGCTGCTGGATGGAATGGACTTGGTCTAAGGACGGGTTAGAGGACGGGCTACTGACCGCTGCTTGCAGTCTGACGTATGAGTCACAGCCGAATTGATCAGGTATACTTGGAAGTATTTATTAAGTTCTCTTTTTAAATATCGTGAGAGGTCGGCTGTTTACGCCTCTTATGTTTAGAGGGAAAGAGTTGACCTTTTGGGCCATTAATGTTGATAGAATTGCCTCTTAGCGTGCCTGTTGCACCATTGCTTTTCAATGAGGCCACTTTACATTTCCTGGCATGTCTCCTGGTCTCATGATGAGTTATTTCCGTGTACAGATTTGGAACCAGACCCTCTGATATTTTCCACGAGTAAATTATTATGTATTTCTCTCGCATGGGCTTTACAGATTTAAGAATTTTAAACATTCCCAATAATTTAGATGGAGATTCTGGCAGTAAAATATCTTTGCATGTTCTCCATTTCAGCAACTTCTTCAACTTTGAATGGAGCTGATAGTGCGCAACAATACTCTACCCTGTAGAGTACTAATGTCTCAAAAAGTATCATCATTGGTCAAACCCGTTCTCGGATAAAGTGATTAGAACGAGACCCCCCCCCCTCAAACCACCTGGAGAGTTATCTCGATATTTGTGATGGTCTGAAAGCATATTACGGTTTCAGTAAGTTTATTTGTAAAATGGTAAGTGAACCTTCGTCCTAAACGAAGCATATTCTCAAGTTATAACTTTATTGTATTATAAATTGTTGGTTATAATATAAAGTCTATGCTTAACTCGTTTTCTTTGAAACGGTCTGATGAATTTGGATTTCTGCAAATTAAATTCTAGGGGATACTCAAATAGATTTGAATTTAATATTTCACATGTCTGAGAAAAATACACCATATTAACGTAACCAAATCTAACAAACCCCAACCAAACGTTAACCTAATCTAACTGGTCACCATGTCGGTGAGGGTAGATATGTGCCCGCGTGATGGTTATCAAATCATCTCGGTTGTGTTCCCCTATTGGCGGGGACGGACACCAGCCCACGATGGTAAAGTTCTTTACATTTCCTTGAATCAGGAGAGTATTAGATAATCCACGTCCCAGTTACTGGTACCCAGCTAGTATTCCAATTGGATACCAGGGGTGTGTCTCTGAGATCCTCTCATATTGTTCGTGTTTGTAGCCTGGTTAGTAGAACTCAGGTCTTCTGCTTCTGCGGTCGTGGGTTCGAGGCTTCTATGGCCTAAGTGAATGAAATGTTATTTCCACGTTTATTGTGATTTGCATTTTATATGACTGGGATGTGGAAGGGAGTAGAAAAATCCAAGTGCAGCCGGGTACTCCATCTTGTTGTGTGTGTGTGTCTACCTATTCATATAAGAGAGAATGTCTGTATGTTTTTCTGTCTGTCCAAAGTTGGAAGCCAGATATTTGGGGCCAGCCTCATCCAGATTTGCTGGAGGAATGGTCTGGGGTACAGGACCGACATAGACTGATCGGGGTAACCTTGAGTTAAATACTTTAAGAGATATCAACAATTATAGACATCCCCCATACGATTTTCATGGTCAAGTGTGAAATATATGGCGTGATTATCATAGACTTTTAGTGATCATAATATATTTTTGAGAGGCATCATAGAATTGTTTGAGTGGTTCTTAATGATACATTTTCCGAGAGAAGGGGAAAGAGGGGTGGAACCATGAGGATGGTAGAACGCGGGGAGGAACGGCAGGGGAACCAAAGAGGATGGGGACGAGGGTATCAAGGTGTAGATGGGGTGGGGGAAAGAATAGGGAAAAGGAAAGCCAAAATGCAGCCGGGTACCTCTTCTAAATATTTAAATATAAATGTTTGTTCAAGGTTGGAGGAGAGAGGGGGGAAAGTTAAGAGTAAGGGGAAAATTTGAGAGATGAGAAGACAGAGGGGGGGAGGGAGATGGGAGACGACAGGAAAGAAGGGAAGAGGAGGAAAGGCGACCAGGATTTGAACCTGCGTTACCAGGGCTCACTCCACTGTCATACGCAGTACTGATACCACTACACCAGGTTCGTGTCTTCGCTATCTTGCGTGGTCCTTGCAACATCCTTCCTCTCGCCTCTGTCGTGCCTTAACTCTTACCCCTCCTGTGGTTCCTGTTCCTCTTCACCACCTCCCTCTTTCTGTCCGGTTATCTCGCTTGCAGGGTTCACTTTCAGTTCATATTTATAATATTTCTCCTCGTGTTGTTCCTTCTTTGCCCCTGTGGAGAGTCCCCCTTCCGCAGTTTTGTACATCCTTAACCCGAATCACTAAAGCTTTTACCCCTCCTACGGTTCTGAAACGCCTTTTCCTTGAGCACTTTTCTTCACACTCCCGCTCCGTTTCCATCTTCACCGATGGGTCTAAGTCTGCGGACGGTGTAGGCTCTGTTGTTTTTTCCTGGCAGCACTTATATGTGTCGCTTACCTTCGGAGACTAGCATCTTCACAGCGGAACTTTATGCTATTCTCTATGCTCTTCGTCTCCTGCTTTCTCGTTGTCAATCTTCCTTTGTGGTTGTCGTTGACTCTCGTAGTGTCCTCATGGCTCTTGGGGTCCTTTAATCCGGTTCATCCAGTGGTTGTCAAGATACAGCATTGGCTGTTTCTTATTCACAGTAAATTTAAGTCGGTTGAGTTTTGTTGGGTTCCCAGCCATATTGGTCTCTTTCAATGAGCATGTGGATGCTGCCGCTAGGGAAGCTGTCCGCTCTTGTCCCATCTCGTAAAGGTATTCCTTATTCCGACTTTTACCCGGTTATCCATTCCTCCATCCTTACACGTTGGCAGGCTTGTTGGTCTTCTGTTACTAGTAACAAACTTCGTACTCTTAAGAGTTGTGTGTACTCGTTACCGTCCTCCTACCACCGTAACCGGTGATGGGAAACGGCGCTGGTGAGGTTGTATATTGGCCATACTCGCTTAACTCCTGGTCACTTGATGGAGCGCCGCCCTGCTCCTTATTATCCAAATTGCATTGTTCCTCTTACGGTCGTGCATATCCTTGTTGAATGTCCTGACTTCCGGGACGAGCGTGTATCTTGTTTTCCGATAGTCCCCCGCGGTCGCTTGTCCCTCGATAGAATTCTTGGTGAATTGGATACTTTAGATATCGTTTGCCTTATGCGTTTTTGTTCTCGTATTGGCATCTTTGGTGATATTTAGCGCCCTCTGATTATTCCGCACATATGATGGTGCTAAATAGCCGTCCCGGTTTGGTGCCTTCTTTTGATAATTACTTACACCAGGTTCGAATCCTGGTCGGGTCATAGAGTTCTTAGTAATATATTAGCTTGGGAACCATTTAAGCTTTCACACACTTTTATTAAAAAAAATATAAATTCCTTCTATGAATTTGTTTTTATTAATAAAACTATTTTTGTTTAATCGTTCATATATATATAATTGTTATTCATAAGGATACGCTTTGTACAGAAAGCTGTTTAGGATGCGATAAAGAATTTTGGAAGAGCTAAGAGGAAAAATATGATACAATAAACTAAACAGTCGACAACAGGTGAGTCTTATTAACAGAGGCGTGGAGAGTCTCGCAGTAAAATTAAATTAATAAATCACGATCGAGTATCAAAATATCACAGGATTAGTTTTGAGCGTTAGTTTTGATATTTAGACAATTTATGATCAATAGAATTTACAATATGGGGAGATAGTTAATTGGGTTATGAGGTTGCTCTGTATATTTTCTAGGACTGGAGTTCTGCAAGACTGGCCAACCAACTATTCCTCAGAGATAACGTTGGAAAAGAGGATTTTTTTTCTGAAGAACTGTGCCACGATAATAACAGATAACATGGGATTTTCAGAGCCTAGTGTGTGCCGTACCCTCGGTTCTGTTGATCGAAGTGGGTCCCATAGGTAGTGATGGAGGATGGGCCTGTCTCGAATCCGTATGAAAATCCGTTGTTGCCGTAACGGTCAAAATTGCCGTGTAGGTCTGAGTTGCCGAGAAGACGAGAAACTCTGCCTGGTCCCTCGTAGCCTGAAGGGCCGTTGTAGGAAGTGGAGACACTGTGTAAAGTATTATCAAGGACGAAAGCGTCGTCATGGCCGTAGGAGCCCGTGTGGGGATCAGACTCGCTCACGACTACGGGGCCGTTGACGACGCGAGTGACAGTCGAAATTGGGCCACCGTAGGAATTAGTTCCCAGAGGCCCGGTAGATGCCGGGAAGGTGGCGTAGGACCGCTTGTGGCGGTAGGAAGGGGCGTCGGTGTAGTGGACCGGCAGGTTAGTGCCGGTCACACGAAACCCGTAGTCGTCGGCGACGTAGTGCTGCGTCTGTACTTTGCCGTAGTCGTCAACGTAGCTGAATGACCCACGCACGTTACCGTAGGCGTCGCGGCTCTCGTCGCGGGCAGAGTTCCCAGCGTTGTAGCCAAAGGAGTACTGACCGAGTTTATCTTGGGAGTGGTACTGGGACAGCACGGGGGAGTATTTTGGGAGGCCGTAGGAAGTGGACACAGCTGGAGCCTTGTGGACAGTAGGGACGGCGGCTCCTGGGACAGCTACTCGGGCATGGACCACTGGAGCTGAAACTGCCGGTGTATGAATATTTGCGGACTTGAGGATTGGACCCTGGTGAACCACTGTTGTTTTACGGACAACTGGAGCACCATAGTTAACTGAACCATCATGGGACAATGGACTTCCGTGAGACAATGGACCATCATGAATCACTGAGCCACCATGGAACCCATTATCACCATGGAACCCATTATCACCATGGATCACAGAGTCACCATGGAACCCTTTATCACCAAGGATTGCAGAGCCACCATGAGACACAGGACCATTATGGATCACTGAGCCACCATGGGACACAGGATCACCATGGGACACAGGACCACCATGGATCACTGAGCCACCATGGGACACAGGACCACCATGGATCACTGAGCCACCATGGGACACAGGATCACCATGGGACACAGGACCACCATGGATCACTGAGCCACCATGGGACACAGGACCACCATGGGACACAGGACCACCATGGGACACAGGATCACCATGGGACACAGGACCACCATGGATCACTGAGCCACCATGGGACACAGGACCACCATGGGACACAGGACCACCATGGATCACTGAGCCACCATGGGACACAGGACCACCATGGGACACAGGACCACCATGGGACCCTGGACCATCGTGAAATACAGGACCACCGTGAGCCCCAAGGCCGCTAGACAAGGAGTTTGAGATGCGCTTGCCGATGGTTGCCCCTTTGGACTTGATCACGGTCTCCCGGAAAATGGTCGGGGAGGGGCCAGTGTCTGCGTGGACCGCTGCTGCTCCTGCGTGCGGGCTGGCATCAGGGCCCTTGGCGCTCACCCCCACCACAACCAGGACGGCGCACAAGACATGCTGAAACATATGGAAATCAGCAATCAGACATCACTTACTAAATAAATTACTTTTGCATTTCATAATATACAAAGGAGAGAGTCAGAATTCAGAGTCACGTAGTCCACTGGTGATCCACACAAGCAAGCAGCAGACACACACTTTTTTATAGTTTTTATGATGGTTTATGTTGAGGATGGGATTCCACGCCGGGGATGCATACTCTAGGATGGGTCTCACGTAGATCGGATTTTATTTAGCTTTGTATATGACGTTGAACGTTCCTGCGTTCCTCCTGTGCTGTTACCCTGTGTATATGTGGGCTTCCAGTGTTAAACTCGTTTACTTAATTTACTTTCACCTAATTTCTCTGTTCACCTAATAGTAACTAGGTACCCGGGAGGTAGACAACTGTAGCAGGGTTGTATCCTGGGGAAGGGCCAGGAGGTCGTACTTGGGAGGACCTCGATGAAAGCCTAAAGTATAAATATATATATATATATATATATATATATATATATATATATATATATATATATATATATATATATATATATATATATATATATATATATATATATATACCGAAGCTTCCTGTCCCCCAACGAAACTAATTACGCTTGTGCTATTTGAACTGGCTGATCCTTCCTCCTCGCTGCATATTGCTCTTCATGTCCAGCTGCGGAGTTTCAGCCAATAATCTTGCAGCCTATTGCAGGTTTCATTCATGCTGACTTATCATCTCTTGGTGCAAAACTTACGAGAAACGTCTTTATAAAGAGAAATTGTAGAATGACGTAAGAGAAATGAGTATCAGATTTCATGTTATGTGTAAACATGTGGAACATGCCATGTATACATATGTAAAACACCTCATGTGTACTCATGCCGAACAAACTATATGCATACATTTAGAACACGTCGTGTGTGTTCTGTAAAACGCATCATGTGCAAAAACATGTAAACATATAATATACGTACACCTGTAGAAAACATGTACACACACAGAACATTATCTACAAAAGTTTCAGGATGTGGATTAAAAAAAATGCCAAATGAAAACTACAGGTTAAAGGCAAGATACTCACAAGAGCGGTCATGGCGGCTGGTGTCGTCACGGGCGCGGGGTGCTCGTATGACCCACCCGGCTGAAGGGAGCTGTCTGACGGACCTGCACTTCTCCTCCGCCGATATATATATTGCCGAGACCTGCACCGAGGCCCTGAACCCTGCGAGATAACGGCTAGAAATTACAGATCCGAGCATTACACAGTAGGCGACTGAGGCGGTGTCGCCGTGGTTGGCTCTCCGTGACAAGTGAGACACGGATGGCCTTCATGGGCGCTGGGGGAGCCATTAGCCCGATTTTCTATTCTTAAGAATCTTGTGGAATTACACGCTGATGGTGGATGGTATGTGTAGCGAGGAGGGGGGAAGGAGGAGAAAAGGGGGAGATGGATACAGGTTGAAAAGAGGGTGAGGATGAGAATGGATAATGGTGATGCGAAAGCCAGAGTCATAATTGCCTCTTCCTCATGCTTAGGTGCTTCATTGGGTCTACAAACGCTGTTCTGTACTTGTTGTTAATGAGTTTATGCCCAATGCAGCCGTAATTAGTTACTGACTAGACACCATTATGTACGCTGTGCTCTGCGTCATTGTTTTAGGCCTTACATGTAGAGTGTTAGTAGACACGATTGAACTGTGACCTTGTATCTCGTGTACCGAGCAATGTGTCGTGCTGCTCCTCGGCCCTACAACACGACTTCACTTTCGCACGCACTCACAAACACGTAGATTCTCCGCACCTTGAAATCACAATTGCGTGATGTATATACGAGAAAACATTGAAGCAGTACAACATACATGTATACATTCATCCATATATTGAAAAAAATTATTCATACATTCTCGAACACGCGAACACACACACACACACACACATTGGGCAAATGGCCCAAATGAGCCACAGAGATATTAGAAAGAACGTTTTCAGTGTCAGAGTAGTTAACAAATGGAATGCATTAGGCAGTGATGCATTCTGCCTCCAAATTGTGTATGGAGGCAGACTCCATAAACAGTTTCAAGTGTAGATATGATAGTCCAATAGGCTCAGGAACCTGTACACCAGTTGATTGACAGTTGAGAGGCGGGACCAAAGAGCCAGAGCTCAACCCCCGCAAGCACAAATAGGTGAGTACACACACACACCGTATTTCCCTCACCTCTGAGACGCAGTTATTCAGCAGTTTATCACCATTTAACCATCACCATTTCCGGGGGGTATCCCAAATGCATCTCTCTGTAGACGTGACAGTCGTGAGGGTGGATGATCCAAGGGTGTGGGTGGTTGTGGTCGGGGTCGGTGGGGGGGGGGTATATAGTTGATGCAACAAGTGTTGGTTAGGCCAGGTAAGCTGGGTGGAAGGGGCAACCATAGTGAATATCAGTAATATTGACACGTGAATGGACCAATAGTACCATAATGAAAAGTGAATTAAAGAAGCGTTTATAATGAACAGTGACAGTAGACACCGTTTAAGTTCAGACTTATATGTTCCATAGGAAATGTATATGTTTATCTCTCAGAATGTTTGGTAATATGTTTATTGTTTGTGATGTGTGTATATGTATGTATTAACACGATCTAACGAACGGGGTGAGAATAGCTTGAGCTACCTCATCCCTTTGTGTGTATTTTACATCAATAAACTTATTTAAATTTCATATATGTTCCAGGCACAGATACCAGCGTGTTCTATACCTGTAATTTTCCTTGAATTGTGATTTGTTGCTTCACGTTGGTTCAAGTGGTTAGAAAGTGTTCCTTAATTCTCTCTTCTTATAGCAACTCCTCTCCTGTCTCCATATCCTTTCCGAGTGCAAGATTTTAGTTTGCCAAGTGCGTTATTATAAATAATATTTATCTTATATTGGTTTTACTGTTATTAAGATATCATACCATAGGCAGGAACTCTTGTTAATCCTGTTTTTATTACTGCTTCATTATTATTATGAATATTATTGAGAAAATCCACTAGAACTATAGGTGGGCGCGAACCTACGACCCCGGTATTGACAGTCGCTATTATTATTATTATTATTATTAATTTATTTTCATTTGAGTTTGAAATTTGCAAGCTGGAGCTGCACATTTTCTATACAGTTATCTGTAGTAATAAGGGGATTCTATATATTTTTTAATACTATGTATTTTTAACCATAAACTTACAAGGTTTTTTATTTATTGACGTAACACTATGATCTGGTGCAGCTCAATATTGACTTTTCTCAAGGTACTTAAGATAAGACTGTGGAAAGTAATCCCAAATTTATGGTGAGCACTCCATTATCTAATTTGGGAGTTGGAGTATTGTGTATCCCTTAGCTATAGGAGATGAGCGGCCCACTGTCAACAGGCTAGTTTCCTTATGCATTTGGCTGCAATACATTTCACGTGTCTTGTGAAGAGCACATTTTCATGGGATGGATCAGTGTTTTCTTGTCTAGTCTTATGACAAGACGATATTTGATGCCTCTGTAAGATGGCTATCAGTTGGGTTTTATCTGGGACAACAATAACTTGCTTCCGTTATCTCTAAGATAAAATGTATTTCTTAAGTCCTCCTGTCGCCTCCATTATTATTATTATTGCCTGTCTCATAACCTTACAAATATAAATGCGGAAAAATAACCAAAAAGCAATTACGAAGGACTGGAGGAACGGCAAGAAGGTCGACAGTCGACGGAGGGTGAAGTGAGAACGTCTTTCACGTGGAACGTATAAACGCGACGCAGATTGTGTTGGATAATATATCCCAAGGAAGGATAAGTACTTCTCCAGGAGAAGTGAGCAAGTCACTCTCCCCCGAGGACACCAAGTTGTTCAACAGTTCACAATACCTGCCAAGGACGTTCATTACCCTCGATTGCTGCCTGTCAATTGGCTATATATATTTTTTCTTTGTGGCTGACTGCATTCTTGAGCGATTCCCAAGTGTCTGAAAATGTACACTCGCTTGACAGTATCCTTGTGAGTTCTGAAGCTTTCTTGTATATTCTTTTTGTGAGAATAATAATTAGTCCCTGTAGTGGTTTGGCAGAACCCGTGATATAAGTCACAACTTTCAAAGATCCCTGTTTAATGGAGCTCCCAGCAGATATTCAAAACACTGGCTCCGTATTGTGTTATTGAAAACGCTTAACGTGTTTCTAAACCTACATCAAAATATATATATTTCTGCAGGATGAGTATCTTAATTTATATTCTGTATGTGTTATATGCGTAATTCTTTATTGCTAATACACGCAGAATGCGTCCATTGTCCGTCTGCATGAATTAGTTGTGTTAATAGGGCTGTGTGGCCCCACACGTGTGATGCCAGCACACACACACACCAGGTCTGTGTGGTTAACTTTGGCTGCATTACAATAATAGGTTTATATTGATTTTGAAGCGTATAACAAAGGCAAGTAAATGTTCAGAGCTATAACGAAGTATTAAAGTTTTCCAGTGCTGAACAAAGAATTCTACTCACAAATAAGAACTGGCTGACATTATCGATTTTGTATATTGATGACCCATGCCGGTCCTTTTGGGAGGTAGTTGAATGGTTAAATATGCATATAATAAGTTAGAGAATTTGACCTTAAAGTTTGCTTGGCTAAGGAAACTGCAGTGATAAAAATATATGTAAATAAATAAGATCTTGACCCGTAGGTAGGAAAACATTTGACATGTTATATTATCAGTTTGCCATGTTTTTATTTTGTTGTAGGGAATGGGGAGGGAGACTAAGTTAGGATAGGCAGTAATTCCTGATACAGTACATGACAGTTCACTTCATTTCTAAGCACTCTCAGGTTAAACTAACCATACTGAACTTAAGTGGTATGCTGGAAGAACCGAGGAACTGCATTTAATGATGCCTCGTTGTTTTTCGAAATGGACCAATCTTCCAGTCATTTTGGTTAAGACTTCACTTTTTACTCAGTTTTTACACAAACTAAAATTTATCAAATGCCGCTTAAATCGCCAGTAGTTATTAACAGTCTATTGACACGCAAAGAGAATCTCTGGTAAGGCAGACTGTAATATTTCTGAAAGAAACATGTTTCATGAAACAACACATCTCTCGCTGGTGGGGGTCGTCTTCGACCGTAAAAGAACAACTCTTTGTACTTTATAATGTCTTAAAAAAGTTATGCGTTGCTATAAGGTTACGATAGACATGTCCAATAACATATGCGATCCCAGAGAATCTTTTACATAACCTATAGGGAACGCTTAACATGACCTAGGAAACCCTTTTATCTAACAACTAAGTGAAGTCTTTGCCTAATCTAACACAGGGAAAGAACATTTTAACATTTGGAGAGATTCATTTAACTAATAAAAGGATTGGGTACGCTGGATACAGGCCTGTATCCAGCGTACCCAATCCTTTTATTCAATCCTTTTATCAACCTCCAGAGGATGATAAGCCTAAGCCCAACACCACCATAATTTTGTACATTTTCTATTGCAGCGCTCCTTAGCAGCTGTATTGTTGCAGTAATTATTTCAATGTAACATTGCTGTTATCATTAAAATTCCACATTTGTTCAGGTGTTTTTTAATGCCATAAAGCCTTATTAATACATTGTTGTAGATTGTGGCACTTGTAGTTTGGAACTTCAATCGTACTTCCTTTCACATTCAGCATTGTATTAACGAGGTATCACTTTCATAATCGATTGAGCATAGTTCTCTCCTACTTCTTACTTATACAAAACCGTTATCTGTTGCCAGAAATATATATATGTAGTGTTTTGTCTCCCCCTTGATTGATCCTCTACAATTTAGCCTGAAATGCATTCTTTTGTTAAACATGTCGCTCTGATTTTTTATATCTTAGTAAAACATTCCAAAGGAATATTACTCTTAGACAATTAAAGTGCATCATATTTTTACCGTTTGTGTCAATTTCCTTAAACAGCGTTCAACTGTATGCAGCAGTAGTAAGCATATGTTGATATTAGCTGTACTAGGCCTGTATAGTACAAGGAGAATACTGAACTAGGTGTGTGAGCAGGAACACTATTGTATCATTTACTCTGCTTGTAATGTGGTAGTCAGTTGACTGGTATTATGGATCTCAATAAGCTGGTACAGTATTATGGTTATCAATAAACTGATATGAAATTCAATAGACTGGTATTAAATATACTTAAGTGCGGCAGTATCAAGAGTAACTATCTAATTAATCTATGCTGGTTACATAAATTTCCCAATAATTTAAAAACTTTATGTTGTATATATATGGATGCAGCTACGTTACAATTATAATTATTTTAATTTATGGGAATATTCAAATCTGAATATCATTCTATGAAGATTTATTATATATCTTACATATAATTAGTTTAAATGAATGGAAATTATGAATGAAAATTAATAGGGAACCAGAAAATATTTTTCAGTTATTAGCAAGCAATTTATATACATCTGTTTGACATTTGCAAACAATAGGAAATTTCAGTACAAACACAAGCGTTCTCATATATGGCAACATTACATTATAATACAGATATCACAATAGCGTGACACATCAAATGAGCACGGCTCTTGTGGATATGTTCATTACATTATAATACTTAAGTGGAAGCCATTTGCACTAGACAACAACCGCTTTTCCTTAAACAGTATATTAATAATAAAATAGAGACCATAATTTCCCTATTAAGGCCTCTTAATCTCAATTAAGAATTTCTTAAGTGAAATTAAGATTTCTGTTTCTCAAGACATGCGGCGGTTCAAAATATAAAGGAGTTAAAGACGGAAAATATGCACTAATTTACACACAAAAATCACAATATCGTGATATATCAAATGAATAAATCCACAAGGGCCGTGATGAGGGTTCGAACCTATGCACGGGATGTTCTCAGCTGCGCCTTATTCAACTGTCTTGAGGTTATCTTGAGATGATTTTGGGGCTTTAGTGTCCCCGCGGCCCGGTCCTCGACCAGGCCTCCACCCCCAGGAAGCAGCCCGTGACAGCTGACTAACTCCCAGGTACCTATTTACTGCTAGATAACAGGGGCATTCAGGGTGAAAGAAACTGTGCCCATTTGTTTCTGCCTCGTGCGGGAATCGAACCCGCGCCACAGAATTACGAGTCCTGCGCGCTATCCACCAGGCTACGAGGCCCTACTGACATGGTAACTGTGCCACGACATGGTAAAAAAGTTGCACCCTGTAGTAGTACTGCCCTCACTAGGATCCCGAAGCTTCTCCCGTGCGTACGTTCGAGCCTTCATCACGGTTTTTGTGGGTTTATTCATGCAGTAATTGTTTTTATTTAATATACTTTATATAACCAACACAAAACGTTCAATGCAATTCATCTGCGATCAACTGGAGAAGCTGTCAAATCAGAGTGAAGGGTTCGGCAGATTATACCTCAATAGTGGCACTGTTCAGTTTTTAATATGGTAGCTTAATGATAACCCCCATGAGTCGGCACCTCATAGCTGTTGTAAGGGATAACTGAGGGGACGCTGCGGAAACTATATGAAAAGCCTCCGGGTCCCCCGTTACCATGCACACCAGAGTAGCCCTGAACAGGAGACGTGTGAACCAAGGGACCCGCATGGGATAAGCTGCCCAGGGGTCCAGTAGAGGCTGGGAAAGTGGCATAGGAACGCTTATGGCGGTAAGGAGGCACGTCGGTGATGTGGACAGGCAGGTTGGTGCCAGCTACCCGGAAGCCGTAGGCGTCGGCGATGTAGTCTTGCTTCTGAACTTTGCCATACGAGTCGATGTAGCTAAAGGAGCCACGCACATTGCCATAGGCGTCGCGGCTTTCGTCGCGGGATGAATCGCCAGCGTTGTAGCCGAAGGAATACTGACCGTTTTTGTCTTGGGTGTGGTATTGAGATTTGATGGGAGCCACTGGGGCGCTGAAGACAGTCTTACTGTGAGAGATAGTTGCAGCAGGTACGTGGTGAGAGACAGATACGGCAGCTACGGGGACTTTATGGGCACCAACATTGCTGTGAAGGTTGTGGGAGAGAGTGCCGTGAGAGCCCAGGGTGCCGGCTTCAGTACCACACACAGCCACAGCAACCACCACGTACACAACTCGCTAAAATAAAGTATTATTAAATGTGAAAACAGTAATTTCAGTAATTTATAATGAAGTTCAGTAATTTTGTTCATGTTCTAAATGACTGTTATATTAAGATACAAATAAATCAAATTATTGTATATTAATTTTCAGTATATGAAGTACATGTCTTGATATTTGGTGGGTGATGAAACGGAAAATATAAAATCAGGACTATAGTCATGTTATTCATTCAAATGGATAATTTGAGATAATTTCTAAGCAGTTAGAAGTTATGCAAGCAGTTAGCGGATGATGCCGAGTTGTTAGGCCAGATAACTTATTGGATGTGTAGTGAGTGGTTTGGTCATCACAACTTATTGGATATTAAATACATCCTGAGGTCACACTTAGTAATCCCAAAAATCAAAGTAAAAGCTCAGTACGTACTGAAAAATGTGCGCATTCCAAACTAGGCTAACTAACATTTCCTTTCATTATTAACTTCACATACGAAACACAATCTTTGGGATCACAAATTTATCTTCCGTTAGAAACAAACCAATGATTTTTTTTGCGCGCGTGTGTGTGTGTGTGGTTGGGGCGGAAGTTGTAGACAATAATATGAATGAGTTTGGGGGATATAAACAGCAGCTGCCTCGCATGGCTATCTTAAGTTTCCTGTATAATGTAAACTCAGTATATCAACGGGAAGCGTAATATACATTCCGGTGAATATCCATATTGCGTGTACTTCGTATGTGAAGTTTGTTGATAACATTTCAAACTGGTGCTCCCATAAGCAGTGTGGCTGAGGGTGATACTCACGAGAGCGTTCATCTTGCTACAGGTACACGACCCACCCAGGAGAAGGGAGCTGTCTGAAGGAAGACTCCGCACTACGCTGGTATATACTCCGAAGCCTCAAGGTCCACGCACTCCCCCTATGGTCACCCACCCCACACACTCCCAGGCAAGAATGAAAAAAATCATTTTTAAAAATATTATCATGCTCTACTGCACATAAAACGAGCATATCCAGTAGCAGTTGACTGCAATTCCTACCATTTGTGAAAGTAAAGTTGGCTGCTCTAGCATGTGAATTACAGACTTAAGGGCTTTATATTTATTATTGAGCACTACCTGCAATATTCAACTTATCGATTGATCGATTGAAAAACTATAGTTAATGTTAAATATGAAGTACAACACTGCTTTTCTGTAACATTTTCTGTATGTATTACTTAATTAGTCCAAATGGCATACTAACTAAAGAAACAAAATTATGAACCTAACCAAGCAATCCTAGGTCTAATATATGCTGTCCTAGTCCTAGTACTGTGTATATATGATATATGAGCCCTTGGAATGCTAGGTTTTTTGTGCCTTTTAAAAAAATATATAGTACAAAACATTAACATTGTTGGCTGCAAGTCCATTTTTGTACGGTCGACCAAATAGTTGTTATAAGTACTATCATTTTAAGAGGATAGGTTGATTATATTATATTGTAACTTAAACTAATTTAAATTCAAATGAGTAAAACAATATAAATGATCGAAGTTTTACGGTCATATTTAGAAGACAATGTGGCAACACCAACTTTCGGACAAATGGAGGGATATTTGACAAGCCGCCGGCTTCCCGTCCTCATCGAGGCCACTAGTGTGTTAGTTAAGATAAAATCAGGTAATGAAAAAATAAATGTTTAAGTTAATTTTGGGGAAGTGGTGTCATCCATTTATCTCAGTTCTAATAGACACAAAACAAGAGACAGTCAAGTAATAAACTGGCAACTAGTTAGTGTCACCAAAGGAAATTCTGAACTGGATGTTGATTGAAACGAGATATAATTAAAAGTAAACAAACTGAAACTTCTCATGATTTTTTCATGTATATATAATTCTCGTTATATTCTTATTACTTACTTTTTGTTAATGTTTTTAAGAATACCAAACCCAGAGTGTCACAACCGACGGGAGGAGAGTTGCAGGTGGTCCTGAGAGTGTTGTTACTCTGGGCGCCTCGGAGGTCGCACTACTGGTGTAAACACCGCTGGAGGAATGGGCCCACACACAGTGAGAGTGATAGTTGGTCTCCGATTGCACTCCAGAAGGCTTCGTCATATTTTGCCCCAACTCTCGAATGCTTCACAGCTTGCAGGACAGGGAAACGTGGCAAGCAACTTGACAGGTGTGTTGTTGTTTGGTCTCTCCTGCAATGGAGCATGTTGAGTCTAACCACCATAAGGGCGCATCCGATCCCACGATCGTCGTCGGCTCTAAATCAACGACATAATCACTGTAACTTTGTCTTTTTATACAATAGCTACTGTTTTGCTCCTTTATTATAACCTATAGGGGAAAAAAAATCACTAAAATATAACTGAATTCTGGGGGTTCTTTGACCGCCTGACAGTAAAAATATTTACGCTTACGCTTGGCAACAGTGAGCTGCACCAGTTACTCGTTCCCATTTCCTTGCGTTTCCACCACTGTGGTAAATATTTCCGTGGTAAATATTTCCGGGCTTCGCACGCATTTCCGCCCCGCCCTGTCATTCTGGAAGTGGTCTCAGTCTTCCTGGATTATACGCTTGCCCCTGAAAACTGTCGTTTAAGCCCATCATTTACTTTTTATGTTATGAAGCGCGCGCGCGCGCGCGCGCGCGTGTGTGTGTGGAGTAGGTGAGGGTCACGCTGGCAGGAAAACTGCACTAGTTACTTAGATATTTTTTTTGTTTTAGAATATCAAAAGCCCGATGCTCTTAAATTTGCGAAGACAAGAAAACGCTGTTAAGACATTACTAAATTAGATTAGATTTGTCTTAATTTGTTTACTTTGGATCGCTTTTTTATGCAAGGATTCCGACCATAACTATTATGCATATCTTCTATCTCGGCTTTGGTGGAGAACAATATGGTTAGTGCGTGTGTGTATGCGTGCGTGCGTGCGCGTGCTGCTTCCTATCTCCCCAAATGTGTTAACCCATCCTCCTTCCTGTTTAGATGGAACTTTTTGCAACTCTATGGACCATCGTACATATATTGACGTAATGAACAGTTAGTTTGGTTCTATTCACTTTATAAGAGTTTAGAAAATATAGCTAAAATCAAACTTAAATATTCCTAGGCTTAGTATATCACGTGTACTATACATAACCTCATACCGTATATTATTTAAAACTTAGTATTCGTCGACAGAATGAATATGACAAGTTTATAGCCATGCCATAAGGTATTACTGCCTCGCTGCGAAGATTTAGTTTACCTTGATCAGCAAACTCAGACATCGACAGCATACAGTCGTCGCCCTCTAAATCAACGACGACTTTCTAGGGATCAGATGACAGCACAGTGGATATTTTTGTGAGGTTTAGGAGTTGTGATAATTTTTGGGGGGCCTTGTTTTATATTAAGCAGTTATTGTGGATCAGTGCTTAATGCGCGTTGAAGTTACTAGAGTTGTCAACCAAGGTACGTACAGAAAACACACCTGTTTGATAAAGTTCATGGAATTTCATGACCTTTCAAGTGTGGCTAGTAAAAAATAAAATAAAACGCATAAATTAAGACGAATTAAGACGCATAATAATACTAATAATAATACATATAATAATTTCACAATTGTTACAAAGACCTCACTAACAATGATTATTAATATACGTACACCAGCTTTTATTTGCATACGCCCATAAGAGAAACTAAAATACAACACCATTTGCACCGTTATTTCAATTTTATCAACCATTATATATGTACAAATCCATAAGGGCCGTGACGAGGGTTCGAACCTACGTCCGAGAGGATCCCAGACGCTGCCTTAATCGAAGTTACTAGATCCTCTCTAGTATCTTCTCGGACGTAGGTTCGAATCCTTGTCACAGCCCCTTGTGGATTTGTTCATTTCATGCATCACGCTATTGAGATTTTCGTATAATTATATATGTATTTCCTTGAATACCCGATTATGGCAGAGTTGTTAGCTTATCTCTGATAAACGAGGAAATGTTTTGACCTTTATGTTGTGTGTGTGTGTCACGATGCTCAATAATTTGTATAATTCCGATTATATTTATCATTGTGAACTCACGGAGAGCTTCTCCCGCCTTGGCTGACTGATGGGTCACGCTGCTTCAGGCATTCTCACATGTTGCATTTATTTTGAGCTGTATTTTTGTTCGTAATAATGTTAATTATGATTTTTTGAAGTATTGTTTTAACTTTTTGGCAACAATATTTAAATTTGAGTGTTTTACCAATGTTTAGTTTAAATAGCCTTTGTTAGTAATATTAGTTTTCTATTTAGTAAATGGATTTGTTTTTGTTAGCGATACTGTTTAGTTTTCTGTTTTTGTTAGTAATGTTTAGTTTTTTGGTTTTATTAGTAATGTTTAGTTTTCTGCCTTTGTTAGTCCCCTAACAATGTTGCCCTGACAACATGGTCACCCATGTTGTCAGGGCAACATGGGTGGCCGCAGTAATGACAAACACACGGCGAATAACCCTAATACTCCCCTCAACACTTACTGTCACCCGGACGTGAGTACACCTTCTGACCTTTACCCCTCCTGCACCACGCCCACACCCTTGTCAGGAAGGTGGTGGGCGTAACTACCGCGTAATGTGTGATTGCTTGCTTGGGCGTTGTTGCGGAGGTGGGTTTGGTTGCTGGGGTAGGCGTGACTGTAGAGATGGGCGTGGTTGTTGGTGTAGTCGTGGTTGTAGAGGTGTGGGCGTGGCTGTAGAGGTGTGGGCGTGGCTACGACAGCTGGGGATGTACGTGGGCATTGCATTAAGACAGATACCAGATGTTCACATAAACAGAATACAAAATTGTTCAGTACATTATATACAGCCTATGTGAGACCAATCCTAGAGTATGCAGTTTCTCTATGGAACCCCACCTTGCCAAACGTCAAAATAAACGTCAACATTTCGAAGCATTTGGCACGAGGTTGCTTACAGAACTTCTAAAACAAAGTTGCGAGGACAGCTTGAGTGTGTTCCACCAAACATCACTGGGAAAAATAACTAGAGAGAGACAATCACAACATGGAAGATTTCCATAAACAAGGAAGACGAACACAACTATAGAACGCAAGGGGGGAACTAGTAACACCGATGAGCCAGAGACATATAAGAAGTAGTGTACGGGCGGAAAAAAATAGTGATCTAGAGGAGGAAGTGTAGGGGGGCAAATTTCGACCACAGTTTTAAAAGGAGATATGACAGAGTTGTAACGATACCTTAGTAACAACTACCAATAGCTAGGAGGCGAGGCATGGGAGCTAGAGCTCTCTCATCGCAAACGTAAATAGGTAAATGCCTGCCCACACATGCGTCACTCACCATAAAGAGAACCGTCACGCCATGCATCAACAGGGAGAAAGAAAGAGAGGGGGGTCACATGGGCCATCAAGTAGACCTCAGGGCGTGGGCTCGCCTGGGGATTCTCACATGGGCCACCAAGTGGGCCGGAGGGCGTGGGCAAGGGCTGGCGTCGGGCTCCTGATATGGGTTACTGAGGAAGACGCGGCACCAGAGGGTGTGGGAGCAGAGCATCACACACACCACAAAAAGTGGTCTTCTCCTGGTCAAATATGGCGTCAGCACTGGGTCGGTGTTGATGTGGTGGCAAGAGGAGTAGAAGAGACAATTCGTACATATTTGTGTATTATTATTACACCTGCTACTTGGCAGAAAGATTACTATGGTATTGTACTGACATGCTAGTTATGTCTGTTGACGTGTCTTGTGTGTTGATGTGCCCTGTGTGTTATCAGATGACGAGCAAGTGAACGCGTCAAGCCTTGACCTCTAAACTTGAGGCAAGTCACCCCAGGGTCAAGGCTGGAGACCTCTCTTGATATAGGGCGGGAGCAGTTGAACATCAAGGTCAGTGTCACTGGAAATTTCAACTCCTTGAAAAAGATCAAAACTCGCATTTTCACACA